TGGCCGCGCAGATTGAAGGCCTGTATTCAAAATCACGGAAGTCATTTTGAATAAACTTTAGTGTCATAAGAATCTATGTTTTGTTAAGTTCATTTTGGTATATGAATGGTTACATAATGAATAAACTTGTTTCAATTATTTTACATTAAACATGTGACAGAATTTATGACCTGACTAGGTATATTCTCCTAATTATAAATATACATAAAAATTTGGTTTTTAGCAAATAACCGATGAGCGCACTAATCCCGCAGTCGGATCTTAGACTATTAGCCATTCCTTACCAAGCAGGTTTCGACTGCACCAGTTAAAGAACCTAAAATCCTATATTTGCAAAGTACCTACCTGTACGCATTATCAGGTAGACCCCCGTTACATCCTTCGTCAAGTTTATCACAGTCCACCAGCTCTTGCTCAGAGAGTGACAGCAGCTGTCCAGTCTTCAACTTATATTGACCCTCGACATTACCTAAGGGAAATTATAATTTGTTTTTTAAATATCACGCCTTATGACCAAGAGCTAAGATTGATTTCGGTTTACTGGTGGCAGGACGTCTTGTGAAGCCGCACGGGTAAGTACCACCGCCCTGCCTATTTCTGCCGTGAAGCAATTATGCGTTTCGGTTCAAGTAGTGGGACAGCCGTTGTAACTATACTGAGACCTTAGAACTCATATCGCAAGGTGGGTGGTGGCATTTACGTTGTAGATGTCTATGGGCTCTGGTAACCACTTAACCTGGTCTTAATAAGTACTTCCAACTACTCCCCAAATTAGAATCATGTATACTATGCAGATATGTACGGAACGGTAGGGCATGTTTTTGCGGCGAAACAACCATATTCTGGTTTGAAGGGTACAATAGTTGTTATGCCAATACTATGGATACTTTTATCTCGTGTCTCAACGTTGGTAGAGTAAATCACTGTTTGGGGTCTATGTTGTTGAATTATTTAGTTTAAAATGACTGTAATCAGCATTATTTATTACAGAGAAGAAAATTCGATTAATTTCCTACTCACCAGTAACGCTAAAGGCCCAGCAGCTTCCGCACATACCCTGGTCTTTAACATCGGTAACAGCGTCATAATCGCGCCAATCGAATTTATCGGGGATTTCAATCTTCGGGATTTCTGCCTGCCTCATTGGAATCTGATTGGTATCTCGCAAACTAGGTTTCAAGCCAAGATATTTCTTTCCAAACTCTTCATAGGACAAATCGGCGAATTGCGTTATTCCATATACGGCGGTGCCGCGTTCGTGTGTATTCAATTCGTGAATTTTTCTTACGTTGCCCTTAAAAATTTCGAATCTCCTACGCATTTCGGCGGCATCGTCTATGTAATTCGGTTTGTGTGTCGCCAAAAAATCATAAAACAAATGTTCAGCTTGTATGTGGTGGTACAGATCAATTGTTGCGCTTTCTTGATAATCGCATGTCACTCTGAAGTTCGGTGAATGATTTGTCCAGGGCCGCATCCAAACGTTCACGCGGCAAAATTTATTCAAGCTCTCGTCACTAATATGTTTACAATCCGATCGATTCGTCAAAGCTGTACAATTCGTCAGGCCGACTTCAACTTTCATTCTGTAATGTATACCGGCGACCACTTGTTTTTCTAGCGTGAATATTCTTAAAATCTTTTGTTTCCTCGGATTCGGGTATCGGGCCTCGATGTGTTTTAGTGCTTCATTAGCTAGCTGCAACGCCATTTCTGCACTTTCGAATTCAACATGAGCTTCTAATGGTGTTTCATCGTCTTCGCAACTAACGTCGATATTCTTTCCGTTCGCAACCCATAACCTTTCGAATACTTTAGAAACGCAATGTCTCCTGGGTAGGTGTTCCAAAAACTGACAAGTCGTGACGTCATCGACCCACTCATACTTTAGACACGACGTGTAACCGATATCGAAGTCTATTGTAGTCACTTTTCCTGTTGTTATCTTAGTCGAAAATGAATTTATTTGAATTACCCTTTGTTTATACCTATGAACGGATGCCATTTCCAGTTTATCCAAGGATTGTTTTACTAATTCCCGAATTTCTAAATCGTTCGCGGAAACATTTGCCGAGTTTAGGGACACCGATCTTTTTTGACGCGTTGCCGGTTCTACGCACTGGACATTGATTTGATAGATATCTTTTGTATTTGGAACGAACCATACAAAAGAAGTGCACGGTTTCGATGATTTGCTACCGTCCAAAAAGCATTGAAGAGGACTGTTTTCAATATCTACCTCCTTAGTGCAGTTCGTTGATCCAATCAGAAATGAAACTTTAATAGGTACATCTGAGTCAAGACTGGGAACTAGATAAGGTGTTCCTAAATGGATTAACTTATATTTTTGGTCTGGATTCTTTTCGAGTTCTTTAATAGAGCTTTTAATTAATCTTCGTATAGATATCCCCGAGACAGTTTCGAATTCGTTGTCATCGTCACAGATCACAGAAACCGACTGAACGACTAATTCGTCATCAGGCGAAGGCCAAAGTCTTCCATAGCATAACTTGTGATCCAGCGCCTCAATTTCTTCGCAGCCTCCGAGTTCATTCTCGTCGGCGTGACGCAAACAGAACGTTGGTGCAACTTCAATATACATTTGAACTATATTTCTACCCATCTGTTTGCCATACTTTATTGCGTGTACAGTTATCAGTTTGTATAGATTATTTGTGTCTGATACTTGATTTAAATATTGATTTGCACGTTCGGCATAATAATTTCGTAATTCTTCATCTATGTAATCACCATCGTCCAATGTTTGTCTTTTCACTTTCTTCTTTGCTTCGGTACGTTGGTTACAGGTAATTGTGGTTGTTTTTTTTCCTAACCAAGGTCGACTCCATATTCTAGCATGACACTGAAGAATGCTACTTCCGTCTTTCTGCTCGCAAAAACTAGGATCCTGAACTGCTGTTGAACACGAAGTCGGTACAGCGCTAAAATGAATGTTATAAATGTTTCCTGACACCGTTTGAGTAGATACACGATTAACATCTATAACTTTATGGATAAAATCATTTTTTTCTAAACGTGCATATTCATGCAATGATTCTTGTGCTAAAACTTTGAATTCCTTATCAGAAGGGTCTTCTTCATGTTTACCACCTATTAATGACTTTCGCAAATTCAGTCGCTTCTTACTTGTGAACTTATTAATATGAAATTTAGTGTAATTCAGATCAGAATCTGTTATTCCACCTGGTACGTTTCTTTTCGATCTTTCATTACTTTGTTTACAATCCACCTCTATGCTTGTTTTCTTCAGCCATGGTTGTTCCCAAATTTTAGAATGGCATTGATAATGAGACTCCTCGCCTGTTGGAGCAGCCACGAAGTCAAGTTGTGTTACAGTTCCAGAAACAACTTGAGTGGTAACTTTATTTAGACGTACTACAATGTGGGGCTTTGTATTGCCACTTTCTTTCAAGAACTGATTCAATGATTGCTGAGCCAGTTTCTTATAGTGAGGTTTGGTTACGTCAGACTCTGTCATTCCACCTGGTACGTTTCTTTTAGATCTTTCGTTACTTTGTTTACAATCCACCTCTATGCTTGTTTTCTTCAGCCATGGTTGTTCCCAAATTTTAGAATGGCATTGATAATGAGACTCCTCGCCTGTTGGAGCAGCCACGAAGTCAAGTTGTGTTAAAGTTCCAGAAACAACTTGAGTGGTAACTTTATTTAGACGTACTACAATGTGGGGCTTTGTATTGCCACTTTCTTTCAAGAACTGATTCAATGATTGCTGAGCCAGTTCCTTATAGTGAGGGTTTGTTAGATCAGACTCTTTTATTCCGCCTACTACGTTTCTTTTAGATCTTTCGTTACTTTGTTTACAATCCACCTCTATGTTTGTTTTCTTCAGCCATGGTTGTTCCCAAACTTCAGAATGGCATTGATAATGAGTCTCCTCGCCTGTCGGAGCAGCCACGAAGTCAAGTCGTGTCAAAGTTCCAGAAACAACTTGAGTGGTAACTTTATTTAGACGTACTACAATGTGGGGCTTTGTATTGCCACTTTCTTTCAAGAACTGATTCAATGATTGCTGAGCCAGTTCCTTATAGTGAGGGTTTGTTAGATCAGACTCTTTTATTCCGCCTACTACGTTTCTTTTAGATCTTTCGTTACTTTGTTTACAATCCACCTCTATGTTTGTTTTCTTCAGCCATGGTTGTTCCCAAACTTCAGAATGGCATTGATAATGAGTCTCCTCGCCTGTCGGAGCAGCCACGAAGTCAAGTCGTGTCAAAGTTCCAGAAACAACTTGAGTGGTAACTTTATTTAGACGTACTACAATGTGGGGCTTTGTATTGCCACTTTCTTTCAAGAACTGATTCAATGATTGCTGAGCCAGTTCCTTATAGTGAGGGTCTGTTAGATCAGACTCTTTTATTCCGCCTACTACGTTTCTTTTAGATCTTTCGTTACTTTGTTTACAATCCACCTCTATGCTTGTTTTCTTCAGCCATGGTTGTTCCCAAATTTTAGAATGGCATTGATAATGAGACTCCTCGCCTGTTGGAGCAGCCACGAAGTCAAGTTGTGTTAAAGTTCCAGAAACAATTTGAGTGGTAACTTTATTTAGACGTACTACAGTGTGGGGCTTTGTATTGCCGCTTTGTTTCAAGAACTGATTCAATGATTGTTGAGCCAGTTCCTTATAGTGAGGGTCTGTTAGATCAGACTCTTTTATTCCGCCTAATACGTTTCTTTTAGATCTTTCGTTACTTTGTTTACAATTCACCTCTATGTCTGTTTTCTTCAGCCATGGTCGTTCCCAAATTTCAGAATGGCATTGATAACGAGACTCCTCGCCTGTCGGAGCAGCCACGAAGTCAAGTCGTATTAAAGTTCCAGAAACAACTTGAGTGGTCACTTTATTTAGACGTACTACAGTGTGGGGCTTTGTAGTTCCATTTTTTTGCAAGAACTGTCTCAGTGATTCCTCTGCCAACAACTTATACTTTTGATCGTGTGCATCTTGCAACTGTAGACCACCGACAAAATCTAAGGAGTTATTGGTACGTAAATCGGTACTCTCATTTACGGAAGGAGTATCGTCACATGATACTTTTATTTGTGTTCCGTCTTCTATCCAAGTTCGATCCCATATTTGTGCCTTACAGTTTCTTAACGGTTCATCTTCTAAAACATTACAAGTGTTTATGTCAACTTTTACATCATTTCTGCAAGAAGTATAAGCCACTGTAAATATTATTTCTGTTAATAATCCTGCATTGATTTGAGTTGATACAGAATTCACATCCACTATCTTTTGTTTGTTATTTCTATTAGATTTAACATCTAAGTACATTAAACTCTCTTGCAGCATTTCAGAAACTTTATAATCATCAATTTCAAAAGTTTTTCTAATATTCGAACGTGTGAATGAGCTTTCGACAGGCCTTTCCAAGCATGTGAAAGAGACATCCTTATCTTTCAACCAAAGCTTTTCGAATACAACAACGTCGCACACTTTGGATCCGAGATCCTCCACTGTTGTGCAGTTCTGTCTTAATGATATGGGCGTATTTTGGCTACAGTTTAAACGATCCAGGACCACTAAAAATTTTGTTAATATTCCCGAAGTTTTTTGCACATTTGCATCAATTATTTTGGATACTTTCATTGCATTTTTTTCATTAGATTCTTTTTCAATTTTCTTTAACGAAACTCTTACCATCATTTGTAATATTGGGTCGTTAGGCGGAACAGTTCTTATTGTATTAAATATGCTGCTATCGGGTTCTTTGTAACAAAAAGCTGTCAGTACATGAGGATTTTTCGAATCCGTACTGTCAAGAATACCATTGCAAACTTTGAATTTGTTATCTCTCAACTCACAATTATTTTTATCGCAGGGGATAATCACTCGAGCTTGAATATATAAAAAGCGTTGAAAATTTACATCCTCTTCTTCAGCTTGAATGATCTCTTGTAAAACTCTATTTTTTATTTCCAAATCAATTTCGTTTAAGTAATCTATCATTGCTTGGGCAGAATTGTACAATTCCATACCATTTTGTAGACTTTCTTTTAATTTGCGATATTTTTGAGCTACAGAAAATACGTCTAGCTCGTCATCGAAACTTCTTCTTGACCTCGAATAGACTTCTTCGTCACGATTCAAATTAAACCCAGCAAACTCGAAAAAATTTATGAGATCATCAATTGCTTTCTTTTTATCATTTGTCAAACCGGTTTGTTCTTTCTGATCAAATTGGCGAATCACATTTTGTTGACCTTGGGTGGACTTATCTTTAAAAACAACCTCTTCAGTCAAGCCATCGGCTCTTGTAGTAATCAATACTTGCTCTGTACTACTGACAACTGTATATTCATCGTGAGGTATAATTTGTTCTTCTAAGCCCTTAATTTGATCAACAGTTAGGGATTTTTCTTGGTTTTGTTGTGTTTGAACATCGTTCGCGTGCACTGGTTTGATAATGTCATCCCCAGCCTCATCTTTTTTGTCAGTATTAATAATCTCATTATTTTGTCCAAAATTCTCATCCAGTATATCACCATTGTCACCAAATAACCATTGATCAGTGCAATTGTTCGATAAAATAGATCTGTATTTAACACCACTAGGTAATCTAAGCCATGGTTTCTCGAGTATAGAAATCCGACATGGTGTAACCACTTGGCAATCTTCCGATTGATTTTCAGTGCATGTATTGTTATTTACTAAGAGTGTTAAAATATATCTTACACCGTTAACCACCTGTAAACGGATAAATTATATATTATATTACTTAAAATTAGATCATAGGCATATTATTCATTACTAATCAATTTTAGAATACGTGTATACATAGCCTTTTTATTGCTTTCACCTAGACGCATGAAGTCGCAGTCTAATTTATATTGTATAACGGCTGCCCCACCCTACAAATCGGATTGCATGACTGCTTCGCAGCAAAAAATAGGCGATATAGTGGTATCTATCTACTTGTCCATGCAAATTTATGCAAATTTATAAATTCTTTAGATTTGATTTGTTATTAATCGATGTTATTCTTTTGTTTATAGACTTGACAGCTATATTAACTAAGCTATTCTTTAATACCAAAAATGATGTACAAATTGGTCTGCCAGGTCATTCGTATTGTCTTAATAACTAAAAAAACGGACAATCAAAAAATTTAAAATTATTTATGTTAAGTCAATGAAATCTAAACACCGTCATATTATACTATCGATAAGTGTACAGACACGTCTAAGCGATTCAGTTTAAATATTTACCTGTACTTGTCTTTCTACATCGACGACAGAGATTAGACTATATTTTGCAGTATCGTCGTGTCTATCAAGATGATGAACTGCTAACGAAGCCAGTTCTTGAACACCTGCTGCGTCTACATCGACACGTGTGGAACATCCTATGCAAGGACTGAAGCCATCTTTCCTTGGTGCCGCGATTAACTGTTCAGTTGGCGAAACCTAAAATAGAACACCACACGTCTAATTTGCTATTTACACCCATTGCGAGGAGACCATATTCAAATGCTTTGTATAATTAGTCTTGTATATACATATGTATTTAATAAATTTTTTGTACAGTGAATACGTATGGTATTTTGTATGTTGAAGACAGAATACCCCATAGGTTACTGGCAGTTGAATAAGTAGGCAAAAAAAAAACCTTCGAAGGCAAAAGATCATAGGGCCAACCTGATCACCATTCGATTAGCACTGTTATGCGTAAAACCAAACACTCCTCACTGTAAGACCAATGAGGGGAAGATGGTTTACGGTACCCTTCAGCAGTGTTTCGAGAGACAAGAATACTTAAGATATTAATTTTATATTTTTCAACGCTTTACTCACTTTTACGACGCCCTTGGTATTATCAATGGGCACGCGGTCAAAGTCCCGCTTATACTCCAGCTGACCTAGCCTTCAAGCCAGCAATAAGGCGTCGGGTCAGACAGATACACGATGATAGTACGTATCCGTGAAGGTTCACAATAATAGGATTTTTTAATTTATCCCAGTTTTGACTTTTATTGTTTCATACATGTACTAACTAATCCATACGTGAATATATTATAGGTAGATATTTATTTCGTTAAATTGTAACATGCCATAGTCGCATCACTCGATGCGAATACACTTTAAGTCATACAAGCAAAGCCACTGGGATTCTAAAAAAACATTGTAAATAATTCATGATTAACTTACTGTATTAAATTCATTTTCATTATCGAAATGTATGGGATTCTGTTCAGTTATTTCTGTGGTCTCTTGCTGAACACTAACTCCCTGTTGATCAGGTAGCTCCTGACAGTGAATTTCATTCAGGACAACCACACCCTGCTCTTGTGAATCCTGTACTGTGCTACTACACCTTAAGTACTTGATTGACTCATGATTATGAATATCAGCAACTTGCAAGTTGACNACTACACCTTAAGTACTTGATTGACTCATGATTATGAATATCAGCAACTTGCAAGTTGACTACTATTTTACTAGAGGTCTCATCCTGAAAAATAATAATTAGCTCATGTGGGGAGATAAACCATCAAATCAAATCAATCATGACCCATTTAAAATGTAACTATAATATTTCTCTTATTATTATTACCCTTAGCTGGACACAGCCTAAATTTTTTTTTTTTTTTTTTTTTTTATTATTGCTTTGATGGATGGACGAGCTCAAAGCCCACCTGGTGGTAAGTGGTTACTGGAGCCCATAGACATCTACAACGTAAATGCGCCACCCACCTCGAGATATAAGTTCTAAGATCTCAGGTATAGTTACAACGGCTACCGCACCCTTCGAACCGAAACGCATTACTGCTTCACGGCGGAAATAGGCGGGGTGGTGGTACCTACCCGTGCGGACTCACAAGAGGTCCTACCACCAGTGATTACGCAAATTATAATTTTGCGGGTTTGATTTTTATTACACGATGTTATTCCTTCACCGTGGAAGTCAATCGTGAACATTTGTTGAGTACGTATTTCATTAGAAAAATTGGTACCCGCCTGCGGGATTCGAACACCGGTGCATCGCTTCAACACGAATGCACCGGACGTCTTATCCGTTAGGCCACAACGACTTCAACTAAATCAAATTAAACTGACAAATAATGTTTAATACCAATGTGACGTGCAAAAAAATATATTGTGATGTGTTTCATTTGGGTACTAATACAAAGAACAGAATAATTGCATACTTGAAACACTGGCAAATAATTACTTATTTAATACCATTGTTATATATAATGTTTGCCAAAAATATCAAAAACATTATTATATACAGTATATAGGTATTTGCACAACAGAGCCCGAAAAAGACATCATAGAGGATCAATTTAATTCAAGTTGAAAACATGATTTTGGAATTTATTTGTGAATGCTGTACCATGTAGACTACACAGCAGTGATGTGAGTTGACCAAATTTAAGCACGTCCATAAGGTAGTAACCGTATGCTGGAGCAGTCTTTCTTGATGCAAAAAGACCCTTCAATGTGATAAAATATAATATCATCAAAAAAATCAGTTGTGTGGAATCAATGAGTACAATAGGATATATTTATAAAAGCTCTAATGTATGTTTGTTTACATTTAAGCATTTAGAAGTACGTAATTTTAATCTTTAGTTTGGGATAGTACATCGAATTATAGTTTGAGGTCAAATTACTATCTGTGATATGTTCTCAATCTTTTTTTAGGTCAAGGAATCTCAGTACCCTTGAGATTTTTTCAAAGTTATTCAGTAGATCTCTAGATCTCAGAATCTAGAGACAATAAGAGTATGCACCATAAACAGTTTGCCTCCACATCTTCCTATGAGCAGATGAGATTTTTGTACCTTAAATTAAGATTTTTGCTTCTCCTATAACCCAGATGAAGCAGTTACATTTCCACACCGTCACACTCTTTATGGAGTCAAAAAGCAAGACAAGTCTTGTCAGGGTGAGAAACCTTGATTCAAACCAATTCTCAGATTTATATTTTTCCAAATTTGTTGTGATTCAAATATATATTTTTGGGTAAGATTTAGAAAGGTTACATTTATGTATTCCATAGTGTCATTAATTTCAATTTTTTTATAAAGCTTGAAATCGCAGTAAAGTTACTACTTAGTCATTATAAATACTTCAAATCTTTTATAGTTCAAATTGATAGCCTGAGGCTGATGATAACCTTTTAGATAAGAACATACTACAAACTTTTATTATTTAATTAATGATAAACATAAATCTAAGTTTAACAGACAAATGAGTGAGTTATATGTTACTTATGACGACGCTTGCAGCTGAAAGTAAGTATTGTACTTTTTGACGAAACATGTTGCTGATAACTCTATTTCTATAATCGGACGAAGCATGTTGTGGATAATAACATGTACTTTTAGGTTAGGAATATTGTGTTCTTTGTTTTATAATAAATAATGTTAAATTAAAAAAAAAAAATGAGTGAGAGACATGAAGTTAAGCGATTAACAAAGACATTTATTTGCCTTACAACAAGATAATTGCTTTACAGCAGAAATAGAATTTATGGTAGTGTGACTGTGAGTGTACAGCATGTCTTACTACCAGTAGCAAAGTAGTTTCTTAAATAAGCATCTATGGGCTTAGGACTCATCAAATTCAGTAGTATAACTAATAAGGATACTATTACTATCTATGAATGATGGAGACATAAATGGCCAGAAATATTGTTAGAATAAAAAAAATACATTGAAATTTAGAAACTATCATTCTCATGTGAACATTCATTTTAACAACAATCTTGTGTCATATTTATTTGCCAGGCTTATTTGGCAGTTACAGTGAACTGAGATGTATTGTTAAAAAGATCAACAATTGAAACAAAAATTCAGAATAAAAGAGTTTATCATTAAGATATTAAAGCATTCCATAAAATTAGTAGTGGCATAGATGAGAAAGAATGCCATAGGGAAAGTGGATGGCCATAAATTAAGGATTGTACTAAAGCCAATAAAGTATTTTATTAATCAATTTCATTATTTTTTTATGTCTAGACTAATGCATATCGCAGTAATAAATGGTTTATATAAAAGACGAACAGTAATGTGTTAATTGGAACAATATTTTTAACAAAACACTAACCAATAACTGAAAGAGGTCAGGGTTGTATACATGTGTACCTTTAATATTAATAACCAGCCATTAAGAGAATGCAATTTGTTTTCATTTGCCTACTGGAAGAGATTTCAACATGAAAGAAGTAGTGCCCTTGTACTCTGTATCCTTATTGTCGTGTTTTTTCTAACAGCTGTGTGTACAAAATATATTAAATAAATAAATAAAATAAAATTAGCACAATTTTGCAACATTTACTTTAAAATCACTTCAAAGTACATCTTGAAATTAATAATGATTTTAGTTTATTGTCTTATTAGGCAAATGTGAATCAGACCCACTTATTAGAAAATCGTTGCCAAAGCTTATTGATATCAGAAATATAGATGCACAGCCCTACTGCCGCAGCACTGTCTACCGTAATATACTTGATTGTGATCCTCCCCATTATCAGCCCATTTTTCTCTTAAGACTCTTATTTATTTACACAACTCTGGCTGGTTTTTAGCTCGTTCCTGTCTCTCCGGATGTAGAAACAATGAATCATTAGACATTGCAATAAAGATGATCTCATTCAGAACATTATTTTAACATGTCAAAAACAATAAAAAGCAGACACTCACGATTTCTTCAAAATTCTGCAGAACGCCTACTTCGGTTTTATAAACCTGATTAGGTAAATCGTTGTAGTAATTTATAAAGCCATGTAACAGTTTTTGCCGTCGTTCAAGGCTTACATCGCACGAGCAATTATAAATTACAATTATTTGAAAAATCAACAAATATGCACTCTTTAAAGACATTATGAATTTACACAACCATTTCGTTACATAAATTCTACATTAATAATATATCGGGCGACGGGCTATCTGCAATTTCGCACACAAATAGCCTCATATATAAACATTCAGTGACTGATTAAAAATATCTACTTGTCATTAATTTGTAAACAAAAGTTTTGAAAGGAAAACAGAAATTGCCCTACGTCATAAGAAGTACAGAGTGGTATTCAGGAACTTATTGTAAAATATTTACCTAAAGTGAGTACCTATTTTAAAGCCAGATCGATTTTTTAACCAGGCCGTTAAGCTGCTAAAATATTCGTCCGAATGTTAGTCTCTATCTAATTAAGTAAACTAGAGGTCCGGCAGTAGTCGAAATTCGACTATAATTAATTGGAATTGTAAGTTTGTACACTATTATGATTGTATTTTATACTTCTTAATCACAAATTTCGCCAAGACTATACAGTATAAAAAATATTAACAAAGACAAACTATATTTAATCTCAATTTGACAACGGACGTCAAGAACAAAAGTTTGTTACTAGATAGTATGCATGCGTGTGTGCGTCAAATACATGGTATGTAGTGTGTGTAATGTTTTCTTTATTGATTTAATGTATCTTTTATGAATTATTTTAAAAAAATATTAGCATTGTGCACTTCTTCTCTATATTCTCTATAAGTGTGGAAAATTTCATACTCCTCCGTCCGCGCAATTTTCGTAAAAAGGGATACAAAGTTTTTGCTTCACGTATTAATATATAGATAGTTACAGAAATAATAGCACAACCTACTTGGACATACTCTGTATATATTATTTATTATAAATGGACTACGGCAAGATGAAGAAATCTAGTCTCGGTTGTACTTTGTAATAGATTCTGTTGGATAACTAGTATTTAGGTAAGAAATAAAAGATATCGATATGAAAAACCATCCTACAAAACATTGTTTTTATTAAATACGTTAAATCAAATGTTATCTCAAAATTCTAAATTAAAAACAAAATATAAAAAAAGGGTGTATAATTCCAAACATTAAAAGAAAATTATAATTTTTGGAAACTGGATTTTAAAACCATAAACTCAATAATACCTCATTTAACACAATATATAGCTGCTCGAGTTTTTATTGCCATCGATGGTTAACGAGCTCGCGGTCTATCTGGTGGTAAATTGTCTCCCATCGTCGCTGGTAATGCCGATGGACACCTAATAGCTCAAGGGCAGCTGCTTCGCGAGTGCATCGATTACCGGAACACTATAGCAACCTACTGAGAAGAAGAATTGGCTCCACGTTGAACTCTTCAACGAGTTCGACTTGCAATCTAGCCCATTGAGCTTCTCACCGTATCTTGACAGTGGGTAGCGATTTCGATTTGGTGGTAGATTCTGAGAAGCATTGCTCTTTCTAGGGCTAGGGGTGGAACTATCCCCAGGTGGAGCTCCGTAAATTCACCATCCAAACAGGTAAAAGTTGTAATAGCCCATTAGGCTACCAACGATTAGGTAGGGGGAAAAGTATTAGAGTTGCAGGCGTCTAATTTATGTAATAGTGGATAGGGTGGATCCGATAATAGACTGCATTAGAATAACCTTCAAATAAAATATTGCTTGGTATGTGCCACGAATCCAGTACCGTAACAAATACGAGTACAAACAGAGAAATAAGGCGGATTTAGTTTAGTAAAATTACCTGTATGAAATGTATTTTGTTCCGTGCTTTTAATTCGAAGTGTTTAAAAGTTGCGCTTATTGTAGAGATCACCGTGATATTACATTAATATCATTACATTTCTTAGAAACATATAACTAGATTCTAAAAATAAAAATAAGCAAGAAAAATTTTAAAATCCTTTTATCAGTTTTATTTTATTTTAATTTTCATGCAAGTATCTCATAGTAGTCCGTGATTTCATGACACCGGCATACATAGATAGACTTTTTGGCGGGAACGCGAAGAGTTCGATTTGTTTGTCGATTGAAGTTGTGCGATTTGTTTTATTTTGTTTATTTGGTGTTTCTTCAGGTTAAAATGTGTAATAACGGTGGTTTATTAACTGTTTAATATCTGTGTAAGTGCACAAATGTGGGAAAATGAAACAAAGCCGCTGGACGTATCTTCTCGGGATCCTCCAAAAAGCCCACTGAAAAAGTCTCCGTAAATAACCACCATTTTACTGAGATTATATTTCATCCCATATCATCTCATTTCATTTCGTGCCATATGCCATGTTTCATATCAATCAACTTCATTACATTTCATATAGTTTCACTTCATATTATCATTTTGCTTTTATAAATAAGAATACAAATTAAAATAAGACTTGACCTAAAGGTCTTAGTAACTAGGCCATAAAATCACTTAAAAAAATGCATGCATAGATGACAGTGTATGGCACTTTAAGCTGGCATGACATTGGCAAATTGTTGAGGGCAAATTGTTGTTGTGTATACCTACCTAATCTATGGTTGAGGCCATTGCTCTTTGGAGCTTAATAAAATTGAAAATAATTAAGGACATGGTAATTAATGGTAAACTCCATTCCGTGTAGTAGGAATTCCAAAGAAATGTGATTTTATATAACTGAATCGATAACTCGTACAATATGACACACAAACTTCAAGGAAACGTACACGAAAGCAATCTATTTCAATCAAAAACAACCATGTAAATATTTTTAAAATGTTATATTTAGGTCATTTAATCATTATTTTCTCACCTCTTCGCTCTCCTCTTTGTCTACGATTACAGATCGTATCGTCTTCTAATGAAATCGACAATAAACCATAAAATCTGTTTAATATTTGGTTTTCTGGTGGCCTAGATTCGAACTTAGAACTATTCACCAGGTGGCAGGTTTCTCAGAATATAATGCCAGCGTATTGTCTGTAAGGTATATTGTAAACTCGCACGGGTCGGTACTATACTGTCTATTTTCTGCCGCAAAGTAGTCATGTATTCGGCTTGGAGCGTGGGACAGTTATTATACAATACCATACAGTCCTAAATGCCTGTGATGTCTTAGGGCTTAGGTAACCACTTACTACTAAGTAGGCCGTGAGCTTGTTCACCCACACATGTATTACGTAAATAAATGGTATAACATGAACATTTTTGGATATAAATTTCATATAGCCCTTAATACTTTTTTACAATATTATTTTCATACATAACTTATGTATTAAATCATTTATTGTTTTTTTCCAAATTTTCTTGGTTTTTGCGAAATAAGTAAGAAGTATATAGAATATAGAATAATTAAGATATAGATAATATATAGAATAATTAATTAAGAAATAATTATTCTTACTGTTTAATCATAGGCTATTTATTGTTATTATATTATTTCTGACATATTTCAACATTTTTGTAGTCAAATCCTAATGTAAAAATTTAAATTTAAAATGTTCTATCTAAAATTGTTTAAATTTACTGTTAATACCTGGAACACAATTGTCACAGTTAAATAAACTACATACTCAAATCACTTTAAATATTATTTGTAGATGGTGGATCACATTCAGTTTGCTTTACGGAGCAACCTTTCTGACAAGATATTACAAAGTTCTGGAGCCTGATCATGTATGGTATGTACATAATATAATTATGATAAATTGAATATATTGCAATAAACATATTAGAAAGTATCTACAAAAAAATCTAGTGAGATTACTCTATCTGATGATTTTATAGGGAAAACATGCAAAGTTGGCATGCTACATATTAGATAAATAAAATATTATGACCTGCATAATTTCTTGGTAGTGTGTTTTGTGAGCTCGTACCAGTAGGTACACCCAGACTAATTCTGCTGAAAATATGATTTAGTTGTGTTAATGAGTGGTGGTATTTATATTGTGGATGTCTATACCACTTAACAAGTGGGCCATAAGACCATTCACCCACCTAAACAAAAAAAATAATTCAAATTCAAATAGTTGGAGTACACATGGGATGGATGCAAGTACATAAATTCCTCTATGTAATCAAAAAGAAATAAGGGTTTTACTGGTGGTAGGACCTCATATGAGTCCGCATGAGTAGGTACCACCACCCTGCCTATTTCTGCTGTGAAGCAGTAATGCGTTTCAGCTTGAAGGGTGGGGCAGCCGTTGTAACTATACTGAGACCTTAGAACTTATATCTCAAGGTGGGTGGCGCACCCACGTTTGTAAATGTCTATGGGCTCCAGTAACCACTTAGCACCAGGTGGGCTGTGAGCTTGACCACACATCTAAGCAATAAAAAAAATAAGGGTAGTAATGTCTTTAATAATTTTTGTAGGACATTTTTTGTGTCTTATTCGTTTTATATTGTGTACCTGAAGGTAAGTAGTCACCTTCGCTCATATACATCAGCAATACCTGTTGCCTACTACTAAGGACTCTTTCGATCCCATTTGAGCAAGTTCATGTCATAATGCTTGGAATAAAGGCCAACACTAAAGGGTAGTTAATTCCAGAACCAGACAGTAAGTGACTAAAAAGATATCTGGAGTCAAATATTATCTGTTGATTCCGATAGATGATAACCTGAGGTGATATATAATAAGCTAATAACATGCTAATAAAATAAAAATGTTTGACTGTGATAGAGAGTACAGAACGGATGATGCTAAAATTAATAAAATATTATTTTAACGCAGTTGGGATGAGACACATTTCGGTAAAATGGCAAGTTGGTACATAAACAGGACCTTCTTCTTTGATGTACATCCACCACTTGGCAAGGTAATTGTAATTGTTATTTAATATAAAAAAACACATTCAATCAACACTTTGACTGACTTATATTAGAACAAATAATAAATTTTTTATAAAAATTAATAATTAAGTTTAAATTACGTAACTAACTCGTTTTCTTTAATAAAAAATCTATCCTATTTTTAGATGCTAATAGCATTGTCTGGCAAATTATCAGGGTATGATGGTACATTTCCATTTGAGAAACCTGGAGATAAGTATGATGGTGCGAGGTATCAGGGCATGAGACTAGTGAGTAAATAATTTTATTATTACCTATACGTTACTAGCTAACATTAGTCCTAGCATGGGCAATGCTTCGGTGAATCCACCACCGGATCAGAATCGCGATCCTCTTAGAAGATCCGGCGAGAAACCTATTGGGCTGTGTCTGTGAGTCAATTTTCACGAGGAAACTTACGCATTTCATGGTGTCGACGAGAACGGCAACTGGTGCTTGGTATGCCTTAAAGCAGCAATAGTGAATCGGGAGGATTCGGAGTGACGTGTTTTTTTATTGCTGTAAATGGACTAAAGCTCATAAACATCACAATATGAATCCTGCCACTTGCATTGAGACATGAGGTCGAAGACTCTGTTGTATTTTAGAACGGCTCTTCTTATCTTTCGAACCGGAACGTCTGAATGTTTTGCAGCAAAAATAAACTGGATTGCGGTACCATCTCGTGTAATCTTGAAGCAGGCCTTACCACTAGTGTAATCTTTACGTAATTGTTAGTACTGTGTGCTTAGTGCGAGTTTTTTAACTTCTCTTTTTTAACTTAAATTTGTATGGAGTTGGAACAGCGCCCCTAGCGGCAAACTTTCCAATTCCATACTTTAAGTTAACTTTAACGCGATCGAGAAGTTAAAAAACTCGCACTAAGCACACTGGTAGTTGCTATATAATCACTAATGTGATCATAATATATAGTAAATTCTGTTACTCATCATAGATTAACCTTTAACCTAATATTTATGATACTCGTAAGATATTAACCGCTTTCGGGATTCCCCTATAATACATAGGCGAAAACGATCAAATACTATATTTAATTGCAGTTTTGTACAACGTTAGGTGCTTTGGTTATTCCCCTAACGTTTCTGTCGATATGGGAGATGACTAAATCATTGGAAGCCACGTTCATAGGAACGTTGCTCTTGTTGTGTGGTAAGTTTCTTGATGGAAGGATTAATAATTCGAATGTGTGTAATATCGACATTATGAGTTTTGGATATAATTTTTCAGATGTTGGCTTTATGACTTTAAACAGATACATCTTATTAGATCCAATCTTGCTGTTCTTCATGAGTTGTTCAATATATGGATGCTTTAAGGTAAGTAATGTGATGCCTAGTTATTTATTGGAACATGTCTTTATCTTAAATTTAATTAAAAGAGTTTTGTACATATATTTTTCCGTATCACTTAGCTTTGATTCTCTCGAATATGAAACACGATTATATGTATCTAACGATTATCAAAATAAATCCTTTTTAATCCGATGTGACAATGCGGTTAAAAATCGCTTCATTTCTCTGTCTATTAAGGAAGTCAAGATCTACCTTCAAGCGTTAGTCGCAAATGGACCAATATTGTTTTAATTTTATCTTATCTTATCTTATACCTTTAAACGAGCAATTTTTGTATATATGTAGGATTGGTAAGAACGGAACGTATGAATAGAGTGTGGAACGGAGCGTTAAGATGTTAGTGAGAGAAAACGGAAAGAAAGAGAGAAGAGAATGACAGATGGAATGACAGAGAATTGGAAGATGGCGAAGACGGTTGAAAAATGAGTAAGACGTAATAAAATTAGTGTTAATTATTAATTACTATTATAATAGAAGATTTTGGAATAGTGTAACTTTTATTTTATGCGCTACGATCCCTATTCTACATATATATAATCTGAATCTCGGAAACGGCTCCCAACGATTTTCATAAAATTTAGTATGCAGGGTATTTCGGGGGCGATAAATCGATCCATCTACGATTTATTTTCAGAACATGTTTATTCGTGTTTTCAATAATCAACTATTCCCGACATCTATTGGCGAATAATAATACTATTTTTCTTAATTGAGGGCTAAACTAAGTTAAAACTAACTAACTAAGAGGTTAAAACTAACTGTTTTAAAGACACAACAAGATGGCGTTATAAAAAAAAACGGTCATCATCTGGTGTTAACTATGAAAGCTGTGACTAACTCCGCGGTACCTTCAGCTTCTACTATCGTCGTTGTTGATATTATTTTACGGGCGAACACATAATTAATTTTTAAAATCGTGTCGGTAGCGTCCAAACTAATAACGAGCTTGTAGTGCTCACCCCGTACACGTCACTAATATTGTGAGCCGTTTGCGCGGCATTTGAGTATTTTTATGGTATCCGTGTTAATGAAAAATATACAAATATAGTGAAAACAAAACTCAAATCATATAACAAATAACTGAATTTAAAAATAGAATTCCATATTTTTTTCAATAAAATTAATTTGAATTTAGAATTAACTATCGGTCATACATAAATTATGTTATACACATGGCCAGTGTTGTAAATGGCAACTTCATAGGTATAGGTACACCTATTATTTGTTGAAACTACTCATTTACAACAATAACCTACAATAAAAAAAAATTAAAGTCTTTTTAAATATCATTTTTAGGTTTCTACTTTAACCAATGACGGCTTACTCCCTTTTTCTCCGAGGATGCTGTCATGGCAAATTTTCTTGGGTACATCATTAGCTTGCACGATGTCCGTCAAGTTTGTGGGATTGTTCGTTGTTCTATTTGTTGGTCTACGGACAGTTGCGGACTTATGGAATATTCTGGGTGATTTATCGAAACCTGTTGTAAGTATTTTACAAATGAATTTAATAGGATTATCAACTACAAATAATAACGGGTGGGCTTAATTTAATAATACAGGTAGGTGATTATAGTTTTCGGATCTCCAATATTATATTGCGTCTGTTCAATTTAAATAATAATAAAATAATGGTAATTGACCCATAAATAAACATAAGTTTGGCTCATTAAGTTTGCAGAGTTTATGACTTCGAAATGAGCAGTCCACCTTTCGAAATCTCACTTTCTTCTGACTTAGAGTTTAGAATAGTCAGTAATTCCGTATTCTCCTTCCAGCGATACTGATACGATGACCAAATGGTCAACCCAGATCTCAGTAGTTTTAATTCCACAATTCATTCATTTACGACATCTTCCATTGAATCATTCAATATTAATGTTAATACAAATTATCACGCTGTGCAAAAAGTGTTGGCTTCGAATAAGTTTATGTTCAGTATGAAAAGTTTTATAAAAAAAGATCTCAAATCTTTTGAGTCATATTATACATTTAATATTTTGAAGTTATCAATATTCGTCCAGCGTACTATGGAAATTATTATTTTCAAATTTCTCACTTGCCCGTGTGCTCATCTATAATCTTTTTTTTCCTACCTATTTTAGAAAGCTCGAGGGGTTATACTAGATTCTCCCAATTAGTAGGTGAGTTCACGGTTCTCAAACTTGACGGCGTTGTTAATTTACTCGCCGAGCCCTTAGTCGCAAGCGACGGGTTCGACGAGAACGATGACCGGTGCTTGAGGTACCTAATAGCACCGTTAGTGGATCGGAAGGATCCTAAATGACGTGCTTAGGGTGACGTCGACTGTTTACCATTCGGTCCGCAGGATCGGGAATATATCGATAGTGTTTTATCATTACAGAAATTCACCATCACACATCTCATTGTCAGAACATTAACCCTCATTGTGTGGCCATTCGTTCTGTACGTGTTCTTCTTTTGGATACATCTCACGGTACTGAGTAAAAGGTAATAAAATTTTATTATAACAAAAAAAACTACTATTATGGTATTCAAATCGTTCAATGCAATTTTTAGCTTAAGTATTGTATTGTAAGTGTAACGAGAGTTCATTCCTCACGGGTATTTACCTTTTTTTTCTATACATCTATATATTTAGAATATCTAGCAATTTTCCCAAGAAAATTTACGTATGTATTCCGTAAAGGTCACGATCCTCAACACTGAGGAACACGACGCACGGGGGATATAATATTTATATGATTAACACCTTCACGAACAACTTGTGTTATGAAGGAATCGTATCGTGTAAATCAGGTTAAGTTACAAATCCCGCGATGTAGTCATGCGTCTCAGTCGACGGGTAGGACAGTTGTGTTCATTATGATTAAGACTGAATTCTTTTGTCAGTGGCATATACGCAAACCGGGCGATACCCATTTAAAAAAAAAAGACTGCGTTCACGTCTAATTTTATGAGCCGGTCGGGTTGTCGATAGTCCCGTTCTAGCGGATCGCTTGGAACCTCTGGGTCTACGGAGGGACTTCGGTTCTCTCTGTTTCTTGTACCGTATGTCTTATGGGGAGTGCTTTGAGCAATCGTTAGAGATCATAACTCCATTTCTTTGTTTTATATCACCTCTAACCACCGAAGCAGTGTTCATCAGTAGGTACTATCTGAATACAATAGCCGTTATAACTATAGTGATACCTTAGAAGTTATATGTCAAGGGTGGGTGGTGCATTTACGTTGTAGATGTCTATGGGCTCCAGTAACCACTTAACTCCAGGTGAGCTGTGAGCTCGTCCACCCATCTAAGCAATAAAAAAAAACTGAAACTGCTGCGTTCACCGACAGTGACTTTCCAGAGATCTTTTCCTCAGCTCGCTGAGTTTCTCGCCGGATCTTCTCAGCGGGTCGCGATTCCTATCCGGTAGTAGATTCATTCGCGAAGCAGCTACTCTTGAGCTGTTAGGTCTCCTTCGGAGGCGCTCGGGTAGCTGTTAGCAAATCCCACCCCTCCTGGCTGAGCCTTTGCTTGCTCGCCCACCTGTCCTGGTGAAACTGGAAAGGCCTACGGGCCACCAGTAATCCTTCAATCATAAAAAAAGATTTTTCTGCCACGTACCAAAAAAAATGATCTTTTTTATTTATTGCTTAGATGGGTGGACGAGCTCAAAGCCCACCTGGTGTTAAGTGGTCACTTGAGCCCATAGATATCTACAACTTAAATGCGCCACCCACCTTAAGATCTAAGTTCTAAGGTCTCAGTATAGTTACAACGGCTGCCCCGCCCTTCAAGCCGAAACGCATTACTGCTTCACGGCAGAAACAGGCAGGGTGGTGGTACCTACCCGTGCGGACTCAAAAGAGGTCCTACCACCAGTATCTCTGAGCTCCGGTAGCCACTTAACACTAGACGGGCCGAGCTGATCTCCATGACATGCTCAACAGCGGCAACGGTGACGGTTTCTACTCGTCCGGGTTCCAAGCGCGTCTCGAAGGGAACAGCCTGCACAACGCCAGCGCGCCGCGGGTGCTCGCTTACGGAGCTCTCGTCACTTTGAAGAATCATAGAACTGGCGGGGGGTACTTGCACTCACACCACCACTTGTACCCAGCGGGGGTGGGAGCGAGACAGCAACAGGTACCGTACAATGGAGGGAATCGGGACATTTTCCAAATCCAATAAAATTGAGATTAAAATGGTTCCGGAGAGTTATATTTTTATATACGATTACAATATATAAGTACACAAAAACTGAAAAAACTAGCTTTACCCGATTCTCCTTGGTTTTGAGGTGAATAAGATACGATTAAGAGCTTAAATTGTATCAGTCTTCAATATACTAAGGAACAGAAAAACTTTGGGAACCATTGTTCTGGAGTCACTTTCGATTACTTTCAAACATACATATCGAGGGGTGAAAGGCTATTTGGATTAAGCGACATTTTTGCAACTATACAGGAGAGCCATTAAGTTTAAAATTTGGAAGAAATATAACAAAAAGCTTCTTCAACTATTTGAATGGTGTAAACTTAATTGAAGTTCAATTAAAAATATCGAACTGTTGATGCTAATGCCAAATAAAACGGACCTTTAATTTCAAAGATTTTTTTATTGCATAGATGGGTGGACGAGCTCACAGCCCACCCGGTAATAAATGGTTACCGGAGCCCATAGACAACGTAAATGCCGCCACCCACCTGAGATATGAGTTCTAAGGTCTCAGTGCTAAGTTACATTACATAAATGTCGCGTATTATGCGAAATGTCACTTATAACAAACAACCTTTCATCCCTCGATATATATAATATAAATTTTTAGATAACAACATACACTCACAAAGATGAGAATAATCGTTGGCAAATAAAACCGTACAACCGAGAACGTGTCGAGGGGACGGTGGTGGTACGCAGCGGGGACCTGGTGCGCGTCACGCATGCGCCCACGGGCCGCAACCTCCACTCGCACCGCGAGCGAGCGCCTCTCACCGCCAAACACCTCCAGGTCACCGGCTACGGGGAGGTACTAGTCGCTTTCAGACTTCTTTACAGCATGTAATCATCGAAATCGTCGTGGCCTAAATGATAAAACGCTCGGGGTATTCGTAACGAGCAATGTGAATGTGTCAGGGTTCAAATCCCACAGTCGAGGGTAGTTTAAGAAATTTTTTGACGGGAACGCGAGGAGTGAAGTTGTGTGATTTGTTTTATTTTTGTCTATTTAATGTTTCTTCAGGTTTAAATGTGTAATAACGGTGGTTTATTAACTGTTTAATATTTGTGAAAGTACACAAATATGGGAAAATGAAACAAAGCTACTGGACGTAATTTGCCGAGATCCTCAAAAAAGTCCACTGAAAAAATCTTAGTAAATAACCACCATTTTACTGAGATTATAATATATTTCATACCATATAATCTCATCGCATTTCATTTAAATTCATCCCAGTTGATTAGTGTCTCAAATTAATCATCTTCATTTCATTTCGTTTCATTTCATTCCATATAATAATTTTTCATGAAAATAAGAATATACATTAAAAAAAGATATGACCTAAAGGTCTTAGTTACCAGGCCATAAAACTCCTTAAAAAACTTTAAATATTTCGGTTTGTTTGGTTCAAATTCTTGTAAGCCTAATCGGAACCACGTTTTCTTACACTACGAAGTAGAATTTAAACACTTTAAAACGTTTGTTTAGTTTTGAGTTCGATGACAAGGAATTTTCACTGCATAGGCATATAGGATTGGCTCAATGACTTCAATGATGTAGGCAGGACCGTGCAATAACAACAAAATCCGTAGATATTATAAACCTGCTAAGTTATTGGTGGTAGGGCGTATTGTAAGTCACCCACGGGTAGATACCGCTGACCTGCCTTTTTGCAGTTAAGCGCTCATGCATCCTATTTCCAAAGGCAGAACGGTAGTTACACAAATCACTTAAGATTTCGACCATAACTCTCAGAATGGCTAACGACTTCCACCAGGCTGACGATAGCTCATCGATCTTTCTTGAATCCTTTTTATCATCATATCCTCCGATATAAATCCATTTAATCCTTTGATTGCCGTGTAGGTCACCGGTGCCCTACGTAAATACGTCGATTTCTGTTACTAAGGCGCCCGAATATCTAGTAGTACACTATGGAAAAGACGAATCCGAAGATATTGAGAATCTATTCCTAAGAGACCTAAAATACTCTAAATAAATTAATCTTTTTTTATGCGAGGAAAATTAACCAGTTTCCGTTTTTATAAAAAAAAAACCTGTAATATCGCATCGTTCATTCTAATTGAAATTTCAGGACGGCGTAGGTGACGCCAACGACGTGTGGAAGATTGTCATATCGGGCGGTAAAGATGGCGAAGAGATCCAAACCGTTCGAAGCAAACTTATGCTTGTTCATTATTTGCAGGTAATACAAAAATATCAGAACTGTCAAATCACAGTCGACCAATAAACCGAGCCTACAGTTAATAATGTTTTTATACACTATTACATATAGGTATACAGTAATTTGTTATAAAATAATATGATAAAAAAAAGTTTTATTAAGGTATAGTCCAAGAGCCCGCGACGATCAGACCTTCGTTATTTTATACAACTTGAAATTTTCTCTGTTTATGTTCTCCATACAGATTAAAACGATCCCCGACCACTGAGGTTGAATTCCGATGGCTTCGTAACGTGTATCAAAGATGTACAAAATTGCATCTCAAATTCATTAAAGTATAAAGCTCAGTTTTCATATATTTTATTTGGAATAATATTAGAAACAACTGTCTTGATCAGTTCTCCGATAAATCCAAAAAATATATTTTAAGCACATTATGTATGCTAGATATTTATACATATATGTACTTATATAACAACATAATCCACCAATACCTATTTTTTTTTTTTTTTATTGCTTAGATGTGTAGACGAGCTCACAGCCCACCTGGTGTTAAGTGGTTACTGGAGCCCATAGACATCCACAACGCAAATGCGCCCCACACCTTGAGATATAGTTCTAAGGTCTCAGTATAGTCACAGCGGCTGCCCCACCCTTCAAACCGAAACGCATTTCTGCTTCACGGCAGAAATAGGCGGGGCGGTGGTACCTACCCGTGCTGACTCACAAGAGGTCCTACCACCAGTAAAAAAGTAAAAAGTACTATTTGGACGATTTCGGCCTCTTCAACTCGATATCTAATTGTCCAATAATTTTTGTGATGGTGTGTGGCTAACATAGCCGATGTTATCCAAAAAAATTCACGCGCAATGCGGCAAGCGAGCACACCATTATAATAGTTGTAAAAGATAGCACAAGGCCGACGCACATTCAGTTCGTCGCGTCGAGCTTCTATTTCAGAACAGAGTTTCTCAAAGTTTTTTACTCTGGTTTTCATCAATGCCCTTCATACCGATCGTCGAGCGGTCGTTGGCTCCCAAACAACAAATAATACTAAGCAAATGAAATTGAGCAAACATAATTAAAAGCCATGTCTCAGAATATGCCTTGAATTTTTTAGATATATTTTATATATATTATATATGTGTCTTTCCTGCAAACTACATTTTATACTTATCGAGGGGTGAGAGGTTATCTATGTGCTTAGTGCGAGTTTTTTAACGTTCTCGATAGCGTAAACGTTAGCTCGTATTTGTATGGAATGGGATCGTTTGCCTACGTTTGCCTTTAGGGGCGCTGTTCCAACTGCATACAAAATTGGGTTAACTTTTACGCTATCGAGAACGTTAAAAAACTCGCACTAAGCACACTGGCTTAAGCGACATTTTTACTAATATATAGGAGAGCCATTCAAAGTTTAAAATTTAGAAAAAATATCATAACAAAAAACTTCTTCAGCTATTTGAATGAGGTAAACTTAATTGAAGTTCAATTAAAAACATCAAATAGTTGATACTAATACCAAATAAAACGGACCTTTAATCTATATCTATATATATTATAAATGAATTGCTGTTCGTTAGTCTCGTTAAAACTCAAGAGTGGCTGGACCGATTTGGATAATTTTGGTCTTGAATTATTTGTAGAAGTCCAGAGAAGGTTTAAAAGGTAAACAAATATGAAAATGCTCTTAATTAAATAAAAATAACAATTTTGTTTTTCCTTTGATGTGTCCCCCGTCGGACGGATTCCTTTTGTTTGTATTAAGTTTATTTTATACAAAGTTTCGGTCTTTTATTTATAGATTGAGGCACTACGAAGTCTGCCGGGTCAGCTAGTTACAAATATAAATGTCGCGTATTAAGCGAAATGTCGCTTAAACCAAATAGACTCTCACTCTCAATATATTTATGTTCTTCGTAGGCGTGTGTATTGACGACAACAGGGAAGCAACTACCTAAATGGGGCTACGAACAGCAGGAAGTCTCCTGCAATCCCAATTTAAGAGACAAGAACGCGCTGTGGAACATAGAGGATAACGTTTTTGATGATCGTATGTAACACACATTTATTTCTTTAAAACAGATAAAATAATCTAAACAAAATTAAAATGAATAATAAACAAATTTTGTGAAATAAGAATTAAGTTCTCTCGATTTTTTTTTTAAACCATTCATATCGCAAACGTCATTTATATGACTGTGTATTAGTGTATGTAATCTACAGTAAGCTCGTTATTTAGTTTGGCCTCAAATGACGTCACACGTAATGTCGTTCACCCGAGTTTTGTAATGTTTGCGCGGCAATTCTGAAAAATACGAACTGCACTGTGTACGGTCGGTTTGTCGAACTGAATTTATAAACTTTTTTTCGTTTGTTGTTTTTGCGGAAAAATTGATTTGAATCTTCTATGTATCTAAAAATGAATTGCTGTTCGTTTGTCTCGCTAAAACTCGAGAACGGCTGGATCGATTTGGCTCAATTATTTGTTGAAGTCCAGAGAAGGTTTAAAAGGTAGATAAAATACTCGGAATTAAACAAAAATTGATGTGTCCCCCATTGGACGGATTTCTTTTGTTTGTTTTAAGTTTTTTTTATACAATAGTTTAGGTTTTTTATTTATCGATTGGGGCACTACTAAGTCTGCCGGGTCAGCTAGTATATTATATTTTATCTTTCAGTGCCTAAAGTGAGTTTCGAGTCTTACGCCTCTGGTTTCCTCGAACGTTTCTACGAATCGCACGCCGTCATGTTCCAGGGGAATTCCGGACTCAAACCCAAGGAAGGGGAAGTCACCTCGCAACCGTGGCAATGGCCCATAAATTACAGGGTAAGACCCGTTACCGGCAAACATAAATATAGTCGATAGTTTAACTCGAATTAAATTAAATTTTAATTATCGCTTAAGTTTTTATTATCAGTCAATACTACGTTCGAGTAAAAAAATTGTTGGAATAAGTACTCTTTTTTTTTAGCCCTTGGAGGAATCTTTTTCATGTTCATAAAGTTTTTTTTTTATCGGTATGATAACCTTTTTTTTATCGGTATGATGTATGACAAAATTAAGATAAACCTATTATTAAGAAATTGTTCGAGAGATGTGACGTAATTAAATTTCATAAACATAATTCACGGTATTACGATAGATAAAATATTTTTAAGTTTAATTTTCATTACTTTCATTTAATTATTCCCGACGCTTTAAAATTTNGATGTGACGTAATTAAATTTCATAAACATAATTCACGGTATTACGATAGATAAAATATTTTTAAGTTTAATTTTCATTACTTTCATTTAATTATTCCCGACGCTTTAAAATTTCCATGGTCACTAGCGAGATCAAAGAAACGTGGGAAATGATAAAATGTAAACAATACACCGTTCACGAAATCCCAAAAAAAAAACACCTGGTGTACTGTCCGTCTTTTGATATTTTTAAATTCAGAAAGATTTTTGTGACACACATTCACAGATTATAAATTATCAGTTATGTCATTATGTCATTTTCAGGGTCAATTTTTTTCGGGCAGCACTCACCGCATCTATTTATTAGGAAATCCAGTAGTGTGGTGGACGAATCTTGCCTTTCTAATAATATTCTTCTTGGTGTACATCATTAACTCCATAAAAGAGAAGAGGGCAGAAGCTTTTGGTGTTTCTAGACAAGGTATTTTCCTTTTTGAATAAACAATAAGTGTAACCTGTGAAAAAATTGTCAGAGCCTGTAGAAGTGTTGAACCAATAAATGATGCGGAAGCTTTAATTGACATTCGAATAATGGCTATATTTCCGTAGCAGAAACGATATTCGTGCAGATTTCAACAAACAAGCCTAGCCGCTGGAGATTTTTTTTATTGCTTGGATGGGTGGACGAGCTCACAGCCCACCTGGTGTTGAGTGGTCACTGAAGCCCATAGACATCTACAATGTAAATTCGCCACCCATCTTGAGATATAAGTTCTAAGGTCTCAGTATAGTTACAACGGCTGCCCCACCCTTTTAACCGAAACGCATTACTGCTTCACGGCATAAATAGGCGGAGTGGTGGTACCTACCCGTGCGGATTGACAAGAGGTTCTACCACCAGTTTCAATACCTTTGTACAAATTTGAGTGTCTTATCTATGAAACCATAGATACATCCAAATAATTATTTTAAAAATCAACAAATAAGTTTATTATCAACGCAAATAGTTAAAAATAACTGCCACATCTAAAACAGACCCTCAATTTTTGCGTGGAAAAAAACACCGTTTCTCACGGTTTGCAGAGAGCACTCACCAATAGACAGTGGCTTGGCTATGCCCCTGGCATTGCTGACATCCATTAGGGACGATAACCAATCACCATCAGGCGTGCCGTATGTTATTTCTGCCAACAAAAGCAAATAAGAAAAAAAATTCAAAGGATGGCTTCTGAGAAATACCATGAATTCGTTTTGTTTCAATTTTCCAAACAATTAACGCACCTGTATATTTATCTGTTTTAGTTGGCGAAGGAAGTTTACTATTGAACGCAGCCGGCTGGACGTTCATAGGATGGGCCCTGCACTACATACCTTTCTGGGCTATGGGCAGAGTTTTGTATTTTCACCATTACTTTCCTGCCCTAGTCTTCAGCTCTATGCTTACAGGTTACTAAGATACCGTTATAAATGTAAATTGAATCCTTTTTTTTAAAGGATGTACCTATTTGGACAGACATGCTAACACTCATAACGTAAAATTTTTAAGGGATTTTATGACCCGGTAACTAAGACCTTTAGGTCAAGTGTTATTCTAATTTATATTCTTATTTTTATGAAAAATGATAATATGAAGTGTATGACTATTTGGAGGATCCCGAGAAGTTACGCTCAGCGGCTTTGTTTGATTTTTCCACATTTGTGCACTTTCACATTACTAAACAGTTAATAAACCACCATGATTACACATTTAAACCTGAAGAAACACTAAATAGATAAGTCTCAATTGAATGATATATCAGCTGTTCCACCCTTGATAACGGTACGCATTACTCCTTCACGGAAGAACTAGGCAGGGTAGGGGTGCCAATCCACGTCTGGAGCTACTGCGTTCATCCACAGTGCGTTTCCACGTTTGCCACATACCATCCGGCTTTGGAATGAGCTCCCCCTCCACGGTGTTTTCCGAGCGCAATGACATGTCCTCCTTCAAATGAGGCTTGCGGAGGGTACTTAACGGTAAACAGCGGCTTGGCGTTTCCCTTGGCATTGCTGAAGTCCTTGGGCGACTGTAACAACTCACCATCCGAAAAAAACGCGAGTGTTACAATGTGTCCTGCCAGGTTTAAATATATACTATAAGAGGTTGCAGTTTGCTTTTTTTTGTTAATTGTTGTGCAATTTTATTACAGGTATCTTAACTGAATATCTTCTAAGCAGTGTGCGGAGTTACTTGAGTCCGGAACTGGGAAAGACTGCGTATCATTGCATCATAGGCGTTGTAATATCAACAACAGTGTACAGTTTCTATTTGTTTTCACCACTAGCTTACGGTATGAGCGGACCGTTGGCTAGTGAACCGAATTCGACAATGGCAGGCCTTAAATGGCTTGAATCTTGGGAATTTTAAATAGCAACGACTGAATAAAAAACATAAATATCATCGAAGTTAGCTTTACATAAATGAAACTGAAATACTCAATTTTATCCGTCCATTTTTATTTTATAAATATTAAATTTTATTTATTTTATAATTAAATTTGTTTCAATCTTATAACTCTTCAGATATTGAAGAAGCCGTGACCTAATTAGTAACAAACACTTCATGTGCATTTCCATCTACTATGCTGCGAAAAAAATCCTTTGAAATTCAGTATGTTACATGACATCCAAATTGAAAATAATGATATTTCATTTGACTTCACACGAATAAGAACATTATTACGAATAATTATGATAAGACTCAATGGCGGATCCAGGGGGGGGGTCATGGGGGTCATGACCACCCCCTGAGCTGGTTCCAGGACTTAGGTGGACCACTAATTGAATATAATGATTTTATATATATATTTTGTCACCATACAGATTTTATGTAACTACATACCTTCAATATTTAATTAATATAATATAATATAATAACTTTGTATAATGGCAAACGCTTGGGAACGAACGCATCTAAATTTGACTATGTGACCCCCTCCTGGCGCCAAAGCTGGATCCGCCCTTGATAAGACTATACATGTTGGCAGCCCGCACACGTGAATATCCTCATAATTATATTTGATGGCTTAGTATATAATCTATAAATAATCAACAAATCATTGAAGACTACATATATAAGTGGGTCACGAGTTTGTCTATTCATTTAGTGCCCAAAAAAAGTGAGTTTTAGGATATTCGTTTCCATGGATTGAGATATTACAAGGTTAATAAAGCAGTTCACCTACAATCATCGCGTTCCTGCCAAAAAGTCAATTTGGGAATAATTCTGATAGTATATAAGTTGAGAACGACATCGACCTGATGTTAAGTATTTACCAGATCCTATGGCCATTAGAATGTGTATGCCGTCAACCACCTTAAGACATGAGGCTTTATCTGACAGAAGGGTTGCATCATCACATGCCAGTTACAACCAGTAAAATATAATATTTTGAAGTCGCCGTGGCCTAAAAGATGACTTCCAGTGCATTCGTATGTAGCGATGTATCGATGTTTGATATACATTAAAATAAGACATGACTTAAAGGTCTTAGTTACCAGGTCATAAAATCACAAAAAAAACCAGCTGTTCTCTGCATTCATCTATTAGGAACATAATAATATTTCTATTTAATTATAACTTGCACGGCCTTATTATAATTTGGCTTGCAATCTTATATAACTATAATTTGCGTAATTACTGGTGGTAGGACGTCTTGAGAGTCCGCATGGGTAGGTACCACCACCCTGCCTATTTCTGCCGTGAAGCAGTAATGCGTTTCGGTTTGGTGGGTGGGGCAGCCGATGAACTGTTAATGAGTCCTTACAACTCATGTCTCAAGGTGGGTGGCGGTATTTACGTTGCAGATGTCTTTGGGCTTCGGTAACCGTTTAACACCAGGTCGGCCGTGAGCTCGTCCACCCATCTAAGCAATAAATAAATAAAAATATAGATCGGAAATCGCAGCACGCTTATGTAAGCACAGAACGCTATCATTAAGTGATTAATAAATTAGTCAAATTTTACAACAACGACTGGAAATGACAGAGTGGTTCTATTCTAGACTGACATTCTAGCGCTGAATGTATGCGTTTTTCGATTATGATTATGATTGTGAGTCATTACACGTAAATTTGAAGAAAAACTAAACTAACAAAATAAAGCAATGGACACAACTCCTCACTTCGCGTTCCCGCCAAAAAGTGGCGGAGTGCCTAGCACACATTGCTAATGATAGAACTAGAAACACTACATTACTATCGCGACCTCGTTATTTTAATAATGACCTAATTACTAATCGGAAAACTACCATTAAGTAATGGTTAATTACAGAGCATAATGCGACTCAGTGACGCACAATGCCGAATTATGCTGAAGCTTAGTTGTGCATTATGCCGCATAATGCGCTCTTGTGCTGTAATTGGAAAACGGCCGTACATTGTTTTTTTAGAGGGTTTTATGACCTGGTAACTAAGATCTTTAAGTCAAGTCCTATTTTAATTTTAATAAAAGCTTTTAAAAAAAAGGATTATATGTAATTAAATTAAGTGAATGTAAAACATGGCAAACACCATATGGCAAATACAATACGAAATGAAATGAAATGAAAACGAAATGTAATGAAATGTGATGAGATGATATGGGATGAAATATAATCTCAGTAAAATGGTGGTCATATACTAAGATTTTTTCAGTGGACTTTTTTGAGTATCGCGAGAAGTTACATCCAGCTGCTTTGTTTCATTTTCCCACATTTGTGCACTTTCACAGATATTAAACAGTTAATAAACCACCGTTATTACACATTTAAACCTGAAAAAACACTAAATAGACAAAATAAAACAAATCACACAACTTCACTCCTCGCGTTCCCGCCAAAAAGTCCCCCTCGTACATTGATTTTTTTAAAGGGATTTTATGACCTGGTAACTGATACCTTTAAGTTATGTCTTATTTTAATTTACATTCATATTTTTATGAAAAATGATATTATCGAGTGAAATGAAATGAAGATGATTAATTTGAGACATTAATCAACTGGGATGAAATTATATTGTATGAAATATAATCTCAGCAAAATTGTGGTCATTTACTAAGATTTTTTCAGTGGACTTTTTGGAGGATCCCGAGAAGTTACGTCCAGCGGCTTTGTTTCATTTTCACACATTTGTGCACTTTCACAGATATTAAACAGTTAATAAACCACTATTATTACACATTTAAACCCGAAGAATCACTAAATAGACAAAATAAAACAAATCTCACAACTTCACTCCTCGCGTTCCCGCAAAAAAGTCCCTCGTACATTGATCGTAGAACCAGACCACAGATTAATTCCGTCAAGTACCTACTGTTGCGGGCTGGCTCAATGCTGTTTAACTGATATAATTTGCTTTGGCAACTTTTATGCTCTGACTGTGATCGAGATTATCTATGCTTAATCCACTTCAAATTTCGAAGCTGGCCACTCAATAGGAATAATTTTGACATAAAAAAAACACAATTACAAATGGCGTTTACGTAGTGTAGACAGATGTATTCACGGCCACGATGGGCGATGATTCTTTGATATTACGGGAAGATGGCTATATACGTATGAACTTTTCTGTAACTTCTCTCACGTACCACAGTAATCTTAATATTATATTGGTGAAGACTGATGTGGGTAGTGTACACGTTTTGGATGTGAATTCGGGTGTGATACTGCAGTCTTCATGTCTGTCAGCGGGTAAGTACGACGCTAATTGTTTTATATTACACAGCTTGATTTCAAATCTATTTTTCAAACAAATTTCTCATGTTAGGTTTTAAATGCTAACCAACATAATCACAAAATCTGTCCCACTTTAAGCTTAGGTTTGACAGTTCTCGATAAACAATTTTACCGGATCAAGATTTAAGAACTTATAAGGTTCAATATACCTTTCGCATTTCCACATTATACATATTGGCACAAAACAGAATACTTCTACGGAGATGCCCCTTAAATATTTTATAGCAGAATTGTGGTTGCCAAAAACTTTGATTTAGGAGGTTTTGTCAAAAGAATGCATTGCTTGCAGACGAAGCTGGTACGTTGGGAGTAGAGTACGCTTCCGGAGCGGACCGAGTTTTTGTGTGGGATAGTAGTGGTATTGGTGCACGCACTGATTACAATGGAGTGTTATTACTTCATACAGCTCTGCAACGTCCCCTGCCAATTTCTCATACTGAAAAAAACATAAAGATTGAACTTGTCTTATCTGAGGTAAGTACCATTTATAGTACTTATTTCAAACCAAATATTTAAAATAATAAAATCGGTAACAGTAATATTATTAATATTTATCAGAAATTAATAAAATATTGCTGTAACTGCCATTTAAAATATTTCTAATAAGATATTGTAATAATACTGAATGAAAAAGAATAATAAAACTACTTGCTTTGGAAAAAGGTCTAGAAGATTACGAATAGGTTGAATCAATTGAATCTAGTCAAAAAGTATTTAATCAGTTTTGAATGTTATAAACATATACATACATGTATAGTATATATGAAGTTAGTGAAATCAATGTTAATTGTGGCTTAAATAATGATTTGATGTTTCACTGTTGATAGTGGTTGTTTCACTATAATTGATGTAAATAGTGTATGAAAAACAATGTACTTCAAACAGAATTTAAAGAATCTACCATGTTTAAGGAGTTTGTTTTTGGTTTTTTAGAATAAACGTAAAATCTATTTGTTAAACTCTTCATTATTATTATTAAGTACAGTTTTAGAGGCTTCAGCAAAAACCTTGAAACAATTTCATAAAAGTACCATATATAATAATAAATTTCCATTTTAATTTAAATATCAATGTAGAAGCAGTTCTTGATAGAACTTAAATAATACCAAATAACAGTACCAAGATAGTAATAGTAATCTATTGTATAAGAAAGTAAGTGGTAACTACTTTACAGTAATAAGAGTTATGTCTTAAGAAATGTAAATCTCTTTTTAATAATAAAAATGCTAGTCTACAAATGTACTGAGTTGTTGCCTTGCTGGAAAAGTAAATGGATCACTTGTGCGAGTATTGACTGAGGGTGCAGTGGATGTTTGATGTTAAGAAGTCAGAATTTTACTAACTGAATTAATGTTCTTTACAAACTGTTTTAATGGTATACATGTTCTATGATATGTTAGTCTTCAAGACTGAACCTGACTTCTATGGAAACAGGTTGTTGTACCACTACCGCTCAAATGCAATTTTAAGTAAACACACTGTGTACATTGTTGCTAACTAAGGTGTCCGGTGTAAGTTCATCTTACACCGAACAATACTGTTTCCAGCAGAAGCTCATCATAATAAAAGTTAGGTTTTTTATCTCTTAAACATTATTCTGTCACCATACATTTGGCTGTAGTTATGATAATAAATATTATTATTTGTAATGAATATCTCAAGCTATCTACTGCTGCAGCAGTCTGCTGCCGCTGCTACTGTAACTTGTCGATCACTTTTTTAACAATAAATGCAACTGACATTATTGAACCTTTCTTGTTATCTAAAATGTGACAATTATATTACATTATGTTGAAATGTTTTGAAATTCAATGAGCCACAAACATGAGTCACTTGATGGCTATCCAAATCAAGTTGTAATTGTTCCCAGAAAATATTAAGAGATTATTAAACCTGTCTTTATTTGCAATGCTTGGCTGCGACTTCCATATAACACTTATCTGTTTATATATAAATATAAATAGATATAAATTTTAATTATAATAATATTTCATGTAAACTATTTTAATACCTTTTTTTAAATTTTAGGCTGTGCTCCTGTATCAATGTCTTCAGAGCATAGATGCACATTTTATAGTAGGGCTTTCTGATTTTATCACTGAGTTGAAAAGTGCTATTGATGCTGAACCAGTCCGAAAAGGCGTCAAAGCCCAAAAGGTGGGTTGATTGGGATAAATGTTAAGGATTAAGGTACTGTTGAATGTGCATAAATAGTGTGTAAAAACTTAATTAACATTATAAAAATTAATGTTTTAGTGGAGTACAGTAACAATATGCCTGTCACTATCAACTTTACGACTGGTGGCAGCTAGTGTTGTCCAAGAGCTCAAAGGACAGAGCCGAAGAATTCCAGCCTTAGCTATTGCATCAGCTGTAGGGCAGAGAGCCAATGAACTAGATCCATCATTAAGGGATGATGAGAATAGACCCTTGATGAGCTCCGAGGCTGAAAGGAAAGAGACATTCAAAAGATGGCCCCACATGGATTACAAGTAAGCTGTTAATTTGACAGCTAATTCTAAAATAAAGCATTACAAGTAACTTTATCTGAGCTTTCAGAAATTCTTTATCTCACTCACTGCATCTGCAAGTTGGGGGCTAGTTGCTTAACGGCTCATCATATCCATGATTTGCAGGATAACATCTGAAATTCGAAAAGTAGTAACACTTTTAGTACCTTAAGAAACTATAAGATAAGAGAGAACAATATTTATTAAGCTGCAATAAAATAGGGTTTTAGTAACTTATTTTTTAATAATAATATATAATAATTATATAATTCTCCACATTATGCTAACCATTAAATAGCAATTAACCCTATGATATGCTTTACTATGGCACAGTTTCTTTTGACAGTTTCCTTAGAGCCATAAACAGATTATTTTAATTTTTGTCTATATATAACTTTACATATATTAAAGCAATTGAAATGCAGGACAATTTGTTTCTAGTATTAACACTGCATACACACAATTAATTTGATAATATTGTTATTAATTTTATCAATTATCTGTTTAGATGGGCTCTCCCAGCTCGTATGGCACAGGCAGGATTCTACCATCAACCATCACCCAGTGGCGATGACCGCGCCATGTGCTTCGCATGTAACGTGTGTCTCGTTTGCTGGGAGAAGAGTGATGAGCCTTGGGTTGAACATGAGCGCCATTCACCTAATTGCTCCTTTGTTAAGGGAGAGTACACACACAACGTCCCCATATCAGTGAGTGTATAGTCGAAACAGTAATTTTTGTTCCTGCGCAGTTGACTAGAAAATAAAAATAACTTGTTGCATCTTGTCACTCAATTTTATATTTACTTCAGTGTTGACTTATTGTCATAACACTATCTTTTATGTTTTTCTCAGGTGACAAATGCTACAGCTTGTGCAGTACCATGTCCCAATGTAGCAGTAGTGTCTAAAGGTAACACCGGTGATCTTATCGCCACAGGCACTGTTGAGGGAAAAGTAAACATATGGAGATTCGATTGTGGACTGAAATTAGTCAAATTTGTACATGTTTCACCATATGACTCAATTTTCAGTGGAATTCTCACTACAGATTACAATAAAGTGTGGTCTACAAGCTTAGAGAAAGATTCTTGTAAGTATTTTCTTCAGTTTTCATGAGTTATAAACATAATTAAAACTACGATTACAGTTTATTCGCGTATTCGCGGCCACGGAAGAATAAAGTGTCATTCGTTGTCATTTAAATATTGTGCTACTATCATATTTTGTATAAAATATGTCTTGACATTAATGTTATTGTGCACACAGAAAAAACTAACAGTATCTTGAGATGTGGCTGATTGTTTGACCTGGTATCATTTTAATAAGGAGATCTAGATGATAGATAAGCACTAACTATCTTTTCAATTAAAGTAAGGGTATCCTGTTTGACCTGGTATCTTTTTGATAAGATGATGTAGATGATAGATAAGTGCTAACCGTCTTTTCAATTAAAGTAAGGGTATCCTGTTTGACCTGGTATCTTTTTGATAAGAAGATCTAGATGATAGATAAGTGCCAACCATCTTTTCAATTAGAGTGAGGGGTTTATTTGAATGTCCTCAATTACCAATCCTGGAGTTAACTTGTTTTCTTTAAGTAGAATTTTTTCAAATTTCATAAAATGGTTGGCACCATGTCCAGAACTGCAAATTTGTATATCCAGATATTAATAACATCCGCAATGTCTCCATTAATTCTAAAAGAAATGTGTTTCTTAATCTGTCCCATGTATGAGAAACTTCAGTCACATTCCAATTTATAGAAACCAAGATTTTCCAAGGTATGCTATCATTTAACCGATTTTGGGAAATGGCCCAGTTTCCTGTGTAGTCTAAAGAATGATTTTATGACGCATGTCTAAATATGTTGCTAAACTTTTCTGTAACTTCTCTAGTATACACAAGAATTGGAACCAATTCCAATTCCACTTGTGGCCAGTATTGATTTGAGACGATTACGAAAAAGGTACCTCAGGCTCTCACTTAAAACTAGCTTGATGCTGTAGTTTATCTTGCAAGTTTTAACAAATGCCAACAACTTAGCCTTTCTTTGGGGAATCACGACAGATAACTGGCCCGGGTTTTAATTGGATTCACCATTTAAGTATGAGTATGGGTTGATTTTCGATACATCATAGTCTGACTATTGGTAAAGCATTCGAAACTAAAACCCCAACGTACATATTAGAAACGGATATAATAAAATGAGAATAATAAACGCGATATTATATCGTAAGAGTAGTTTTGATTATGTTTTTGAGGTTTTTTCAGTGTTTGTTCTGTAGGCTCATAAAATTTATACTGACAAAAATATATTTTTTTAAAATTTGCATTCAGTATTTCTGTTCAAAATTACTGGAATCACTGAAATATACTCATGGAATATTCTTGAATAGGTCATAGTAATATTTATATACATAATATGTTGTTTATTTCAGCTACATATAGCATAGAATTGACTGCAATGACTTTTGCTGGAATGACAACTCAATCTGAGAACTACACTCAGGGACAAAATCTAGAAAACATTGAGAAAGATCCAAATATAAACAAGACCAAACCATCACTTATATGTGCTGTCATTATAACGAGAACAAATCTCCCTGAACCCACTTTACCTGTAAAAGATGAAAGTAGCAAAGCCCTCTTCGATTCTGGAGCACTGTCTGAAGAAAAAGTACAAGCAATGAACGATCGAAATGAAGCCGAAAATAGCATGGGACTGACAGAAAAAATACTGTTTTTGCTCACTTATGATATCCACAGTTCCTCAGCAGGGTCAATCACTGCTGTTGTACCAACATCCAATAACAGTGCCAATTCCAAACCAGGTGGTAGCAAGAAAGTTTGCTCAGTAACGAGGACTGACGATGCACATATTTATGACGAAATTTACTTCCAATATTCTGATGATGACACAGAACTACCACAGTGTACTAATACACTGATTGACGAACAAATAAGTAATGTAATAAATTTGAATGCATCATCAAGTAAGGACGACTGTAAAAATTGGGGCGAAACTAAAAAGATTTTTTTAACGAAGCATTTTAAAGTTATGCCACCCCCTCCACCTTCGGCATTGTTGCCTGAACTGCAAGAAGCTGGCCCGGTTAGTATCATAGATATAGTAGGAAAGAAGATGTCCCAAATTAAAAACTGGAAAAGTATGGAGAGTGCTGGTACCAAAATAGTTGATCAAACAGATGCGGTCTTACAAGCTGACCCTTTTGTTCATTATCTGAATATGAGTGGACCTGTTGAAATTCCCGATTTTAAATGGTACGAAAGTGGAGAAAGTACTGAGAAGATCAAGTTTACTACAATTACTGGAAGTAGCAAATTAGGAACTCAAACGGCTGCAACAAATACGAATGACGGATTTGAAAATGATCCGCCTCAGGAAGAAGCTATCTCTCACGGAGTGGCAGTACAATGTCTGACATTTCCGTCTACGTTAACTCTCAAAGATAATCCCAGAGTGACACATTTGATGCCCACGGAAGATAGAGATCATTTGTTTGTTGTTATATCTCATGTTGATCTTCAAAAACTAAGACTTGAAGACGATACCGACAACGATGGGGATACGAAAATGGAAGTGGATGATGCAGACTTGGAAAAAAAGGCGGATCTAAAAGCTTATTTCATCCTATATAGGCTAAACACTAAAACTTCAATTTACACATTAGAAGATAATCCAATGTCAATTCAAGAGTTGCCCTACAATGAAACTCCAATAGATTTATGTTTATTGCCACCGGATAAACATGAACAGTACTCCTTTGCATCTGTTGGTATTGATGGTTGTTTGAGGTTGTACTCTTTGCCAGACTTCAAAATTATATCTGAAAAACGAGTGCCAAAAGGACCTTTCACATCAGTAACATACTGTGCTTCAGTGGAAAGATTGAGTGTGGCAACTAAACATGGGATCATTTATTTCTATGCACTTAATAATGGAGAAAATGATTCAACTGGTGATATTGATGATGACGATTTTGCTAATATTGATTTTGACATGCTTCAACGAGCACCTCGAGATGAAGTTTGTGGACCAACACCTACGCCTATTATAATAGCAAACAAATCTGAACTAGATACTAATGATTTGGAAACTTTGATCAGCGTAACGGGGTTGTATGGTACTAATACGACTGTGCCTTACAGTGCAGTAGTGCCTGGTTTCTGGTGTGAATTATCACCTGCACAAAGACCAACATCGGATCACCAAAATAATAGAACTTGGCGATTACAGAATACGTCTTCAACTTGGGATGAACATGTTCTGGAGTTGACATTACCATACAGTGTCTCGTTAGCTCATATTGAATTTAGCTTCACTTTGCATACGGCATCTACAAGTAGCTTACCAATGATTTTAGTAACACTTTTGAAACAAAACTTACAGGGGATTGGTTACAAAAAAGATGCTTCGTTTGAACCCAAATCTGATTCCCCAGAACAGAATACAACTGAGGAGCCAAATGTCCATAACACAGATATACCTGTAAACAGTGAAGAATATTTACAAGCACAAAATGTTGAAATTTTAGCTGGTCCATTATTACTCTCTACTGGCTTAGATTTGACACAACAGTCTGGAACGTTGATACTGACAAGCCCTAGATTATATAGGGCGAGGGGTAGAACGTTTTTAATCCACATTAAGACTTTATTTGATCCAGCAAAGGATATGAATAAAGCCAATACGAAAACTGGGGAAGGATCTAAAAAATCTGGATTCATTGGATGTGACTGGTTGCATCAGATCTCTTTAACTGTTCGCTCAAGCCCTCATACCAATGTGCCTATGGAACGTCAGCAGAGGATAGCTATGCTCGAATCTAATACATTTTTGAACACATTGTTTGAAATAGCTATAGACAAAAATGATATTAACAAGAGAAAACTCGCACTGGATCTCATAATATGGGTTGTGTCTATTAGACTTCAAAGGATGCGATTAGGATCTAGTGACAAAGTAAAGATCAAAAGTGTCGAAGCTAATCAATTAGAATGTATTAAAATAGTTGAGAAAAACATAAATTCATTAATAAAAACCTGTATTTTATGTGGAAACCGCAGTCTTGCCAAAAAATGTATGAAAATTATACTAGTAACCAGCGAGTGAGTATATTTTTAATATTTGTATTTTAAGTTGCCTAAAATTAGATTGTTATTGTATTACAGATAACAGTGACATAATTTAAAGTATGATGCAGTCTTTGAAAGAAATTAATTTCTTTATATTTTTAATATAAAATATTTATTTAACTTTAAGTCTGATATAAAATGTAGTCGTTTTTGTTGTGAAGGGGTGACAAACAAGTGCCTAGACCATGGATGTCGACTTTTGACGCGACGCTATCGGGCAGCGTCACGGAGTGCATTCCCTACCTGGGTGCGTGCGAGTCTCCGGGTGCCCTGCGGTGGCTGGTCACTCTGGCACAGCACTGCACGCATCGCTCCACGGCACCCGCCCTGGTCTCCCGGTGCCAAGTTCTACTTGAGAAAACAGCTCGTTGCCTGCGAGAGCGAGCTATCGTCTACCACGACTTGCTAAGAGCCAGGTATGCTAATTGTATATTCTTGATTTTTATAAACTATTGCTATCGCTATTGTACTGACATTAAAAATGTATGTGATAAGTTTTTCTCAGTATTTTGGTACTTATGATAGACTAGCTGACCCGGCAGACTTCGTAGTGCGTCAGTCGATAAATAACATATCTAAACTTTATTTAATTCCGAAAATTTTCATATTTATCTACCTTTTAAACCTTCTCTGGACTTCGAAAAATAATCCAAGACCAAAATTAGCCAAATCGGTCCAGCCGTTCTCGAGTTTTAGCGAGACTAACGAAGAGCAATTCATTTTTATATATATATATAGATTGTTATCGCTATTGTAGTGACATTAAAAATGTTTGTCATAAGTTTTTCTCAGTAGGTTGATACTTATGATAGATAAGATGTGAGAGAAGTTATGATTATTTCAGATTTGGGCTGTACGGTTTGCCGTTGGAACGCACCCTGTTTGCAACCGAAGTACCGGAGCTTGGCCGGGGTACGCCCGCTCCCGTCACGTACGCCAGCGTACTCTCTGGCGATAATACGACACCACAGCCGCCACCACCACCACCGCCTCCAATACCGAAACTTGATCACCAACTGAAGGATTTACTTAATTTACCATTAGAAATCGGTACGTAAATGCGGACGTTGTTCAAGTGAACAACAGCGAGTAAGATTTTCAAATGCGAATGGTCGATCCCTCGGATCGTAAGCTAACTGCTTCCATAGCTCAATCCATACTCGTATCAGTTCCCTCAGGTTACCTAGTCGAGGACCGCAATTTTTTTAATATGGGCATCATTTTAATTGATTAAATTCTCATCGGCCTCTTGGTTTTTATAAACACATCAGTTAGAAGTCTATCAACATTATTTCCAAAAACTTTATATACTCTACTACAGTTTTGTCTACTTGCAGGCTTTGAGTGGTTATCAAAGCCCATAAATATTACAACAGGAATGAAACCACCTATCTCAACACATTAAGTTGATGTCTTAATTGTATTGTCTAATGGCTGTATAGGCAGGAATGTGTAGGATCATGGTAACTACCGGCATGAGGACAAATACCATTAACTAGTATTAATGAAAATTTATTTACATACAAGCTGCCCGGCAGACTTCGTAGTGCCTCAATCTATAAATAAAAGACCGAAACTTTTGTATAAAATAAACTTAATACAAACAAAAGGAATCCGTCCGACAGGGGACACATCAAAGGAAAAACAAAATTGTTATTTTATTTAATTCCGAGCATTTTCATATTTGTCTACCTTTTAAACCTTCTCTGGACTTCCACAAATAATTCAGGTCCAAAATTAGCCAAATCGATTCAGCCGTTCTTGAGTTTTAGCGAGACTAACGAACAGCAATTCATTTTTATATATATAGATCAATATATATGCTCTTTCTTGGGACAGGCAGTTCATAAACATGTTTTTTATAAAACTTTGAAAACTAATTTATTACGTTGGGTTTCTTTGTTCTGATAGATTTAAAAGCGACTCTGTCTCCGTCTGCGTGGTGGGCGCAGAGCAACAGCGTGGCGGTATTCGGCTCGGGGCTGTGCGAGTCCATGCCGCTGCACGTCACGTGTCATATCGCCTCCGACGGCACCAAGCTGGAGTCCACTGGAGGGAGACACTACCCTGCTGTGGTCAGCACCCTGCCTGGACCTGGCTCTGCAGATCCCAATCAGGTTCGTCTTGAAATACTTCATATACTATCGAATCTAATACTTGTCATATGTAGTGTTGTAAACTCTTAAATGTTTATAGACTATAATATAATGGCCCACAAAAAAGTGCAATAACATTTTCAATCATCACTGAGTTCACTGAAGAATAAGCAGAAATGTTCCCAGAATCAAACTGCAANGCCTGGACCTGGCTCTGCAGATCCCAATCAGGTTCGTCTTGAAATACTTCATATACTATCGAATCTAATACTTGTCATATGTAGTGTTGTAAACTCTTAAATGTTTATAGACTATAATATAATGGCCCACAAAAAAGTGCAATAACATTTTCAATCATCACTGAGTTCACTGAAGAATAAGCAGAAATGTTCCCAGAATCAAACTGCAACTGTCAAACCACGATACTGCCAAGAAATGGTCTTGCGTTTTGGTTTCTATATAATACAAAAAATACTTAATTTCTTCAAATATACTTCAATTTCTCTTCTTACTTTTGACTTCAAGTCTCAAGTTAAATGATGGCTTTCACCTTGTGATGTCTGTGGGCTCCAATGATCATTTAATACCAAGTGAGATGTTAGCTTGTTTGCCCATCTACCACAATAAAAAGAATGTCAATTGCAGTTGTGGAATGTAATGAAGGAAGGTCAAGCCAAACAAACATCTCAAGATCCTGACTCATTAGAGGATGTGGAAAGTTCAATGATGGATTGCGATTCCCAAGAGAAATTAGAATTTTCGGAAGAAAAGTACTTTAAGGTACACAACATTGATTATTAAAATTCTTTGTGTTATGATCCTTATGCAAGCCATGGCATCTACATAATATATGATTTTATGTATTTTTTTTATTTAAAATGTGAATATCTGAATTTTTCCAGGATCAAGAACAGTGCAACATACCTTGGGCCTCTCTGGTTACACGGCCGCCTCAACACACCCTCATTGTGGAAAGAATGCACTCGGGCGCTAGGAGATACATTATATTGGATTTCGGACACACAGTGCGACTTACTGATATCGTGAGTTCGTCATAATGCGTACTAATAAAAAATACAGATGTAGAACATTCCCTATTTAACTCTAAATTAAAACGTTTGCGTGGTGTACTGAATATCCTTGATCAAGAAATCGCCTACCAGACAAAAAGTTTGGGAACCGCTGTGTCTTACACTGTATTATGAATGTTGTCCTTTATAGATTGAATAAAAATATAACTGAATGCTTTAATTTTACAGATAATTCCAGCGTGCCCCGATTTAGTAACACTAGGCATTGATATCTGGACCAACTGTGAAGAAACTAACTCGGTCAAACTAGCATATGCCACTGACATAACCAATAAACATCTCGTCCTCACTGATATACAACCTCCGCCTCTTTGCCGATATATGAAGGTAAGTAATGAATACTGTGTGCATCCTTAATTAATTATTTTATAGTACACTTTGATCTTAGCTCAGTTGTATCTAGTATGTTTCTCAAACAAGAGGTCATAGATTCGAAATAGAGCATTGCCTACTCTACTAACAGTGTCATCATTTGTATGACATGTTATAAGGAACCTTAGTAATTCTTATGAACGTATTTTAGTTTATTACTTTAGTGGATCCTGGAGAAGTGTAATGAGGTCCTTGCATTGTTCCCAGTAAGACAGTTGAGGATATTTGTCAGAAACGTAATTTATTTTTCTCATATCTGTTTACCATATCCAGAATAAGGAGAAAAATTCTAGCTTGGACTTATTTTTTACTTACGGTGTTTCCTTTTTCTGTGTTCAAAAGCACAAATAATTTTGTGATTATGTCCACCGAAACTAATCACATCCCAGTTATATATAAAACTAGCTGACCCAGCGAACTTTGTTCCGCCTCAGAGACAATATATGAGCAGACTTGATTTTATCAAGGTAAATTTTTATTTGGGTAATTAATGTAAATTAAAAAAGCAAGTATTTTAATGGTTCTTTATTGGCCATGTATTTTAGTGCATGGGGTCGTCCACTCTTTAGTGAAGCACCTTGTGATAGACGAAATTTTTCGTTTTATTATCAGGTGCAAGAACAAATAACGCAGACGGTCTTCCAACCCGTTAACATGCCACATATAATTGACCATAGGAAAAAAATGCTTATTCTAGATTCAGACCACAAACTTTTAAGAATTGACCATGTGATTTGTTTATGGTAATGGCGAATGCAAGACGGATAAAGTATCCTATGTCCTTCTCCTGGTTCTAAGCTACCTCCCCACCAATTTTCAGCCAAATCAGTTCAGCCGTTCTTGCGTTATAAATAGTGTAACTAACACGACTTTCTTTTATATCTATAGATATCTAAATCTAAAATGAATTAACAACCTTATTTATTTCAATTTTAATTTTTTATTTTATAGATAACTACAATCGGTCGTTATGGTATGTCTGCCATGAAGTGTAAAATACCACTTGGCTGGTTCTATGGCGAGATAGTTGATATTGCTAATGTTCCAGCGTCCATTAATGCACTCAACGCACTGCACCAAGATTTGACTTGTAGATTCAGGTAAAGTCGACAAAACTATTTAAACACTTAATACAACATTTTGCAATATTTACGTCCTTTTAATGTCCTTTACGGTTCCAAAAAGTTCTTCAGTTCTTGAGAAAAAATTTTTAAGGACTCAAAATGAGCTTACTGTCTATCAGATGCTAAAGTTATCAGAGCTCATAAAGTTTCAAATCAATTTGTTTATCTTAAATCAGGAGGTGGAATTCTGTATGATATTATAATATGATTTGCCCCACTCATTAAACATAGTTAAAACGGTAATACCACGCTTACTATGACACCTGCTGTACTTCATACCAGTAGTAAGATTTTTTAATCCCTCACTCAATTGTTGTTGTGGACTTCAAAAAACGAATGCTTTTATAAACAGGTTGGCGACAGGCAAACTAATGGACCTCCTAAATCCGTATCTGGAACTGTACAATGGTAATGCAGTCCACATGATGTCTTACCTGAATAGTACAATGGATAACGAAGGAAAAGTTATAACAGCTTACCACGAGTGTATAGAGCTCCAGCAACAGATACATACATGTACTAATGTTTTGAAGAAACTACAGAATAAAACAGATAGCACCCGAAGCATACCAGAGCTGATTGCGAAAGGAAAGGTGACCACTGAAGGTCTTCTTCAGATGTGCTCGACAGATAAACTTAGAGTTATCACAGAGAATATTGTGGATATGTTGCTTTATTTCTATTTCCAAATTGGTGAAATAGTAAGTACAATTTTTAAAGTTTATTACTGATAAATAGAAAATAATTTTACCATATAAGGATTTGTTTTGCTTACATACATGATTAGATTAGATTAGTAATCTTGATGTTTAGCCGTTACCAACGTTTGTCAGTAGCAGTGTGAGAGAAACTTGAGCAATTGTTTTGATGTCTTGGTTGCATTAAATTAACTAATATACTGTACTGTTGATTGATTGCTTTGCGTCATAAATAGCCATGACGTACCCAAGTAGAGGAAGTTAGGTAGACAAACACGTTAATATATCTACTGTTGGATGAAGTAGAAGTAGTGGAATCTGATCTGTGGATTTTTGATATAAGAAAAATAAATGATACAATCCTACTACCTACTGGTGGTAGGACCTTTTGAGTCCGCACGGGTAGGTGCCACCACCCAACCTATTTCTGCCGAGAAGCAGTAATGCGTTTCGGTTTGAAGGGTGGGGCAGCCGTTGTAACTATACTTGAGACCTTAGAACTTATATCTCAAGGTGGGTGGCGCATTTGCGTTGTAGTTGTCTATGGGCTTCAGTAACCATTTACACCAGGTGGGCTGTGAGCTCGTCTACCCATCTAACAATAAAAAAATAGTAAAAAAACCTATGATCCATTGATGTAACTAGGTCAGAACATTTAAAAATACAGAGAAACTGTGTTTTATTACAGCAATACGAGGAGGTGACTCTGGAATGGTGTCAGAAAGTGACTCCGATGCTATGGGAGTGGAGCGGGCGGAACGCGGGCGCGCTGGCGTCGCTGTTGGCGCGTGCGTGCGGCGCCGCGCCCTGGTGGGGGCCGCACGTCGCCGACACCCTGACCGACGCCTTCGGGGCCTACGACGCGCCGCCCATCGCGCTCGACAGGTCTGTGTTGTTTTTGTGTATTTAATACACACTTGTACGTATACTCTCAATTAACTACCTATGTAGACAGGGTAAATCTAATTTGATCACGATAGTACTTTGATTGGCTAACAGAGATAATGTTGTATAGTTTATAGTCAAAATGTTGGAAGTGCAGAAGAAGCTATTTTTTTTAAGTTTTTGTTGCATTACGTAATTGTTTTAGGGAATGTTGTAAATGAGTCTCCATTTTGTCTGTTTGCTACAACGAGATCTTACATTCCAGTTTGAAAGCTATCTAAGCTAAGCTTGTCAATTCCATTAATTGCTTAACATAATATGGACGAAGAGCTATCCCTCCTAATTACTTCTCTTTATCTATTGGATTTACCATTGATTTGTACAAATAAACACTGACCACTTTAATTTCAACTGCTGCTATTATTTTCCCCTTCATCAGTTAGGCGGTAAAGTGAGTATCGAGTAATTTAAATTACATGCAGTTTACAATCTCCAGGTGTCTGGTGCTGATAATGTACATGTGCCGTAAGAGCGTGCTGTCGGACACCGAGGGAGGCGTGTGCCCGGCGCTCGCGACCCGCACCCTGGAGCTGCTGCAGAGCGGGAGACCACAACCGGCGCTGACGGCTGCACTATTGACTGCCTTGTCAGCTGTTCTAGATGCTGTGTCTGCAGTCACCAATAAACATACCAGGTATTTGGGTTTTTCATGTTTTAAAATTTCGAGTACTATTCCATAAGGGTTCGGGCACGACACGATTGTATCTGAAACTACATTCTTGATCCCGCGGACCGAATGGTAAACAGTCGACGTCGCCAATAACACATTTTGGATCCTCCCGATCCACTAACGGTGCGTTTAGGTACCTCAAGCACCGGCTATCGTTCTCATCGAACCCGTCGCTTGCGACGAAGAGTTCGATGAGTAAATTAACCCACAGACACAGCCCACTGAGTTTCTCACCGGATCTTCTCAGTGGGTCGCGTTTCCGATCCGGTGGTAGATTCTGCGAAGCACTGCACTTGCTAGGGTTAGTGTTAGCAACATCGTCAGGTTTGAGGCCAGCGAGCTAACCTACTTATTAGAGTCGCGCTGAAATGGCCTCTCAAAGCCATCAGCATAGGTAGGACAAAAAAAAGTCACCTGGTAAGGCGTATTGTAAGCCCGCTCAGATAGGTACTATCATCCCGCTGATTTCGATCGCGAAGCAGTCAAATGTTATAGTTATTTTTTAACTTTTATTTTACGTATTATTAAAATAAAATTAATATATTACTGAGATATACACCATGGTGTGATGTTGCGGCTGTACAATATGTATGTAATATAGTAATATAACATAGTATATAAAATATGTATAATAATAGACACATTAACAAAATTGAATGTCATTGGTATAAAAAAAATATCATTTTTTTTAACAAATGTCAATGGTTATTAGTGAACAGTTTACAAGAATAATTTAATCTAGACATTCAGAATGTGTTAACGTTGTCCGTCCAGATGGGACTGGGTGACGGGCGGGCGGCCCGGCGCCAGCAGCGGCGCCGACACCAGCGCCACGTCGCCGCGCGTGGCCGACTGCCGGCTGCACAGGCGCAAGCTGCACAAGAAACTGCTGCACCAGGTGCGCGAGGTCGAGGCTGCCAAGACCGGCATGCAGGTCGCTTTGGAAGATCAACAGGTAGCACCATACTTGTGTTCTGAGATCTATACGAGAATACGGTGTGCTCGATGACTGGAACTCAATAGCGCTGGGATGTATATTGTAAGCCGGCACCGCTAGGTGTCATGTTTCGAACGTGAAGCCGCCATATACATACTTATTTTAATCGACATCTGCGATATAATTCTCGTGTCTCAAGGTGGATGACGGCATTCAGATTGTGATTTCTATTAATTCTGGTAGTCACTTAAATCCGGATGAGCCATGAGCTCGTTCACTCGTTTGTGTAATAAAAAAATTGCCGCGCTCCGCGGTAACCGTTTTTCGATTTTACACTTCACTTGTGTTAAATACCATTATCGAAATGACTCGTCATAACGTGACAAAAACCTTCTCTATAGTACCCATAATACTGTACTAACATGGTAATAACTTGAAGAAAATCAATTTGTACAGTGGATTTATCAAAAATAAGAACAGAATCATTTCTGTCACATTATATATAAAATTGTTGTTTTGCAGCTATTACAAAGAGCTCGCATGAGTCTTAAAGCTCGACTAGCCGTGGCTGGTAAGCGTGCGCTAAAAGCTGACGTCATAGGCTCGGGCGCTGATTTTCCACCGCCCAGACCTCTGTCTCCCGCGCTGGCCGGGCAACTGGCCCAAGCACTGGTGGCTCACATCCTGGCAGCCGACAGTGCCAGTGACGGAGACGCATTGTTGCTCGCCGCTAAGGTAATTTCAATCAACTTTATATCCATAGAGTTGATGCTCAGCTAATGTGTCGAACTATCCCTCCTTGAGATGACAGTGCCAACAGGCGGACGTCACGTCCTATACAATTCTTTCAAATAGAAACTGTTATATTTGCAAAAACTGTAGCAAGGGGGTCTATGTAAAAATACCAATATTTATGATCTACGGTGACCATCAAGTAATAGATACATTGTATTCATGGCGGTCTTCCGCTGCAGTTTGAAATGTTTAAAATTAAAAACCCAAAAATAAGACAAAAAATCTCGCAAAAGAATTTACTAATAGATGAGAATAGGCTATATTTATTTCACAGTTTTATTAGTGTGAATTTACCATATTGGTACTTTTCCCAGTTTTGTTTGCAGTCAATTGAAACTAACACAACTGTCACTTATTCTGGTAACATTTGCAATTGCAGTATTTATCGGTTGTTAGCACTTGTGAACAAATCACGTAGTGTATACAGCTGTGATTCGTAAAAAAATGTATACAATGACCGTGACGCCTTTAAGTCACTAGTGCCACGTAGCGCAGTGAAACCACTGAAGTGTGTTATAGTAATTATCGCTGAATGTTTCAAAAAAACAAAATGTGTGCAATTCACACGTGGTAGAAGTGAAACCTTCCAAAATTAAAATACAATTATCCTAAACGTCTTAAGTATATGTAAAATTTTGTCATTAGTAAATAATTGTAAGGTAGCGCCCTCTGTGAATTGATATTTTCATTTCACGTATAATCCTAAATTAAAATTCACTACAAGAGCTTTCATACACACGTTAATATTAAAAAATCTCACAGATGGCGCTGTATTAAATAGTATGTATATTTCTGTCTCATTCTTTGCTGGCTTCATCGTACACATTTTTGTATTTGTGTCTCTTACCTGTCGTTTTTTCCGTTGCATCCGGTTTGAAATCACAACGATTCTAAAGAAGTTTTCACTTCAAAAATTAAATCACCCTGTACCCGCTAATAATGTTTGTGCTGGACTCGGTGTGAACAAATGTAACGAGTGGTGGCACTCGAGGAGATGGCCGCGTGTAGACGGGCTCTGAGACAGGTTCGTGCCGCAGGTGGTGGGGCGGCTGTGCGCGCTGTCGGGCGGCGACAGTCTGCTGGAGCCCTCGTGCGTGCTGGGGCTGGCGCGCCTCGCCGTCACGCTGCCGCCCTGGCCCAGGCACGCGCTCACCACGCTGCTGCAGGTGAGTTCATTGGCCAGCCACAGCCAGGGGTGCCGGCTTGAAGGTTGCTACAAATTTATGCCTCACGGTAGGTGGTGCCGTTGACTTTGCAATGTCTAGGCTCCGGTAATCACTTAACACGGGATGTGCCGTCAGCTCTTCCACCGCCAAATACAATAAAATAGTCCAAAAGATAACGGCTACTTTTAACAAATAAATGAAAAAAATAAAAACATTAACACGCTGGACAGTATTGTCACGCGCTGTGGTTCGGGATAAATAAAATTCCACCAAAGTACAACTAAAAACTGTATTCAACACTTAAAACACTTTAAAACACTCAACAAACACTTTAAAACTCTCAATTCGCTTCTTCCGCTTCGCTTCAGGTGATCCGTTCGATGTTTCGCTTCGAGTAGTTCCGATTGCTGACTGACTGCGTGCCATCCCTGCAACGCTTTTATAGTCGATACCACACCCCTAGAATTATCGAGAATATTTCACACATCTCTAGTATTGTTTCCGCTATATGACAATAGATGGCGTTGTACTTCTCGAGCGTTCCGGGTGCTACTAGATCCTTCTATATTCGTTCGACTATTCGGCGATAGATGGCGTTACTCTTACCCGCATAACAGTATTATAAAAGTTAACGTAAAGCGTGATTTAGACCGCACCCATACATCCGATCAATGCTGTCACTCCGTCCGCAGGATCTGGTTGAGTACGAAGGTGGCGAAGTGAGTAGCGAAGAGTGGGGCGGCGGCTCGCGCGTCATACACGTGGCGTCTGAGAAGAAGTCTGGGAAAACTCGCAAGAACAAGGGACCGACTGTTGCAGGTCAGTACCGTAACTTGATATTGTTCCTCGCGCATTTTAAAAAGGTTGCATCACCATATGCTTGAATGTTTGAAAACATTTTTTTCATTTGCAAGCGTAATACTGTATTGTGATACGAACATATTAAGCAGATTACAAATGACCTGAATCACAATAACTAATAAACGTCATATATCGTTTGTTTATCTCTGTACAGTGTCATCGTATATAATTAAATAATAATAATAATAATGAAAACTAGACATTAAGATGTACAATGTATTTAAGTGAACAGTATTTCTGTCCAACAGTAAATCGCTTATGTTTTGAATATTCTGTAACATTGGAGATTAATGTTAAAGTAATTTCAAATATGTCACCAGTAATATTGTCTTTAATTAAAAATAATTTTTGATAGTGTGAAAATAGAAACTAAATCCAGTCATCAATATAATTATAAAAATAAAAAAATAAAAATTTTTTTAGCCTTTTTTAAATTCATTTATAATTAGTTTTTGTAATTATAAATTTACAGTTTTTAATTATTGTTTGAATATTGTTAAATTTGTTTCTTTAGTAATATATTGATTTATATTTGAAATCTGTGTTAAAATTATTAGTTTGAGTAGTAGTTGAAATTGATATTTGTTATTGCAGATTTGCTAGCGGATAGTTTTGGTATGGCGAAAGGCATTCCCAAACCGACCTGTGTCATGCCATCAAGTAAGGAAATGACGAATTTTGGTTCGAAGAAACACACAATTCACGCTATAATATAGTTAAAACAACACCTAATTTAAAACATATTAAGGTTTCCCATTGAAATAATATTTTGTGGTACTATGGATGAGGCTATTATTAATAATATTCGTAAAGTCATAACTAGGTTCTAGGTATCGAATGCTTTAAATTATAATTCCTTTAGGGATAATAGCATATTATTCATACTAATCTATTATCAGTATTATTAATGCTACTCACTAGTTTTTTTTTAAACAAAGAATATTTTTCACCGTAACCATTCAGACAGAGATGATTAAAAACCTTTTTGAAAATCCTAATTTAGTGTAATATTTATTATACTTTTATGCTTATTATATTGTAGTACAATATTTAAAAACAATACAATTATTTATTAATTTTTATTTATGTATTTTTTATAAATAGTGGCTATTTTATAAATACAATAAGTTATATCACTATCAATTATAACAAATCTATTATCAATTAATATCAATTAAAATTCTTCGAATTAAAATTCTAATGAGCAAAAATGTTTGTGAATTCATCAAAGCTTAATAACAATTCACGAAATCGCATACCACTACGGATTTGTTTCAAGGCCAGCACTAGCCGCAGCAATCTCGCATAGCACCATCCATAACGATACAGTGTGTTGCCAACATTATACTGTCTTAGTTGTCTAATTAAAAGAAACTGTTTTGTCATTGCTTTTGCTTCATCATAAACATTATAAAAAATGGAATAGTTTTTTTTTAAATACAGCTTGTGTTTTAAACCCACGTAATAGCTAAAAATACGCAAGATGCTTATATAATATGGGTCTTTTAACAATTGAATTTGTTCCAGTGTCAATCAAGGACATCGACGTAGAACTAGATTTAAATCAACCAGAGTCCAATGATTCAGACTCTTCGGAAGAGAAACTCGACCAATATTTCTTGGAAGCCGTTAAAAAAGTCACTAGTAGTCTCAAAATCGCTATTGACACAAGCAATAGGTATGTATATATTTTAATCATAAATACATCTTGATTTTGAGTTCGAATAATATAAATCGAAATCAGATAGAACGCATTCCCGATTCTGCGGACCGAATGGTAAACAGTCGACGTCGCCCTAAGCACGTCATTACGAATCCTGATCCACTAATGGTGCTTTTAGGTACCTCAAGCACCGGTCATCGTTCCTGTCGAATCCGTCGCTTGCGACGAAGGGCTCGGCTAATTTAACCCATAGACCCAGCCCACTGAGTTTCTCGCCGGATTTTCTCGGTGGGTCGTGTTTCCGATCCGGTGGTAGATTCTCTCGAAGCATCGCTCTTGGTTCCTTACCTTAACCCTAGGTTCGTGTTAGCAACAACGTCGGGTTTGAGCCCCGCCAGATCACCTACTCGCCCGGTGACGCTGATATGGTCATTTAAGGCGATAGATATATAGATAGAACGACTGATTCTATATTGATTGGGTAATAATAATATGTATAATAATACGAGTGCGTTTGACATTATTCGCAGCAACTTGTCTCAGTGCGCGGACGCTCGGCTGGAGAGCGCGGGCGGCGGCGCCGGCGGGCCGGGCGAGGGCTTGGCTCGGCGCGCCCTGCTCACCACGGGACNGATATGGTCATTTAAGGCGATAGATATATAGATAGAACGACTGATTCTATATTGATTGGGTAATAATAATATGTATAATAATACGAGTGCGTTTGACATTATTCGCAGCAACTTGTCTCAGTGCGCGGACGCTCGGCTGGAGAGCGCGGGCGGCGGCGCCGGCGGGCCGGGCGAGGGCTTGGCTCGGCGCGCCCTGCTCACCACGGGACACGCGCTGTCCATCGCCGTGCTCACCGCACCCCTCGCGCCCCGCACGCCGCCCGCCGCGCCTCCCCCCGCGCCCCCTCTGCGACACCACCCCCCGCTTACGCACACGCTCTACGATGTCTTCAGGCATCTCGCACTTGAGTTCCACAATAAGGTAAACGAAAATGTGTCCACCTCAACTCAGTTGAAATTTCATTAATATTGGAATTATGCGAGGGTCCAAATTACTTTAAATTTATCGACCTGCTAATGAGCATTTTATTTCTATTGATGCTTATGAATAAAACTGTTTGGCACTCTTATACTTGATAAAAAACTATGATAACCAAAGTATCTTCTACGCATTTTGCGAGTCGTAGATGTTGTTGTTCTTGATTGTGAATTTCTCAGACTGTATTTCCTTTGTGATTTCTTTCTTAGGTGGTTTGTGAAGTCTGCCGTTAAATTATAAATACTAGTTAATTCTCTTTGATTTTAATTTGAAAGTAATATTGTGAAAGTATGTAATAATATTGCGCGTCTTGTAGCTGTTGAGTCCCGTTCAGAAGTGAAGGTGGTTGTCTGTTGTGTCCGCGCTGCGGAGCTCGCCGGTCCGCCGGTTTGCCGCCCTCTCCCGCGCCGCGCTGCCTCCGTCTTTCCCGACTTCGCGAAAGAGGAGTTGATGCGTAAACAGTTGTTAAGAGAATTTTTACGGGTCAAACACGCGTTTCAAGTCTGCACACGTCACGGTCACGGATGCCTGTGCACGAACATGAAAACTGTAAAGTAATTGAAACGCAGGAAATAATGTAATGCAAATAAAAAACTCGATATTAAATTGTGAAGAAATTTTAATGAATACTATTATAACTCATCATAAATAAAATCATGGTAAATAAGTTTATTGAATAATAAGGTTTAAATAACATTTTGACTATTGTTGGCATACCTTCGATAAGCACTTTATTATGTACAGGAAGACTTGTGTGTCTAATGTAATTTTTGTTGTTAGAGGGACCAAGTAAAGAATTTTGATAACATCGGAAACTATGCCCTGTTATGTTGTATATGTAACTATACTTGAGACCTTAGTATTTATATCTCAAGGTGGGTGGCGCATTTACGTCGTAGATGTCTATGGGCTCTAGTAACCACTTAACACCAGGTGGGCTGTGAGCTCGTCCACCCATCTAAGCAATAAAAAATAAAAAAAATATTACAGCGGTACATTGGTTGTTCAAGTCGTTAATTTTTAAAATTTTACAGATCGAATGCTCGTTTATGGAGAACGTAGTGTCCCTCTGGTTGACCCTGAACGGCTCGGCGTGGGGCAGCGGCGGCGCCTGGTCGATGGCCACGCTCGCAGTGCCCGTGGACAGGCCGCGAATACGATTGGCGTCTGATACTGTTACGGCCTTGCTTCAGTCTCTGTGCAAGTAAGTCTATGAATTTCGTTCACAGGGATGATGATGATTTGAAAATTTAAATATGAGCTTTCAAAATTCTGCTTTCAATGATAACAATATTATAATTTTTTCCATTAACATGTCGAATGGCTTTTAGAGAAACGAAAAATGACAGTTCCGATGGTTTTAGCGAAAAACATTTTTTTCAATAAAATACCATACATTAAAAACACTAATATTAAATTAAATGCTTACTGTTATGTATTATATATAGTTAATAAGTACAATTACACAAATTTACCATTTTAGTACATTAGGATCTACTTTCTGCAAACTGAAATTGTACTAATTGTTGTAATTCATATATTTTGTTACAGATTAGAAAACGTCTCGCTCCGCTGCTGGGTATTATCCATGCAAGCCTTGGCGTGGATCGCGAGCTTGCCCCTGCTGGTAATATAATAATTTTGGGAGTATAATTTTTCTGAAGAGGAGCTTTTGTGAAATTCTGATTATTCAATTTGATTATAGACTGAAGACGGCTGTCAGACTATGGGTCGTGTGATTTTGGAATGTGAACACTTCGTACCCACGTTAGTGAAGTTCGTCACGATGAACGTGAACGCTGACGGCACGGTCGCTTCGTCGGAACCTTACCTCGTGAGTTAAATCTCATATTAAGTGTAGTGTTTTAAAGCAGTTTTTTTATTTTCATAAAATAACTTATTATATTTCTTTAAAAAAATCATATACTATTTACAATTTAAGACAATTGAAAAATATAATAGCGCAAATTGTAACATACTAGGGCGGAGCGCATATAGGTGCCGGAGCCGGCGCCGCTTCGGCGCTACACTCGGTGATGTCCCGTGTGGTGTGCGGGCGCGGCTCGGCGGGCGCGCTGGCGGCGCTGCGCACCGTGGTCGGCGTGTGGACCCGCCCCTCGCCGCCCGCCCCCGCCTCCGACTTGCACGCCACGTTGTTACGGCTCGCTCATCCCATGCTGCCAGTTCTGTCATCGCATCACCTACATCACGCCTTACCTCTCTTCGAAACAGTCGGTACGTACGATTACATTTGTGTTCTGCATCTTTAAGAGAAAATGATATTAATTGCGACGTATGCGTGTTCAGCGCACGCTTCGTGGTGGTGGGTGTGCGAGACGAGCTGCGGGCGCGGCGAGGGCGGGGCGGAGGCGCGACTGTCGGGTCTGCTGGCGGACGCGTTGGCTGCCGGCGCCGGCCGACGGCCTCCACTGCGCCGCGCTCTTATTGCGCAACTGTTGCACTATTGTCGTAGGATGCTGGCTCTACCTTTGCCGCAGAACGATCAATCTGCCGGATCCTCATCGGTAAGTATAGCACTCAGTTACTTTCATTTCAATGTAACCCTATGGTCATATGGTGGTATATAAATTTACTGAAATAATGTATCATCTATTTATGTAGTCATCCTCTAATGCGGGATCGTCGGGTCCGGAACAGTCTCAGACAGACGAGAGCAAGGCACAAAACAACGCTCGTGAAGCCAACGTCGAAGATGAAAGAAAACAGCAAGCGGCCCGAACTCCTTGCTTTGCTGACACCGGTAATGCACGAAATCTATTGTAAAACATACAAATTTTTTTTTGGCAATCGTTGTTTATTTTTACTAATTATTAAATTTTTATTTCAGTATTACAACAACATCAAATAATGTACAATCTTTATAAAACCCTGTCCATATGTGATGGACTCAACATGGCTCTCTTAAATTCAGGTGTGTATTGAAATAACTTAATAAAATTATACTGAATTCATTATAATGAAAACAATAATGATTCATAATTTGAATTTAATGAATGATTAATACTGAATTTCAAATTCAGACAAAAACTTTTCGGACTTGAGCATGAACTCTGAGACTGCTTCAATGAAAGAAGAAATGTATTGGCTGGTGGCACATATCGCCGCCGCTGCTTCGAACCCAAGTCTGATGGTTCCCAGCCTCATCGAATTTATACGTAAGTACCTTATTGTTGCGACTTCAGATATTTATATATACGCCGCAAGTTATCGTCGTCAAGCCGAAAAGGCAATAACCGTGACGTAAATAGAAAACATCCATTGACTAAACCAATCACATAAGTTCTCATCATATTCGCCAAATGGTGAACCGTAAAAATTTTTTAATTACTTCTTTACAAATTTAGTTTGAGCGTGTGACGTCATTTGAGGTCAAATATACGACAGACAATAGCATACACTACTATACAACCACAAGCCACATGAGACACATGTCACATGAGACACATGTTGTGATCAGTGTTTAACCTTGACGTGAAAACTTGTCACAATTGTCAGTGATTGAAAATAAAAATATATTATCAACATTCCGTACAACAGTTTCCTAGATTATTTTTATTTTGGTTGCCTAATTTACACTTGCTGATTTGAAAATTACACTTAAAAAGTAGTGAAGTATAAATTCATATAATTTTGTTGTGATCTTTTTTACTTTTAATCTATTACGAATAACAATTTTGTCTTCGTCAGCATTACACAAGGGTCGCGCTTGCACTGGGTTCTTTGGGCTCGGCCTGATTACGCGTAGTTTACTTGTGTCGCTTTATAAACGGGTACGCGTATCTTTTTATACGCGTAGCTTGGGTACGCGTTCCTTGGAACGCAAAGTCCGTAAGAGGTTTAAGGTATTTGTTAACTTCACAGGTAAAGAAGATTTAGTCAAGTTATCACAATCTATGCAGCTAGTCATGATTCGTTTACTGGACAATCCGGAAGCTCTCGGTGCTTTCATAGATGCCGGAGGTTTTGAACTTGCAGTTGAGAAACTCACTGCTTGTCATCAGGTATGATGTAAATGTATACTGACTTAATGTATGTAAAATGACAGCTTGATAATGAACGATTTTACCTATTGTTTGCATACTTTTTCAGTCAGAACCCATTACTAGTACTGTGACATTGTACCAGTACCAGAGTTTCCAATTTTTTTTAAATATAAAGCGGATCTTTAGAAGAGATAATATTTCATTATTTTAAACCCTGCCACGCGACTTTCTGTGTTGCATCATTCCTCAATAACAAAGCAATTAGGAATACAGATCTGTAGTCAAAATACTAAATAATGATTATGTACTGGTTTCTATACAGGCCGGTCCGAACAGTGGACAAGGGCTCGTGTCTTCATTGATGAACTACCTCAAGCTTCCTCCTCAAATAATCAACATGTCAACTTCAGCAAACTCTAACAAGAAAAACCAAATGCCAGTTGTCGAGACTTCTAATGGACTGATCAATATCGCTCCGTTCTGTGAGTATCATGTAATAGCTCGTACAAAAGAATTATCGATAATAATGCATTTCGATAACTTGTTTTCATATTTTGAGCAAGAAATTGATTGATATCATTATGCTTTGAGGCTGTACGTATTGGAATCAACGTTTTCGGCATAAAGGAATCGTGAGTTCCAGTCTGATGATCAAACTAACCATTTTTGACCGATAAGACTTCTAGACTCCATCAATTAATCAACAGTCCGCAATAATCATTTATATTCGTCAGGAAAACTACTACGCGTAATTAAAAATGTGCATATATCGGCAGTTGGAATAGTCGACAAATTTGCGATACTTAGTATAGTAATCGTTAATACTAATAATAATAATAGTTATGAGCTTCTTCGGAAACATCATGCGGTCTCGCAGACATGAATTAGAGAAGCTCATAATTACGGGCCGCATAGAGGGCAAGCGCGCCGTGGGCAGAACACCAGCCAGATGGTCAGATATAGCAAGAGATGCACTTGGTGGTACTATGCAGTCCATGCCACCCATGATCGAGCACATTGGAAGAATGTCACATGTGGTCGCGATCCTCAGTAGTGAGTGAATGATATAGAAGAAGTACAGTAACAGTGTGATGTGAATTTGCGTTTTTTTTTTCAAGTATCATGGAAACTTTGAATAATTTATAATATCTGCACAGGCACGGTGACTTGCGGCAACCCGACAGCGCAGGCGGCGGACGTGCTGCTGGACGGCGGCGGCGGCGCCAACGTGCGGGCGGCGTGTGCGGCGCGACGCGTGCGGGCGGCCGCCTGGTCCTACCACTTCTTCAGCGCAGACGACGCCTCTCTCGCGATCACACTCAACCTGCCCTACGCCGTCCAACTGCACGAGGTGCAGCTGCAGCCGCATCTCACGAGCCTCGCCAGTTAGTATGGTTTAGTTGTCGGTGTAGCTTTTTTCTTTTTTTTTATAGCTTAGATGGGTGGACGAGCTGACAGCCCACCTGATGTTAAGTGGTTACTGGAGCCCATAGACATCTACAACGTAAATGCGTCAACCACCTTGAGATATAAGTTCTAAGGTCTCAGTATAGTTACCACGGCTGCCCCACCCTTCAAACCGAAACGCATTGTTGCTTCACGGCAGAAATAGGCGGAGTGGTGGTACCTACCCGTGCAGACTCACAAGAGGTCCAAATGTCTTACAAATGAGTGCGTGATTTTTGGTTAAGCTACCAGTCAATGTTCACAACTAACTTTTTTCCACCGATTTAAAACTAGGCACAAAAATAATCACAAAATATAATTTCAACAGGTATTATATTGATTTGTGCTTAGAAATAAAAACTATGTATTTTTGTAGCTTGCCCTGGTGCTGTCGCAGTAGAAGCGGGCTGCGGAGGTACGCTGGCTCCGCTGGGGCCTCCTCAGACTACAGCCGGGACGACCTTCATCCGGCTCGTTATATCGCGGCCTATAGTCTGCAACACAGTACAAGTGCGCCTGTACAAGCCGAGAGACAGCTCTAATATGGGTCTACTCCAGTTGAAGCTACTGGCCATGCCCGCATTCAATACAACGATACCTATCTCAGCGAATACGTGAGTTAATTCTACCAGATATAGATAATATCATTTGGAAACAAACAGCTCCTTATTTTACTAAAGAACCAATATACCAATTGAGACGTAGACCTGATGTTTCTAGATGGGAGGTGGTATTTGCGTAGTGACATCTATGGGTTGCGATAACTACAATACATAACAGGTGGGCCGTGGGATCGTGCACGCGTAACGCAAAAAATAAATAAATATAGTTAGATACTTACTACTACATATATAAATAGATGAACAAATGTTCTACATTAAAAAATAGTCGAATATATCTCATTATGCTGTATGCATTGAACAATGCAGCAACATCTGTTATATTTTAAGATGCATCACGTGTTCGTTTTTATAAAAAATACACAGTGGAGGAATAATTTCATTGTATATTTTTTAATAAGAATGACTTTAACAATATTTGGGTACTTTAAATTGACTATAATTATTATCCTAACATACGTCCATACTCGAAATCATAAATGGTAACTTGTAGGAATAAGTGGGCACGCGTGGTGTCGGCGATGAGTGGAGCCGGATCCCGCGTGTCGGATGCCCAATGGGCGGCGCTGTGCAGTGGCGGTGCGCTGGCGGCGCTGTGTGCGTGCGTGGCGGCCGGCGGGCCCGCGCAGCACCCTGCTGCCGACGCGCTGCGAGCCGCCGCGCGACACTACCCGCTCGTGCGACCCCATCTAGTGGCAGCGCTCCTCAACATGGACGCCCACGCTCACGCTAACGGTACGTCGCTCAAACTTTATTAGTGCACTCAGATTGACCCAGAAGCTCAAAAATTGCTTGAGAAATTTTCTCTCGAGTTCAAATTTAAGAAACGAAATTTAAGAAAGTAGAAAATAACTTCCTTTATTATTAGAATATAATTGACTAGCGATGATTCTCTTTATAAAGAAGATTAAATAAAATGACCCATGTAATCATATTTATCGACAAAATTTGAATAGTAAATATAAGTAGTATTGAAAGTCTAATTGGTCGGCAGCCTTCCAAGCGAGCCGCGCAGGTCGTGCGAATAGCAGCATGAGCGCGATATGCGGCCTGGTGCGCGCCGTGTGCGCGGAGAGTGCGGCGCAGTCAGCCGCCACGTACGTACAGTGGCTGGCGGCCGCCGCCGAGCGCTGGCTGCGCACGCGCACGCCGCCCCCCGCCGCCTTCACGCACACACTCGCAAACGTACGTACGCCTTATTGCTTAGTATCGATCTGGTAATTTATACGTACAAAATAAATTTATAACCTTTAGGTAGATTAGATTACCGTTAGCTTTGAACCGTGTTTGTAAATAGTTCTCACACAATTTTTAAGCATTTTTTTGTGATTTAAAAACGTGCTTCTTCTATTATTCAGCAAGCATAAAAAAAATTTAAGACCAACTATTTATTAAAATTTTCTAAATTAATACATTATGAAATTTGCAAAATTTACAGGTTTTATGGACATTGAAAGAAAAACAGCTGCTGGATAATGTAGAAGAATTAATTACGGATGATCTCTTTGACTTGGTCTATACTTGGATCAAAGAAGTGCCAGAAGCAAGTCTGCTGAAGAAATCACTTGACGCAGGTTCGTCTACAATATAAAAAAATATTAAAAATATACCCTGTAAAAATGTAAACTAGGTATACTTTTATAATTTGTTGTTGTAAAAGTTTATACTGTTAGTGAGAACTGTGAAAAGTTGAGTAGAACCCACGAATATCTTTGAATCTATGCAGTTATGGTATGTTCCATTGTGAGTGCTCTAAGGTAGTTCCGTGGAGCTAGTTCCTTGTTCAAGTCATCTGAATCGTCTTTAACTATCGCACTACCGATGTCAAACCAGAGTTCATCTCTACTTGTCGATCTGCTGGGTTCAAACGTAATGCGTTATAGTCGATATTGCCATGTAGCGCCTAGCTTTGGAATTATCTCCCAGTCTGTATCCACAGCGCTATCAGATGTTCTTCTTAAGCTTTGTTTTCGATAGGCAACCACTTAGCTGTGTGTCTTTGTCATTGATAGTTTCTAGCGGACCATATATCATAAATTGGGCCATAAGCTCGTCTGCCATTGAAAGCATTAAAAAAGTGCGTGCGTACAAAGTACACATGTCAGAAGTGAAACTTTTTTGGCGAACTAATTTATGAGTCTTGCTTATATTTATACAAATCTAAAACTTTAGATTGCCGAGACTTAGAGGAAGGGAAAAAGGAAGATATGTTCCCGCTAAAAGTCTGTCAAATGTCAATCTCAAACCTCAGTGTTGACAATCACATTATGTTTAGATTTCTAAATTGTAAATGACTAATATTTTGCCAATTGAATTGACTAATTTAATTTTATGCTATTTGATTAATGTTCCTAATTCTTTTCATTTCATTTCAATTCCTATTAACATTTTTCACAAAAAAATCATAAAATATTAGGCTGTATGGTATGATACATTTGCCTTTCCAGTTGGAAAAATACAACAACNCAATCACATTATGTTTAGATTTCTAAATTGTAAATGACTAATATTTTGCCAATTGAATTGACTAATTTAATTTTATGCTATTTGATTAATGTTCCTAATTCTTTTCATTTCATTTCAATTCCTATTAACATTTTTCACAAAAAAATCATAAAATATTAGGCTGTATGGTATGATACATTTGCCTTTCCAGTTGGAAAAATACAACAACTACTACTACTGACATTCGACCAGTACTTAATTTCAATAGTAGTTTGAAGTCACTTCCGTTGCATACCTGCGTGACGTTCTGTAAAAATTTTACCCTCATGCGCCTAAAGAAGTTTCACTTCAAAAATATAAAGTGGTTACCATAGTCCATACCATAACACACAATTGCCTAACAGCAGACAAGATTCGTTGATGGCGCTCACTCCTGTGAGCCACACATGCTCACCCATATTTAGAAACTTGGGGTTAAGGACCTATAGGTACTACTTTAGATAATCCAAATAAACTTTAGAACCATTGAAATATAATTAACTATGTTGCTATTATCTAAGCATGTACACTAACGATTCTTTTATTTTTAATACAGTTTTATGCTCGATGTGCTACATACGTCCGGAACTATTCAAGATGCTACTTGAGCATATGGATATACCAATGGATCAAGATGAAAGGTTAATTACTTTTAATATTAGCGTATGTGTTTTCATTGTTGTGTCCGCGCCCGCCAAGGGACGTACGTGACCTTACAGCCAGTATTGAACTCTTCGTAAAGATGAAGAGTTGGAACTTTAATTAGAAAGGAAATACCTAAGAAAATTCAAATTACTTTTTTCTGCCTATACAGCCCATCTAGTTTTAAGGGGCTACATACAGGAGACTATAGACATTTAGAACAGAAAGTTCAGGGCCCTCTGGAGATATTTTTCACACTGGAACGCGTTTTCTTCCCAGTACAGTCAAACCTGGATAAGTGAGAACTGGATAAGTGAGAAAACTCTATAAGTGAGAGTAATAGCCAGGACCCGTCATTTTTAGCGCCTAAAACCTCTATTAGCGAGAAACAGAAACCTCTGTAAGAGAGAGTCGTTTTTGCCTCATGGACCTCCGTGAGTGAGACTGCTACTTATCTATACCTCTATAAGCGACAGTCGAGCTTTATTTATTTATATTATTTAGGAGGCACAAATGACAAAACAAATTACAAATTTAACATCTGCTATTTTATGACCCATTCTTAACTTTCGTGGAACTTCTTAACATTGTTTTTGTATTGTTTTCTCGTCAATATTGAACCTATTCGATTTCGTGGAACTAAATAACGTTGTTATTTATTCGATTTCTTTTCGAATGGACACGTGTCCCTGTGTACCGTCCTCTTTGTCGGACTTACTCAGTTTGTCGTTAATCAATTGCGAAGGAAAGTTCTGTTCTGCATCATGTTAAAACGGAAAATTACAGTACTGCCATTAAGTGATAAACTTAAAATAGTGAATGCGTTTGAATCCGGGAAATCGCGAAATTAAATTCAGAGGGTGCATTAGCGAGAAACTCGGGTTAGTGAGAAACCTCTATAAGCGAGAATGAGATTGTGCTCCCTTGAACTCTCGCTTATCCAGGTTTGACTGTATAAATAAACAGGATATTGGTATTGATATAACTGGCGAGCACGTAATAGAAATAATTTTGGATTGATTTTATAACATGACGTCATTCTTTCATCGCCAAAATGGTTCGAGAACATGTTTAATTACCTATGTATTTATTTTAAAGTTTAATATAATCACTCTTTCTTGACTATCGACGTCATAATATGTACCGTAATAATTTACTTTTTGCAATTTAGTACAGAATTCGCGAGCACTTTTTATCGATATCGGTTCGCCTCTTTATAGTTTACTTAACGTTAGTAAGATTCGCGGCAAATGAAAAGCGTTTGAAAGCTGTAGTAATATTAACAATATTCGTGACGTTTGGCCGAACAGCATGGAAGGCGTGACCGACGACACCAAGGTACAGGGCTCCAGCAGAGAGGGCGGCGCGGCGGACGGCGGCGTGGCGTGGCGCCTGCGCGGCTGGCAGCTGCGCACCGTGGCCTGCGCCGCCATGTCGCCCGCCGCCACGCTCGCGCTGCTGCACTCGCGCCTGCCCGCCGCCGTCGTCACCGCCATCGCAGGTATCATATTGACACTTCCGAATGTTATGGAAGCTTACAAACTCTTACTTACTCACGGTGAAGGAATAACATGGTGTAATAAAAATCAAACCCGCAAAATTATAATTTGCGTAATTACTGGTGGTAGAAATTCTTGTGAGTCGGCACGGGTAGTTACCACCACCCCGCCTATTTCTGCCGTGAAGCAGTAATGCGTTTCGATTTGGAGGGTGGGGCAGCCGATGTAACTGTACTAAGACCTTAGAACTTATATCTCAAGGTGGATGGCGCATTTACGTTGTAGTGTCTATGGGCTACAGTAACCACTTAACAACCATATAAAAAAAAATTTGCAAGTCAATTTAGGTTTTTGTCAGATTGCTTCTAGTGTATGTTAGCTACACTATTCGCAAATAAAAGACAAAGTTCATCTATTACTCATAAGTTTAAAGAGTGTGAAACTTGTGTGGTATCTTCTTTACAATACCTTGAACATTGCCCAAAGAGTGTGATTCTTACTTCCCTCCTTGTCTATTTTTGCCAAGAAACAACCAACCGCTCCAATTTTCATTTTTATGGTCCAGGAAAAGACCGCGTAATGAAGTCTAAGCAATCATTTTAATTAATAACGTTCTTAAGATATGAGTATTCGTGCTCATCAAACACTTCACATCTCCAACGCACGTGAAACACATTTGTCTAACGTTCATTAATTTGCAATTCTCAACAGAATTCAGCGACGCTAAATTGGAGGCAATAAAACTTCAACGTGATGCTCAAGGAGATGTACCAATGACGGATTCGGATAGAACCACTGGAATGAGTAAAACTGGTAAAATTTATAAAAAATATCTATATATCATTATACTATAATTCAAGTACATAAAGGGTATCATCTATGTGTATCTCATGTAAACAAAAAAAACTTTCATTATTAAATATTAGTTGAAGATTATAATTAATTAAACAATAAAGAATTATGTGATAATAATGTTTTGGATTCAATGATTTATCATTTTTTATTTGATTTTACTGGTATATTTTCAGGTTTGACATCAATGAAGAGTGTATGTGAATTAGTGGAATGGGCGCGGCTGGTTTGCACAGAGCGTATACTTAAGGACTGGCTCGGAGGACCGGGTTCTTGTTTCTGGACACCACTATTGCGACTGCTTTGTTACCCGAGACACGCTGAGAGGTTGACTAGATTCCTTAGTTTCTAAAACAAATAATGTAGATTGTTATCTTAATGATTATTTAATTTATTTTGTCATTTAATTGCAGCACCTGGCACGAAGGCGCAGAGTACGCGCAACTGGAGGAAAATACTATACGCCTATTTTCCGAATTAACAGTTTGTCACCCCGCCAACCAGAAACTATTCGCGTCAACGTTGCACAGCATATTGGAGTCTGTGCACTGTACAGGTATGAATAAGAGTATCAATAGTATTCTGTTGCGAAATGTTCAATAATGTTTCTTTGGAAATAATTGTGTTTTCCTTTAGGTCCTGAAGGCATCAGCGGGTTCAGTCGCGCGCTGATCCTGCGGCTGGTGCTGTCGGCGGAGCGCGTGCGCGTGGCGGTGCGCTGGGCGAGCGGCGCGACGTGCGTGGTGGGGGGCGCGGGCACGGCGCTGGAGGGCGCGAACCACCCCGCTCTGCACTGCGACGCGCTCTACTCGCTGCCGCTGCACACCTCGCTCAGGACGCTCATCGCAGTGTCTGGCGGATCTGCTATATGTAATTTAATGTTATCTACATAAATGATCTGTTACCTTTAGACTTCGACCTTAGGGGTCAGGCTGACTTTAAAAATGTGGCGAGTGAGCAAGTCATCTCAACACGGCACCAAAATCATACGATTTTGCGTCACATCAGGTGATCCGAGTGCCGTATGCAAAGCCGGCTAAACCACGCCCCCTGCAGCATGGGCCGACGCATCTTATTTGTCGCTAAAGTGCTAATGTGCTAGGGATAAAAATGCCAGGCCTTAATCTATTGTTCCTCGGGCAGAGGGCATGTTGAAAGGGGCGGCAACTCCTGCGCAAAATTATTATTGATTAGTTTCGATTTTTACTATAAATACGATTTTGCCGTAATTGTAAAACAGAGACTCTGGAATACTTCAAAAACTTATAAATACGATTTTATAAAGTTATACAAGAAGTAAAAATTACAAGATAGTTGCAATTTCACACAAACATTTTCATTCCTTTCGCAGTTTTCCCTGTGGTGGAGGAGTCGAAGCAGAGCGTGAGCAGCTCCGGCACGGCGTCCGTCCTGCGCAGCGCCTCGGATCCCGCGATCGGTGGCGGCGCTGAAATGTGGGAATTGAGTCTGGCTGCGGCTAGCGTGTCCAAAGATAAGCGTGTTAAGGATGTCAAAAACTCTTCCCTCAAGCACCACGCCAGCAAGAAACGGCAGACCAAAGCTGAAACCACCGTCGCGGCGGTGACCGAAGGTCAGTGCGTGCCCTACATAATCCGACCAATAAAATTCACTAATTTTTCAGTTAAAGTATCACTCTAAAATGCTGTTTCGAGTCGACAATATCAAACTTATTTTATAAAAAATTGCAAATAAACTAAATACATATGCAAATAAAAAGAAATGTAATTAAAGCAGGCTAACTAAAAAATAAAAGATTACGCCATCTTTAGATTTGTGTATTTTGTGTATGCAGCATAACGAGTATATATTAATGTTATAGCGAAAGTCTGTAATGCTAATTATAAAAAAAAAAACTAACAGATATGGTCGAAGGCAACGTGCGCATAAAAATAGAAGGCATAGACGCATACGTGGGCGGCAACGTGACGCTCGGACAACTGATATCTTCTGTGCCGCAAGGGTACGGACCTCACCTCACCGTGTCATTGCATTTCGACACCACGGGGGGTAAGATTTCTTTACTTAACGAACAATTTAACATTTTAAACTCGACAGATGTCATGTAACATCCGTAAAACGATTTTAGTATGACTAAAAACGAAGTACTTGTTTGATTCGTTCTCTTGTAATGCCTCCGATGTAATGGTGAACACGGAAATAAAACTAGTAACTTATATGTTTTATCTGAATCTTTGGACTTGTTTAAATTGTTAACTTTAGCTTCAATATAGTACCATAGTAGAATGAACCATCAATAAACATTTTATTACTATCTAAATAATTTTAGCACTTAAAATAATTTAATATCTTGAGTCAAATACATAATTGTGGTAGTCATTTTTACAGAGGCGGTAGGACCTATGTGGGACAATAACTCGTCTAGCAGCGGGGTAGCGTCGAGCACGCTGGTGCGGGAGTTTGGTGCGTGCGGCGGGCTCGCGCTGGTGGCGGCCCGCCTGCCGCGCCCGCACGCCGCGCCGCCCGACCCACCGCGCCCCTCGCACCAGCAGGACCTCGACTGGGTCAAACTCGACGACGCCTATGAGGTAACGTAATCTTCAAAGAGCTAATCACTTCACAACGTAGCAACGACATATCGTCTTTTCGCATTAAAAGTGTACAATTTCCAAAAATATTCGAAATTGAGTTAATATGAAGAATCATTTGGCAACACCAGTATTTTTCTCATAAATACTGTCAAAAGAGCGTAGTTTAGTTTTAGTTTTTTTTTAGTTTACCTATATTTTCAGTACTATTAACAAAATCAATACACAATTTTATCTTACTTTAAAAGACAGATAATGTAACTGGTAAAAATAAAAATTAATGTTGCAAAGATGATTAACATTAAAAATATCATATTATGTTAAACCTTTAAACCACTCTCCTGTAAAATTTAGTAAGTTTTGAGATTATACAGTTTTAATGCGAGAAGACGATATATGAATACAAAAATTTTATATTTTAGAAACCATATTTCGACCGAAAATACCAACTTTATCGTATTACACCGTGGTGCTATTTATCACTTTTTGTGCTAGCTACATATATTTTATATACTCCGCGCGCGAGCTCCGAGGATTCGGGGGCTGAGGAAGCGGGCGGGCGGGCACCGCGCCCCACCGTCGCTTCATACCCCGCTCTCTCCCAGTACTAGTGTTGACCTTAACGTGAGAGTACGCTTACCGACTCGTTGTTTTTAATTTTGCGATAGCAGTGTTAATTACGTGTGATTTCTAATATAAATAGTCTTACACTTATAATCTTTTTGTTTGCACAAATAGCTATTTAATTTGATGAAAAAGGAATGGCGAGCACTACCATATAATAAACAAACCTTAGCATTAGAGGAATATTACTGGCAAAAGGATGGCTTAATGGAGGACGTTGTCGAATCATTTATTATTGAAGTATGTGAGGAGAACGACATCAAATTCTTCAACTACTGATTAATCTGATTGCGAGAGTAATTAATAAGATTTCAGGTTCATTTTGTTCAGTAAAAATCAGTTCATTAAATGAAATTCATACGTGATCGATTGTTTTTTTTTTTTCAAGTACATAATATCCTCATAAAACTATTTTATAATTTACACTGGCATGGAGGATTAAGATGTGTTAGTATCGATAGCGCAATATCGACTAATTACAACACTAGCTCATTACGTCAACATTTCTTAAAAATCCTCGGAGCTCGCGCGCGGACAGTACATATTATGTCACATATCTAATAACTAAGTAATGTACACAATCCGCATGTTGTTACACCATCGTTATAATGCGAAATTGTTGAATTATTGTGATGATTCATTTGTACTAGTTGATAGCTTAGTAAATTTTATATTTGAAGATACTATTTATCGGTTCGTGTGGTCGCTAGATATATATTATTTTTTAAATATTATGTATACGATTCTCGTCGTATAGGAGGTGGTCGAGCTAGCAGTGACGTCGGGCAGTAACGGTCCCGACGAGTCGACCTGCACCGGGGTGCCGGCTCACGCGCTCATCGCCCTGGGCTTGTTACTGAAGCTCCCTGGATACGCCGACGCGCTGCTGGACGAAGGAGCTCGCGCTGTCCACCTGCTGCGGCTGTTGCTGGGAGTCACGCACGACGAAGAAGGACGTGAGTGATATTACGCCGGCTAATTTATGTCGGAATTCAAAACATTCCAAAATCTAATTTGAGTTTTAGAGAATTCATTGATAAATTTTAGTATTAATCTTAGTTGAGACCACGGTTTATTCGGATATTTTTCGACGGTTCTTATTTCGTTATTGATCAATTCAGTTTTAATAACGGAATAACTTTAATAAAAATGTAAACTTAATAACGTGAATTGATAAATTTATAACTACGTATCATTTTTATTGTCCTAATGCTTATGACAAAGGTATTTTTTTCCACTTGATGTGCCACAATTATCTGATATAGTGAATCATTCTTCGACACACATTTATAAAAAATTTTTTTTAATCGAATTCAAATATTGGTCAGTTGAATGCCCCCATCACATCACGGCACATAGTTAACGTAGTTCGGAACGACACAGGTAGCATAGCGGTGAGCGGCGGCGGGGGCAGCGGCGGCGCAGGCTGGTCGCTGGGCACGTTGCCGCTGGTGGTGGTGTCCCGGCTGCTGGAGAGGGCTCCGCGCGGCACGCCGGAGGGCGCGCAGCTGCGGCGCGACCTGATGGCACTCGGGGCGCCGCGCCTGCTGCTCGCCTGTCTCGCTGTGTTTACCCACCACCATCACGCCTCGTCCAACGACGTTAGTACACTGTGCATCCTCGAAATTCTGTCGACAGTTGCTCAAAACTAAAATTATTTCTTAAGATTTTAACGCTTATGACATCTTTTAAATTTAAAGATTTCTAAATTTTAACGTTTGTACAAGTTGGGGAGCGGTTTTTCGGGAAAAAAAACCGGTAAAACGGTGCACGTGAATGAAGTGAAACTTTTCAATGTGTTATGATTTTCTTCATTTTTCATCCTTAAATCAGATTGCTCTTGTAATAGGGAATGCCCTGTATAAGAGATGCGATATCTTCAACATTTATATGTACTTTAAATTATGGATAGAAAAAAAAATTTTTTTTTTTTAAATACTTCATTAAAATATTGGACGCTAGTCGTTGCTAACGCTTGTGCTGGCCTGGGACAGGTATGCGTATGAGTGCCACACATTCACTCTCGCTCTGTCTCTTTCTATTCCATGGTAGCGTTAAACGTCGCAACCTTGTGGGAATTCTCATTAAAAGTTTCATTTCAAAAAACTAAGCAAATGCCTAAGTTTCATCGATTAGGGTCTGCGACCAATATAATATCATTTCTAATAGTAATGGGCTGATTCATCTAACAACTCCGACAATATATCGGGCATTGTTTTGTTTGAGCGCTCGATGCAGTACCAGTCGATCTAGCCGACTACAACATACTAATTATAAACCTCACAAACAGAACAGCCAAGCGTCGAACGGGTCGACGGGTAAAACTGAAGAGAAGAACCAACTGTACTGGGCGAAGGGTACCGGCTTCGGCACCGGCTCCACGCAGCAGTCCTGGAACGTGGAGCAGGCGCTCATGCGGCAACGCACCGAGGAGGAGCACGTTACGGCGCTCCTACAAGTTTGTGTTCCAGCCTCTTAATTCCATTCTAGTTATCTTTACCGTCACAACATTACTCCTATTATTTTTACTGGTGGTAGGACCTCCTGTGAGTCCGCACGGGTAGGTACCACCACCCTGCCTATTCTGCCGTGAAGCAATAATGCGTTTCGGCTTGAAAGGTGGGGCAGCCGTTGTAACTATACTGAGACCTTAGAGCTCATATCTCAAGGTGGGTGGCGGCATTTGCGTTGTAGATTTCTATGGCCCCCGGTAACCACTGAACACCAGGTGGGCTGTGAGCTCGTCCACACATCTATGGAATAAAATAAAATAAAAAATATTTATTACATAATCATATCGTAGCATAATATTATATTATATAATTATATAATATAGATAGACAAAGCCAAACTGATATCTGATGTCAAAGAAACGTTTTGGGAACCTTGGCATAATTAGGAACAGATATCTCAAAAAAAAGTAACCAAATAAAAAATTATGTATAAGAATGTGAAGAAATTTGTTAGACCTTTTCAAGGTGTGCTTGCTAACCGAACACTGTGAGAAGTTAATCTAGTGAGCGTTTCTTGGTAATGACAACGAAGATTACTGGTGGTAGGACCTCTTGTGAGTCCGCACGGGTTGGTACCACCACCCGGCCTATTTCTGCCGTGAAGCAGTAATGCGTTTCGATTTGAAGGGTGGGGCAGCCGTTGTAACTATAATTGAGACCTTAGAACTTATATCTCAAGGTGGGTGGCGCATTTACGTTGTAGATGTCTATGGGCTCCAGTAACCATTTAACACCAGGTGGGCTGTGAGCTCGTCCACTCATCTAAGCAATAAATAAAAAAAGATTTTATACTGATAAAGAACCTCAAAGAACAGTAGTACAACTCGTTTGGAATTTTAAATTTATAACTGAAATAAAATTTCTTTGAAATTGTCATTAGTTTAGTGGCGCAAATTCAGAAAAGCCACCACTGGATAAGTATGGACTGCGACGATGGCGTGGATATCAGAGTAACCACAAAATTAATATGAATGTACATGCTGGGCACCCAATAATCTGTGTTAAAAATAAAAATCCATAAATAGACAAAATACATAAAATATACCTTTCCAAAATACTTTATATACAAATCAAAGTTTTTAACTTACGAAAAATATAAATGCATTGTTTACTGATCAACTTCAACAACAATAAACTAAAAGCATGGTGATTTCATTATTAGTGTAAGAAACATAAACTACAAAAATATATGATTATTGAATGTCTAAAAAGGAGCTAATTCTCTTTATGTTCAGGTATTAGCGTCGTACATAAATCCATGTGAAAAGTGGCCCCCCGAAGAAGGTCAGGAGTCCTCACCGGATACCGAGAGTGAAGCGAACTCTACTGAAGCTCCCAGCGAGGATTGCTCAGACCTGCCTTCAGAGTTTATTGATCTCATAGCCAACAGTTCCCTCGTACCTGCCATCTGTTCGTATCTTAGGAATGATTCAGGTCAGTTACTAAAATCAGACGTTATGGAGGCCATACACACTAGATTTTGTGATGGGTTTAGCGGTGCATGCATAACTGACAGGCATGCCCTAGCGTGAATTTGATTAAACTGTACAGCTAATATCAGCTAATATCAAAATGATATTTTATGCCTCTTGGTTATGTTTGCACGCGAGCACAACCGAGCGTGTGTAGTGTTCAGCGAGCTTGCCTGCCTCAGCTCTAGCGTGTATGGCCTCCATTATAATAAAAATTTAAACTTGCTCAATGTACATTAGCTGTCTATAACCAAATAAAGTTCGGCATTCAAAGCAAAAAAAAAACAATTACGAAAACAAAAAATAATAATTTATTTTTAATTTTCAGTAGATCATAATCAATGGAATAATGTAACAATTTCGTTATTAAATAGTACTCGTATGAAATCTCAGTGCGTTCACTGTGAGAACTGTATAAGAAATTAAAACCGACTAGCTCTTATTTTGTATAATTCTACTCAAAGTTTTGTTGATTGAAGGCAAAATTCTTTTTATATATCACTAGCTGACCCGGCTGACTTCGTAGTGCCTCAATCGATAAATAAGAGACCTAAACTTTTATTTAAAATAAACTTTAAACAAACAAAACGAATTCGTCCGACGGGGGACACATCAAAGGAAAAACAAAATTATTATTTTTATTTAATTTCGAGCATTTTCATATGTATTTACCTTTTAAACCTTCTCTGGATTTCCACAAATAATTCAAGACCAAAATTAGGCAAATCGGTTCAGGCGTTCTCGCGTTTTAGCGGGACTAACGAACAGCACTTCATTTTTATATATAGAGATTTGTGTCCAAATAAAAAATAAACTAACTTATTGCTATTACACAGTAATCTGCAACATCAAGTCAAGTTTAAAATTATTTGAACAAATATTAGATCAATTAGATTTTATGTAAGTGACTTAAAATGATTTGATTATTGTACATTTTATTGGCTGCTGCAATTTGGAACATTGTAACTGTATGCGGTGTGTGTGCGCAGTGCTGGACATGTCGCGGCACATCCCGCTGTACGTGTGCGTGCTGCGGTGCGCGCGCGGGCTGGCGTCGCTGCGGAGCGCGCGCCTCGCCGCCCCGCTGCGTCCGCTGCCGCGCCTGCTCGCCCAGATGAGCCGCACCACCAACTCCTACGCCACTAAACTCAAGTCAGTCGCATTCTTCTCTCAATATTACTTCACTGGTGGTAGGACCTCTTGTGAGTCCGCGTGGGTAGGTACCACTGCCCTGCCTATTTCTGCCGACCTTAGAGCTCATATCTCAAGGTGGCGGCAGCATTTACATTGTAGATGTCTATGGGCTCCACTAACCACTTAACACCAAGTGGTCTGTGAACTCGTCCACCCATCTTAGATATAAAAATAATAGTAATAGGGACATTGATTTTCACAGAAAAATGCTAACATATAGGGAATCCATTCACTGTATTTTACCTGCTTTAATAAAAAAAACTTACATTTGTTTTGTTTACGTATATGACATCTTACAATTTTTTGGAATCGACTTAAGTAAAGATTTAAATCAGAAAATACACATTTTTTGATATGAATAACATTGTGAGTAGTTAGTCTGCTTACCATATTGTGACAATATCAACGGTTTCTAAAAGGCTTGATAATATGCAACTAAAGATAGTGTACATAAATCTGTTTTGTATAAATCTTCAAATACATGTTTTTCAAATATTTTCGTCATAACTCTAAACAAAATTCATATTATATTTAATGCGTAAAATCTCCTAAGATCACTTGAATGTGAACCATCATTTTAATACATTTTAAATACTCTGTATCATCAAATTAAGAGCAGTTTTAAAATTTGTCTAATAAAGCGAATGATTTGTAAGTTAATAACAGGGCATAAAAAAGTAATTTTGTAAATGATGTCTGACATATAACATTTATTTGTTTTAGAATGAGTAAGAAGACGATATTTGGCAAGATGACCTACAGCCAACGATTCTGTCCAGCCACTAATTCCGAATTATCGGAAGAGGACGAGGGATTAGCTTCACTAATTGCCGATATACAGGTTGGTTTCTTTAATATTCAAAGCTAATGCAGAATCTGTGAATGATTTTACTTGTGGTAGGATCTCTTGTGAATCTGCACCGGTAGGTACCACCGCCCTGCCTATTTCGGCCGTGAAGCAGTAATGCGTTTCGGTTTGAGACCTTAGAACTTATATCTCAAGGTGGGTGGCGGCATTTACGTTGTAGATGTCTATGGGTTCCTGTAATCCCTTAACACCAGGTGGGCTGTGAGTTCATCCACACATTTAAGCAATAAAATAATAATAATCGAAATCGTCGTTGACAGGCCACGTCAGCGATGATGTGCAGCGGCAACGTGACCGGCTGGGAGGAGGCGCGCGGCACTCCCAACGCGCCGCCGGCCTCACGCGAGGCTCGGTACATCCAGCTCATGAGGACTATGCAATTCGGTACGTTCTATGAATTTTACTAGAAAATTTTGCTTTGTTTCAACTCGTAAAGTAGTAGTTTAACCAAATAAAACTGCAACTGATATCACTGGAGTGCTAACAAGATATTTTTACTTATTTTTGAGTTAACACATTTCTTTATCACATTTAATTAAAGTCACTGTTCAGTACAAGAGACTTTATGATTTTAGTCACTAAATTCAGAGAGTAATATTAATTAAAGAAATAATGGTATTATGGTTGGGACGCTCTGTGATGACACACTCCGTGGAGGTTTACGTCAATATTAGCTATAGAGCGCTCTCTGGATTCTGAAATGAGAAACCTTTTGCGCTCCGCAGATACGTACGAGATGATAGCCGAGTGCCCGGAGGCCGGGTTCAAGTTCACCGTGCCGTACCACTTCGAGGGCACCGTGCGCGCGGCCGGCGAGCGCTCGCACCCCGCGCGCGTCAAGCGGCTGGCGCAGGAGGCCGCCACGCTCGCCACCAGCCTGCCGCTCTCCTACTCCTCCTCCGTCTTCGTGCGGTACGACGCCGTCAGGCTCGACGTCATGAAGGTGCGCGCCCTCATCTCTACTGTCGCTGTACCGTCACTAGAGCTCAGTCCTGATCACGCAGGAGCCAGTCACCGTCGACGCGTCCTTACAGATCCAATAACGCCGTTAGCTCTAACACAAGGAGCAGGCATAGGGACAAGTCTGCAAAGAGTTCGACGTGCAACTTAGCCTAAAGATCAGCCCGTTGAGCTTCTTGCCGGATCCTCTCAGCGGGTCGCGATTCCATTCCGATAATAGATTCATTCGCGAAGCAGCTACTCTTGAGTTGTTAAATTCCCTTTGGAGGCGCTCGGGTAGCTGTTAGCAAATCCCACCCCTCCCGGCTAAGCTCTTGCTAGCCCAACTGTCCTGGTGACACTAGAAAGACCTTCGGGCTAGCAGTAATTCCTCAAACATAAAAAAAAGTGGAAACGAGAGGACCTGTCTGTACCCGTGTGCCCATCACGCACTTTATTGAGCAATAGAAATTATGGATCTTCGAAATTAACGATTCGCTTCAACGTAGCAATCTACCTTCCGAACTAACCAGACAGAATCTTATATCCCTCGTAGATCTAACCGATGCTAATTTCACTTTTAGGTTTTGATAACCGGCCCATCGGATACGCCGTATGCGAACGGCTGCTTTATCTTGGACGTGTACTTCCCTGCCGAGTACCCATCGGTACCGATGCTCATAAACCTGGAGACGACGGGTCGCCACTCGGTCAGATTTAACCCTAACCTCTACAACGACGGCAAGGTCTGCCTCTCCGTACTCAACACCTGGCACGGCAGACCTGAGGAGAAGTGGAACGCTCACACATCAAGCTTCTTACAGGTAATGAATTTGTTGTTTTGGTTCAATAACACACCCAGCCAACGTAACCAACAAGCGTAACCAATTCAGATCATTGCAAGCATAAATGTTTGATACTAATGCTTATGATGATATGAATTATTATTAATACGTTAATTCGGTTTAATATCGGCAATAATCATCTTGGTAATTTGCACAACTTATATATGAGTCGCCTATTATCAAAGGTGGCAATCTGTGCTTTTGGACAAAAAAAATTTATTGATATGTCAATACAGATTGATTTGAATATAATCATCTCCTTGAAAGAATACGGTTCAAAACCTGCATTAAATAAAGGTTAATACTTAAGCTGTTATTTATCTAAGATGTCGTTCAGAAGAGTTTTGTGACTGCCAATGGAATACAAAGTCAATAATTCGTTTTTCTGATTTACCAATAATTGTCCAAAAGTCACATTGCCGGCTTTGATACTAGTCGACTCATATCTCTCTTTGTGCGTCGTGTTCCTCAGTGCTGAGGGTCGTGACCTTTGCGGAACATTTTTGTTAGACTATGTTCCTTCATTCTTTTCTGTACTTCGCGCAGTGGATAGCGACATTGATGCCTACAATAAAATAAAATTATTATGTTTTCTTTACACTTTAAAAAAATATTTGTCGGGCATAATTATTTTTGTATTGACCTTTGACTGTTGCCAACAAATAAAATTTACCGTATTAGTATAATTTCTCAACAGAATCTCTATTGTTTTACGCTGAACTACTTTCGTTTGTATTATAACAATTTCACACCAAAACTTATATTATCGATATCATCAGGTATTAGTGTCGATCCAATCACTGATCCTGGTCCCGGAGCCGTACTTCAACGAGCCGGGATACGAGCGCAGCCGGGGCACGCGCGTGGGCAGCACCGCCTCCCTCGAGTACAACTCCAACATATACCAGGCCTGCGTGCGGTGGGCCATGCTGGAACATCTACGGAACCCGGAACCTTGCTTTAAAGAGGTCCTTATTTATTATTGTCCACCATTTGTTATTGCGTCAGATTGTTTTATTGAAGTGAAACTTCTTTAGAATCGTTATGATTTCAAACTCGATGAAACTAAAAAATAAGTCCATAGAGACACAAACACATAAATGTATAGGATTCAGCCGGCGAGAGAATGAGATAGAACACATTAGACGTTCTCGGTCTCCTCTTTGTACGACTCTTCGTAGCATCCCCACTATCGTCTACTAAACATTGTCCATATGTATGCTGTGTAGTGGGGTAGTCAGTATATCTATATCTTATTTATAAGTTTCACTTCTACCGTGTGTGACACACAAACACACTTTTTATTATTTCTAATAATACTTTATTGCTAACTCATTTCCTAAAGTTGCTGATTATGTAAAAAGATAAATTTATAAGAATTATACCAGTATAGAGTGTTTGGTAGTTACTTTGCGAAGCTAACAGTCTCCGTTATTTTTGAGCAATTTTGATGTATAATTTGTTGTGTTACAGGTGATTCAGACTCATTTTTGGATAAAACGAAATGAGATAATGCAAACTGTGGCGAATTGGATAACTGAGCTAGAGGGACAGGGCGGAGACGAGCGCACGCAGAGGAGCATACAACTGAACCTCATGGGGCTCAAGGTAATAGAAATAATGATATATTGTATTTTTACTGAATCTCATTAAAGGTAACCCTAGAACAAAGAAGGTATTGTTCTTCCTTGATAAGAGGGGGCTCTTATCCTTGTCTCGATCTTTTGAGTCGGATATAGAAATATAAACAGGAATAACGAAAAAAAGAGAACAGAATTGAAACGCAAAATTTGATAAAATTTATATATTTAGAGGTGCCGTAGCTAACATTAAATTGAATTACGAATATTGATAGTCTGGGTCGGTTACTCGACCACTAATTAATATGTAATTGATAGCACGCTTGGTACCATTTCAGCGTCACTACGTTAAGCTGCAAGAGGAGCTCGCGAAGTTGCCGGTGCCGGCTGGCCTCGAGGAGCTGGACGAGCCGTTCCAGCTGCCCGCCGCGCCGCCCCGCCCCGCGCCCCCGCCCGCCGCGCCAGAGCCCCGCCCCGCGCCGCCTTCCGACGACGAGATCGATCACGACATGGAGAAGATCGTCGCTTCCTTCCTCGACTGAGCGCTGGCCCCTCCACCGGCCTGCGCCTCGACACCGCGCGGGGTGGGCGGAACAGGAATCGATCTCTTAGTCGAGCCTGCGTTTGCGAGCGCAGCACCGCACCGACAGCTTCCCGCGAGTCGCCCGCCGCCATGGCGCCACCGTCGCGGCCGCACCCGTATTCAGTACACTAGTACCGTTCATATCTTTGTAGCGAGTTTATTGTTCGTAATGAATGTTTTCATTTTGTAGTAAACGTTTTACATAAGTGTTTAGGATTAGTGAGATCTTTGTTCGGTTCGTGAATGTACCCCGTGTCCCGATGTGTTTACCGTGTGTGTGTGTGTAGTGTCGATAAATTGTAAAATAGTTCAATTAAGAAGTCTGCCGATATATTATGTAATTAACTTAGCACAAGTTAGTGAATTCATATTTACGTATAATATTGGTGTTATCGTGTTAGATTTAATGTTCGGTACTCTATAGGGGAGTCTTCAGGTACCGATCACTCGAAATATGTACGGGCTAATCGCGGGTATATACAGATAGAGCGCCTTGCTGTGTCGCAGTGCGAGATGTTCACTAGAATGGGGTGTGTGTGTGTACATTGTCGCGTGTCGGGACGACCGAACGAACGCCTCGCGAACAGAAACTTGTATATTAAAATATAATTTGATGTATATAATAACGTTTTATTTTTTGTATTTAAGTACATATAAATAAATAATTTAATGCGCTCTCAAAGAGTAGGCAAAGGCGGAATGATACGTACGACTAGTTTGATAAAATGTAATATGAATGAATAAAATTTTAACACTCGGGTATAAAAATTGTATAGGCCTAGCCGACTCAGTCATTTTATTTAGGGGACAATAATTTTATTTATCATTTAGACAGTAACAGTGTTATGTTATTGAAACGAGAAATTAATTTGGGAAAACTTGTTAACTAGCTCAAAATGAACGTTATTTAAGCTCGTGGTAATTTTTAAAAAAATGACGTATGTATTTATCTTACTGAGTATTATTTTAAAACAAGACTGTTTACTTTTTCAGTGAATCATCTAAATTATGTCTTCGTAACACTGTGTAGGCTGTGTTTTATGTAATTACGTACGCGTGCTGCGTGCACACGACGCTCCTGGGCCCTCGACGAAATTATGTAACGTGTATTATAAATATTAGAATGTATTATATAACCTGTCTCGTTGTAATTTCATTGTCAGGTAAGTTGAACACGAACTTGTTATATTTGACTGTGAATTTCGGTGTGTAAATAAAAAATATGTTATCGCAGTACAAACTTTTTTTTTATTTATTAATTTTCCTTAGGGTCCGTTCACACAGACCGGCTCAGAGAGGAGAGCAAATTTTTTTTCACGTTGGAAAAAGTTTTGAGTAATTATAGTTGTACGGTTTGTCCACACGACCCTCTGTTGTGATAATGAGAACAACTCCAATATTGAGTAATTGTTTATTGATATGCTTACACTGATTGGTGACTGTTTATATTTACATTACTCGTACATACCTACATTACATACTCATAAAAAAACAATTTGACTGTTTTTTAATTTTTAAATAAACTATTACTAATTGAATAAGAACTGTCTAATGAACTCATCTTTGTTTAATACTTCACTATTAAATTTTATTGCCTTTTGTTTATTTCACTTTTACACTAAACACAATATTACAAATTACCCGAGCACAACTATGGCGAAGAATTTTAGGTGCGTGAGAGCAGACGTAGACACTAACGCGCATGCGCACTTGTCAGTACCTAGGGAGGAAAAGTTAGACTTTCTTCCCTGCACAGCGGGAGGAAATCCGAACTTTCGGCGTAGGTTTGAGAAAAAATGACATTATGCGAGTACACAACGCCATGCTGATGGCGGTACACGAACTTACTGGAAAATGAATGACTATGATATAAAATGCATCGGTATGCAATATGATGTGCGCGCTGGCCCGTACAGTAGTAAAATTTATTTTTGCATGTGCACTTTTGTGTCATCAAGAATGCTTGAACGCGCTGCGTGTGAAATGATAAGAGGAGACTACCGGCTCCGAGCGCTGCATCCGGTTTCAGATCCATAGATAATATTATTTCTTAATATTTCTTCCAGACGGTCTATGTGAAATAGTTGGCGGCTCCGCTCCAGCCAATTCTAAGCGTATACGATCCGGTCTGTGTGAACAGACTCTTAAAAGTTCAGTTTTAATTTGCTCGAGGTATCCCCGTAACACAGAGGGGATATAAGATTGAAGCCATTGAAGCCACAAATATAATAAGGCCGTACAAATTTTAATCAAATATAAATATGTTTCTTTATTAGGAACATTTTTTGAGGAGATTTTGGGATCTATTGATCCCAAAATCTCCTGAAACACTTAAACAACGGAAATGACAAATAAAAAAAGCTTGTTGCTTGTGTGTGTTTATTTTATTCAATTTATTTACATTGTTTAATTATTACAAAGGAAACACTGACGACGAATCTAGCGATACCTATTTAAATTAGTAGACAGAATCTGAGAATACAAAAGCTACACCGGACAAAGTAAATCATAAATAATTTATTGTCTATTCGTTAATATATAAATGGATTTTTGGCTCGAACATTCATAAAAACTGTTGTAAATTTAGACAAGCAGATTATTGCGAATCAAATATTTACAGGTTTTTTTTAAAATCTATAGTGTAAGTACCTGTTTTAAGAATAGTGCACACGGTTGACATGTGATGTTATTCATAGCTTAGTCTAATGTATAATTCTTTTAAAATAACACAATTTATGGCACTAAATAACAAGATTGTTCCGTCGAAGTGAAGCCATCGGTCGTGGCGATGATTTAACTATATTGAGAAAAATAATCAATACGAAAATAATATTATTGTGACCGATGGTTGTTTATTGACACTAACTAGGGATGATAATAATAGTCCTAAAAACTACTTTCTTCTGGTGAAGGCCGCGTCGTTTTGCATTTCCACCTCTTCGGGACTCAGTTGACCTGCCTCCAGACAAGACTTGCAGCAGAAACTTGAAAATGATTAAATTTTATTTAGTAGGACTTCTTCTGCTTTTTGCTTTTTTTTCCTACCGATGCTGATGCCTTGAGAGGCTATTTCAGCTTCACCCTAACGTGTAGGTGAGCGCACGGGGCTCAAACCGGAGTGTTGCTAACACTGGCCCTAGGAAGAGCAGTGCTTCGCAGAATCTACGACCGGATCGGAAACGCGACCCACAGAAGATCCGGCGAGAAACTCAATGGGCTGTGTCTATGGGTTGAATCTTCTGTTAGGTTATGGGCATCAATAGCACGTTAGACACGATATGCATCGTATGCAACAAATGTAAAACTTACTTAGAGTAATAATGATGTTTGCAGAACTTGCTGCGAACTATGAGACTGCAGTCAGCGAAGAATGGATTGTCAGTACACTTTGCTGGTGTCGTCAGAGCTGAAAATTAAAAAGAGTTGCTTCACGTTTTTTATTCTTTCGATGATACGTCCTAATTGAGTTTGTACGACGTTATCCGTTTGAGATGAACTTTGCTCTTTGCTTTTAAGAAACTTACCGTTCCTAAAATTGTTTTATGATTCGATGAAAACACATAACTTTTAAATTACAAGAAAAATTGTATATTCACGTGTTATCAATGCGTTGAGATTAATTACTATATTATTTTTTATTAAGATGGGTGTACGAGCTCACGGCTTCCCTGGTGTTAAGTGTTCATCGAAGCCCATAGACATCAATGATGTCAATGCCGCCACCCACCTTGAGACACGAGTTCTAACTCTCAGTTTTTACGGTACAACGGTTTTCAAACCGGAAGCTGCTTTCAGCTTCACGGCAGAAATAGGCAGGGTACCTACCCGTGCGGACTCACAAGACGCCCTATTACCAGTAACTTTAATATTATATTGTAACTTTAATATATTAATCATACCGCTTCCTAGTAAATTGGGAGCACTTGAAACCGATCAATAACTTTTTACTTATTTATGTAGAAAATTAACCTCAAAACGATTTTTTATTTTTATAATAGTGGCGTCAATTTCAATATATTTTTTAGATATCCAATACATTTAAGAATTTGAAACAGTCCAGTTTTATAGTAATATTTGCTGTCCATTTTTGGGCCCAGCATACAATGGATAGTGGGTATTCCCCTTTCAGGTGTGTTAGAACAGCGATTCTAAATTTCATCAATTAAAAACGTACAGGTCAAAAGGTACAAAAATCTGTGCAGTTTGATAAATCGCTTTAAGGAAGGAGTTGCTTTCTGGCGGTAGGACCTCTTGTGAGTCTGCACGGGTAAGTACCATCATCCTGGCTATTTCTGCCGTGAAGTAGTAATGCGTTTCGGTTTGAAGGGTGGGGTGGGGTTGTAACTATACTTGAGATCTTAGAACTTATATCTCAAGGTGGGTGGCGCATTTACGTTGTAGATTTTCTATGGGCTCCAGTAACCACTTAACACTAGGTGGGCTGTGAGCTCGTCCACTCATTTAAGCAATAAAATAAAAAAAAGGAATTTATTAGTTATCTTAATAGCCATAAAGACTATTATTGCCAAAATCGACCGGTCCCTATTTCTACCCACCTTTAACAGTGACCTGGACGCTAGATTCGTGCGAGCTGTACAAGTTGTCGGCGTGGCACACGTATACTCCGCTATCTCCGACCGTCACCCGGCGTATCGTCAGACGGGAAACACTAGTTCCTGTAATATAAACAGTCAAGCATTGAAGTTAGATTACGGAGAATCAGCCCACTGAGTTTCTCGCCGGATCTTCTGAGTGGGTTGCGTTTCCGATCCGGTGGTAGATTCTGCGAAGCACCGCTCTTGATAGGGCCAGTATTAGCAACACACCTACACGTCAAGGCGAAGCTGAAATAGCCTCTCAAGGCTATCAGCATAGGTAGGGAAAAAACCTGTGAATGCAGCTTTGTAGCGCTTATCTAAGGTAAAGGCCCGCGTTGACTATAGAGAGTCACGAATCCTGGCCCACATGGTGTTCCGATTGTTTGTCTTTGAAGCGTCAGTACAAGAGACAACGCGATTTATCTTTTCACGTCCCATCATTTATATTAAAAAGCAATAAAGTCTACAAACGAGATCCGCTGTTTTCTTTCGCTGGTTCTTGTAGACGAAAACATCGCAACATTTCCAGGCGAGCACTGGGAGTAGATTATGACTAATAATACCTAGTACTAAGTAGAGTAGTTAGCAATATAATTTTCAACAATTTCAAAACGTTCGATTGGTTTGAAAATATTCACACGTACCTACCAATGACTGATAGTAATACAATACTTTATCAATCTGACCTTGTATCCTAATCGGAATCAGGGAAAAATTGTTAGATTTGCTACTAATTCTAGTCGTTAACTTATTTTTATGATGACTAGTGGTTCTAGCGATTCTATTGTCAAAGACTATTTTATACTTCTGTAATCCTAGATTTCGCCAATTCTTCAATTTAGACAAATATTCATAAAGACAAACAATATTTAATCTCTTCTCAATTTAACCACAGACTATAAGCAACAAGAAAAGTTTGACAATAAACAAATAGTATGCACGCGTATGTGTGTCAAACACACGATAGTGTGTGTAATGTTTTTTTTTAATTGATTTAATGTATTTTTAATGAATAATTAAAAAAAATATTTACATTCTGCACTCCTCTGTATTCTCTATAAGTGTGCGAAATTTCATACTCCTCCGTCTGCGCAATTTTCATAAAAAGGAGTACCTACATAGTTTTTGCTTCAAGTATTAATATATAGATTAATAATAATTGTAGATGCGTGATCTTACCACTTATCCATATGTTGTCTCCGGACGCGATCCTGACGCCATCTTTGGACCAGTATACGTTTTCAGGTTGCGGGTACCCATCCACTTCGCAGGGCAGACTCAGTTCGGCGCCCGCGGTCAGCGTCGGGGGCGCCGACAATATCCTTGTCGACACCGGCGCTATAGCGAACAGTTCCCATTGATCAACTGTTTCGCGCACTAAGTATTCATTTCATGCCTATTTTGTACGAAAACAACTTTCGTGCATTGACATATACGAGTAATACGAGTATGCAGTAATATATTTAACATTACTATCAAAATTATCAAGACATTGATAATGCACAATGCAATTCGGACAAGTTGCAACAACGATTCAATTAATAATTTTCCTTCGCAGTCATTCAATAATATAGTGTTGACACTTAGTTTTCATTTATTGATATATTTTAATTATTGAATTCATAACACAATAATTGTTTTTAACGGAAAAATAATTGGACCTCAACAAAATATAATAAGAATACCATAATTATAGTCAAAGTATATTAAAATGCATAATAAAGGTAAAAAAATCGATTTACCGAGCAAAAAGATCGAACTTACCAAGAAAAACTGATCAGAACTTAGAACTTCGCTCTTTTTCGAAATATATTTTAAAAAGGGTACCGTCTGTCTATACGACATGCTATATGCAGAATTCTTTATCGAATACGAACTTTACAAACAACAAGTTAACATACCTCACCAGAAGCTGAACGGTTTCTGTAAAGTTCACAGAAAACTCCAAACAAACAACACATACCATGCAACCAAACCCATCACCCGTTATGAGGCATGCAAACAAGCTACAGAGACGATGGTATAACAATAATATTATGTAATTAAATATTTACTCCCGAAAGTTCTCGAGTGATGTCCGCTTAGACGTTTTGGATGCGCTGTGAGACAATCGCAATTTTTTTTAAAAATATGTTTCTCTTAGAATTAATATACGGTTCTAATTGCGGTTGTAACACATAGTAAAGCTTACCGGTAAACAGGGGAACGTTGAAATCTAGATCGAGAAGAGTGGTGGGGGCAGCAGTGGTAGTGACGGTGGGGGGCCGGGGGGCCTCCGTCGCCGCGTCCACTACCCGCACGTGGACCCCCTCGCCGGGCCGCGACACTAGGTACTTGTTGTCAGAGGGCGTATCGTCTTGTTTGTACGCCCGAACCTCCATCAGTAACGTGGCCGGGCTTCCTTCTCCGTTGTATGCTTGACACGCGTATTCCCCGAGCGCCTCGTCGATCAGTTGTCTTATTAGAAGAACGTTTTCTCTGGCTTCGTACAATGTACTGCTGTATGGCACCATGGGACCGTTAAGTCCTCTGTACCAGAAGATTTCCGGGGTCGGGTATCCGTACACGAGGCAGCGCAAGACGAGCGGTCTGCCCATCTCCCCCGTTATTACTTCATTTTGTTCTCCCGCGATGCCGACCGGCGTCCTCACCGGATCTAACCATGCTCCGTTTGTTAGTTTCACGCGAGTTTGTGAATACTTTTGGTGTCATATCACCATTCGTCAATGGAGCATCCACAAACTGCTGGTTAATGTTATTAATTCGTATTCTAAAAAGCGGATTGCGTTTTGGACAGAGACAAATGAAAAATTTGTTATTGTTTTAAGCGTTCCTAAAATTGTATGTGTTTCGATAATAAATAAAAAAAAAACACAACGTTTAAATTACAAGAAGTATCGTACGCGTAATCAATGCGTTGCGATTGATTACTATATTATACTGGTTGCTGATAAATTAGGAACACTTGAAACAATGAATGAGTGAGATAAAGAATTATTATTCTAATGTGTCGTTAACCTTGTCCACTCGCGCAGGCCAGCAGCAGCCCTAACGTGACCGAAACACAACCGCGTGACAACATGGCTGGACACCGTCTGCCTCCGACGATACTATGCATGCACTATCTGAATTATCACAAACACTACACCACCAGTCATTATGCTGTTCCGATAATACGAATGTTCACTGTAAAAATTTAAATTGCATACATAAATATACTTCATTATGAGTATACTGCAAAATACGTTTATGAATTCAAAAAGAATCAACTAAAATCAATGGCAAGCAGTTCGTATTTTTATTAATTCAACAGTTTACCTTAGCTTTGTGGTTTTTTATTGGGACTTCAGTGAATATTCTAGCAAATTACCTACCGTCGGATAGGTGAATTGGATATTTAGGTCAAATAATAATAGTTTGTCCGCCTGTTAATCTTCTTCTACGGGTTACGACCTCCCGGTATATTGTAGCTATTGATTGCTGTGCGCAGTGTTTTGATCTATTTTTACTATGTATCTGAAGTATTAAAGTGCAATATGACTTATTTTTGCATAAATGAAATGACATATTTCGGTCGAAGATTGTTAGAGACATTGTATCAAGGCCATAGAGGACTTATTCTTGTATTTCAAGGTGGGTGTAGGCATTCATGTTGTGGTCCCTGTGGACTTTGATAAGCAAAGTCTAACCAGACGGCTCATGAGTTCGTCTGCCCATCTTAACTATCGAACAAAGAGGTATCAGCTAATTTAATCATGTCCCCTAATAATATTAACTAGTGGTCGCCCACCGGTCGAAATTCGACCATATTTATTAATTTAAATTATAAGTTTGAACATTATTATGGTTCTATTATCAAAGAATTTACTTCTATAATCACAGATTTCGTCTAAAACAAACAATATTAAACTATTCTTAATTTTGCCACCGGCTTTAAGCACTAACAAAAGTTTGACAATAAACAAAAGAGTATATATGCGGGACTGTGTCAAATACACGGTAGTGTGTGTAATGTTTTTTTTATTGTTTTAATGTACTTTTAATACATCATTTAAAAAAATGTTAGCTTTCTGCACTCCTTCTCTATATTCTCTGTAAGTGCGGGAAATTTCATACACCTCCGTCTGCACAATTTTCGTAAAAAGGGGTACAAAGTTTTTGCTTCACATATAAATATATAGAAAAGCTTCCGGGTTCGTAGACTATGGATCCGGAAGCTTGTGCTTTTTGTTGCTCTTTATGCTGATGATGAAATATTTCATTAGCTAAACGAGAAAATTAACTATACGGATAATTGTTATTATCGGCTTAATGATTTGTTTGTAAACATTTAGCATTTAATAATTATATTCTAGTGAAGCTGGTTTATCAGTTGGGGGTCAGGGCATAATTTTGTTTATCTTTAGTTTGTAGATAAACGGGGAAATTGCTGTTACATCGATCGATGGTAAACAAAAATAATAAAACAGATATAACCAAAGTCTGATGGAAAATTTAGGTATATCTCAGATCTCAGTCTCTTTTTATCCCCTTGAATATTATTTATTTACATTAGCTGACAAGGAGAGCTCGAGGCTTGTCCAGGGCAGGTGGTGACCGGAGCTCATGGATATTGTACATGTTGACGTCACGTCAATAGTATTGTGTAATAAACGTCCCACCCTTCTAATGCTTCGCGAAAGAAATACCCAAAACGATGGGCACCATACCGTGCGCGCTCAAAATCCACGTTAAAACCGGTCACTGGACAAATTTGGGCTTAACCTTATGACGTCAGCGTCGAAGTCGTAGATGATCACGGGAGAGGATTCTATTAGGTTATTACGGGCCAGTGGTTGCGCGCTCCGGTGGTAGATTCTGCGAAGCACGGCTTTTGCTAGGGTTAGTGTTAGCAACATCGTCAGTTTTGAGCCCCGTGAGCTCACCTACTAGTTCGGCGAATCTAGAATAACTTCTCGAGATTACCAGAATGAGTAAATTACGACATATTGAGATATAAACTATTGAGAAAAATGTATTGATTTTTATTGTATTTGAAAAAGGCTACTTTCTGACTTCCATTAATTTTAGTTGCATTTAATTGTGAATTCATTTCAGAATTTTGTATGTTTGACAATTAATAAATGTTCATTTATTATGTAGGTAACGTTGAAGTAAAAAAATCGTATTTTAAAACTAACAAATCCCTTTGTTAGTTCTAATTTTTATTTTAAATAAATTCTAATTTTATATCTCTTCTGTAATATTTTTTTTCTGTTAAAAAAAACTGCTAGAGTTTGAATGAGAAAATGACAAAAGTAACAAATAAACAGCATAATTTAACGTATAGGTTGGTTGTTTAAAAATATTTCGTGCGTCGTTTGTGAATGTTATCTGCGCGCGTGTGTCGGGCACTGTAGCTTCGCTTCGGTCAAGTCAGTTCATGCTTTTATCATCAGATCAAATGACTGCGACAACTAATATTGTAACCGGAACATAAAGAGGTTTGAATACGAATATATTTTGAATGCAATGAATCTAAGCTTGTCAGTTTTTAATTGAAGTAGCTTAGCAGATTAAACTTAAGTACCCTCTGTTGTTGTTTTATTTCTTACCGACATAATATGATTTTATTGCTTTATGGTATTTAAGCGTGGACTGTATTTTTTGTATGAAATATTTATTGAACCTTTATATTACAAATTAATTTTGTAGTTTAAGAAAACTATAAAATTGCATTGCTCCTGGCGGCTGAATTTGAAAAAGACTTAAAAAACTTTGGTATCATGGCAGACGTCGCTCGCTGACACTTTTACGTTCAGAAACTGAACAGTTTTTAATAGAGCAAAAGTAAGGTAAGCTTTTTTGCACAGAAATTACAAAAATTTCACTTATGAGATGAAATAGTGACTTCTACGAAACTTCATATGTGTAAACTATATGTTATTTATTGCGTCCTTTCTGTTAAGCTACTTTCCGCTGTCTTTTCCACCCAAGACCCCTTTTCAGCGTTTTGGGGGTCGTTAAATCAACTTCGCGAAACCCCCAGTCCAGTTTTAACATTACTTATCGCAGCCTTAAAATATTAGTCAAAACAAGAGAGAAAGGAAATTTTTGTTTAAATCGTTCAACCATGAAAACCAAGCAGCTAACCCAATCTATTTCTACATTTCTACTTTGATACCATGATGCAATTACTATACGCGTTAATCCCAAATGATTGTTTTCTATGAAACGTTTTGATTGAGATGATGGCAAGTTTACGAAGCAGTCTTCGTACCATATTTGAATCAATCTTCATCTGTTAATACTAAATACATGGTATGTATGAGATCCTAGTAATAGAGTTAATTCAAGGTGTAATATTAATTCTTGATATAATAACATTAAAATAATTGCAGTTGAGAAACGTATTGACTCGACAGACTGGTTCGCGGATTTTTCCCGTGAATCATGACAGGTTTCGGTCACAGAGATACCGTAAGAAAGAAAGCGAGAAAGATACAGAATAGAAAGAGATAGAGGCTACTGTCTCGTGTGTTTTTTGTAGTTATTTTTCACGAGCAGAGCCTCTGGTCTGTAGTCTCTAGATTTTAAGCAACAAAGATTGGTGATGCCAAAGTATAGGCATTCAACTTATTGTTTCACGGGGGGTAGGACGTCTTGGGAATCCGCACGGGTAGGTACCACCACCCTACCCATTTCTGCCGCGAAGCAGTAATGCATTTCGATTTGAAGGGTGGGGCAGCCATTGTACTGTAAAAACCGATATTTAGAACTCATGTCTCAAGGTATTGATGTCTATTGGCTCCGATAACCAACTACCATCAGGTGGACTAATAAAAAAAAAGAACAGATTAGAATTGTCGTTTAACTTAACAGATGAAGATTGTTTAAACGCGTATGTATGAGATTGAAATATACAATGATGATGTACAAAACGCTTTACAGAGTCCAACCGAGCGGCCGAGGCCGAGTGACCGAAGTGACTCACCGTTCACTTGCAGGTGGATCTCCTGCTGGCTGATGCCGAACTCGTTCTCAGCGATGCAGATGTAGACGCCGGTGTCGTTCCGGTACAGCGACACGATCTCCAGCGCGCCGTCCGACAGCACGCGCGTCCGGCCCTCGCTGCCGTCGATCTGTCCGACGCAGCCAACACATCAGCGAAACGAGCAGCACCATTATACATTGTTCGAAGTGAAACTTCTTTAGAATCGTTGTGTTATCAAAGTCGATGAAACGAAAAAATAAGTCCATAAAGACACAAACACATAAATGTATAGGATTCAGCCGGCGAGAGAATGAGATAGAACACATTAGACGATTTCAGTGTAGTGTTTTTTTTAATACAGCTCCATCTATGAGATTTTTTTATACTAACGTGTACGTCCAACTATTTACTAATGACAAAATTTTACATATACTTAGACATTCAGGATANTCGATGAAACGAAAAAATAAGTCCATAAAGACACAAACACATAAATGTATAGGATTCAGCCGGCGAGAGAATGAGATAGAACACATTAGACGATTTCAGTGTAGTGTTTTTTTTAATACAGCTCCATCTATGAGATTTTTTTATACTAACGTGTACGTCCAACTATTTACTAATGACAAAATTTTACATATACTTAGACATTCAGGATAATTGTATTTTAATTTCTTAAGGTTTCACTTCTACCACGTGTGAGTTTGCACACATGTCTTTATTTATTGGAAGGAAGTATTACTGGTGGCCCGGAGGCTTTGCCAGTTTCACCAGGACAGATGGGCGAGCAAAGGCTCAGCCAGGAAGGGTGTGATTTGCTAACAGCTGCCCGAGCGCCTCCGAAGGAGACCTAACATCTCAAGGGCAGCAGGCGATACAATAACACTTATTATGACTGTGTTCGGCACTATCAAATCAAATCAAAACAATATCGACAATTTAAAGAGTTTGTAGCGAATCGGTATAGTGTTTGGAGGCTCACAGTGATTTCTCCTTTCCTCCAAGTGATCTTGGGCGGCGGGTTCCCATGGAATATACAGCGCAGCGTCGCCTTCCCGCCCTCCGCCGCGTTCACCTCCGGTTCGGTTTCGGGACTGGCCTGCGGGGCTCGAGGCGGCTCTGCGTCGGAAGTCACGTACATAAACATGAAATGTAACTTAGCACTTCGTATCATCGTGGTACGACGTCTTCAGGTGGAAGATAGTCCTGTCTATTTTTGCCGCGAAGCAGAACAAGGTTTTTTTTTTTTGAGTGTAAACTTAATTTAATCCTTCTGGAAACGTCGAAAAATTTACGAGTCTATCATTGTCTACATTAATTTCAATCTTTGGACGTAATCGGTCCACGCATAGGCGGAATAGCCCGTTAGGCTACCAGCGAATGGGTGGGGGGAAATAAGACTTATTTTGACATCGAAAATTCTAAACTTTGACAGTAATCTTCCCGGAGATTATACAAAAAGACTAGGCGGCTTTACGACTTAGTTTAGGTATTTTGTAAAATCGAACATTTGTAAAGAGAATACTGCGTTTATATAACGAGTAATGTGAAAGTATGCCAATGACGCTTGGCCCTAGGCCAGTGTTAGCAACACCTCCGGCTTGAGCCCCGTGAGCTCACCTACACGCTGAATTTTTTTTTATTGCTTAGATGGGTGAACGAGCTCACATCCCACCTGGTGTTACTGGTTGGTGGTTACTGGAGCCCATAGACACGTAAATGCGCCATCCACAATCACCATCAATCGTGAACACTTATTGAGTACGTATTTCATTAGAAAAATTGGTAGGTACCGGCCTGGGATTCGAACACCGGTGCATCGTTCAACACGAATGCACCGGAAACCTTATCCTTTAGGCCACGACGATTTCAAAATAAGGCTACCAGCATAGGTAGGAAAAAAAAATGCCAAAGACAATGTCAATGCATATGGGCTTCAGTTTCCGCCGCGAGCCGCTCCGCGCTGCGTGTGTTCGTACCTGGCGGCGGTGCGGTATTGAGCGCGGGGGCGACGCACAGGCGGCTGCACCCGCGCTCGCAACACTTGCCGTCGCCGCGACAGTCCGCGTCGTCGTCGCACTTGCTCTCACAGACGCTCACCGGACTCGTCCACTCATCCGTTGGACACGATCCGCTCTTGTTCACTGATACAAAATTCATCCAATAAATATTTTTTTAAGGGATTTTATGACCTGGTAACTACGACCTTTAAGTCATGTCTTATAAATGAAATGAAGATGATTAATTTGAGACATTAAACAACTGGGATGAGATGAGATGATATGGGATGAAATATAATCTCAGTAAAATGGTGGTCATTTACTAAGACTTTTTCAGAGGACTTTTTGGAGGATCTCGACAAGTTACGTCCAGCAGCTTTGTTTAATTTTTTCCCATTTGTGCACTTCCACAGATATTAAACAGTTAATAAACCACTGTTATTACACATTTAAACCTGAAGAAACACTAAATAAACAAAATAAAACAAATCACACTACTTCACTTCTCGCGCTTCCGCCAAAAAGTCCATCCAATAAATAAATAAATTAATAACACAGAGTAATATCATGTATGACGTGCATCTTTTAAGACTGTATGGTGCACTATACTAATATTTTTCTGAAAGTCGCGTTGTGTCCATAATCATCAATACTCAAAATAGGCAAACATTTAACATTATTTAGTTGTGTTTATTTTTAATTATCATAAACCAAATAATACCCGACTGAAATGACATAACATAAGAGATTAGGAGGCAACCTATTTCTGGTTCCAGTTCCGATGCACGAAACATTATTTTTCTGAAAACTATGATTGCTTTTAATAGAGTATGAAATTTTGCGTAATACATTTTTATTAGTTACTAGTTTAAAGCGTATAATTGTTGCATTACAAGTCAGAAAAAAATTGGCAATAAAGATTTAAATGATAATAATTAATTACCCAGTCTGCATTCGGTTGTGTTTTTGAAGAGCTGAGGGAAGATGGGATCTCGGTACTGGACCACGACGCAGCGCTCTCCGCCCGCGCACCGCACCCCCCCGCACAGGTCCTCCGCGCAGCTGCATCTGTACAACACAGGGGGAGCTGTGATAGAGCGCTCTGTCTCTGTCCCGCAAAGCGACAAACACACAACTGTCTTAATACTACTTCAAATAGCAGAAACATCTTTCGAATGTACGGTTTCAGGATTTGCTTCTCAAAGCTCTTCGCGACCGATCCACACGGAACAAGTAAACATATTAAAACTTTCCAAGTCGCTACCGGACTAGGATTTTCTCCTGGTAGAGCCCAGGATATAGATACGATAGATAGATAGATAGCGGCTATAGATACCAAAAACATAAATACGAGACACAAGAGCGAATGTTTTTGGAACGAAGTTCCTTATAGAACGATGCGGAGGGGTACCCTAACCGGGAAAAAATCCGTAACGTAAGATTTTTATTAGTAATGCACACAGTGTACGACTTAACTTTGTAATAGCGTATAAATTAGTAATGCAAACAGGGTACGACTTAACTTTGTAATAACTTACAAAAAAGAACATATTTTTTTTATCATTCATTGACCACGGTCTTAGAGCGTTCATTTGTGCAAAACACTAACTCTTATGCAAACAACCGTGAATGAAGCGTACCACAATAGGTTCGCAAGTTACCGAATGACCGTGGGTTGTTGCGAAACCTCCAGTTTTATTTTCTTTATACCTCGACTAGAACTTAAAATTAATATTTTTATAATAAAGTCTTTATTCTGTTAAGTTCTGAACTTCGTTCCTGTCCGGTGTCCCACGACACCACACAACTTTTTTTTTTCAGATATACTGAGTTTGAACCCCCTTTGCTTCGTAAGTAGTGATGTAAAGAATCGATAACAAGAGTAGAAGGAGTCGAACATCTCGCAGCCGTCGGGTCCGGTGGTCCGCTGCAGGCCGTGGTCGCAGTGCAGCACGTCGCACTCCCGCGCGCGCGCCGCACAGTCCGGCGGCGCGGCGACGCACTCGCACCGCTCGCAGCCGCCCGCCGTGCGCGTCCGCTGCACGCTGTGCTCGCACTGCAGCCGCGCGCACTCCGCCTTGTAGCGGTCGCAGTCGGGAAGTATTTCGTTCGTTTCGTTTTCTGAACGGACATTTTATTTTATTTTTATTTTTAGATGGGTGGACGACTTCACAGCCCACTTGGTGTTAAGTGGTTAATGGAGCCCATAGACATTTACTTTTTTTATTTTTATTACTTAGATGGGTGGACGAGCTCACAGCCCACCTGGTGTTAAGTGGTTAAGAGAATCCATAGACATCTATAACGTACATGCGCCACCCACCTTGAGATATAAGTTCTAAGGTCTCAGTATAGCTACAACGGCTGCCCCATCCTTCAAACCGAAACGCATTACTGCTTCGGCAGAAATAGGCAGGGTGGTGGTACCTACCTGTGCGGCCTCACAAGACCAAGACCAGCAGTAAATTGTTAAATTGTTAACCAGCAAATTAAATAACGAATTGTTTTAATTCACGGACGACTCCAAACGAAATCTAAAGATTACCCTCTTACGACAAACAAAACTGGTTAAACAATTTTAAAAGACTTTTAATTGATTATTCCATGACTCCATGCCTAATCAGGTTTCTATTAGTTATATTATATTTAAATTAAATTATATTTACTAGCAGCGACCTCGCTTCAATGTCTCGATTGCGTTAAAATTGTACCGACATCCGTTTTATGTTTTTATGTATAAGAACAGTAATTTTACTGTTCAATCTAGTTTCTTATAAGTTACTTGCAGGACCGGTCTTTGTGGCGAGGCTTGGGGGAGGCCTATGTGCAGCAGTGGACGTCTGTGGGCTGATAATAATAATAATAATAATAAAGCCTCTCAAAACATCTCGAGAGGCTTGGTCTCAACAAAAAGTCGGTGGTGGCCCAAATGCAAAAAGCAGTCTTGCTCGACAATGCCCGTATAGTTCGCCGGTTTCTCTCCCAATAGTCCCTAACGCTCGGGCCGATTGTTGCCCACCTCGCCGGAGTGTGTCCTGCCGTCTTCCCAGGCGTGGCAGTGTTTAATACAGAATAATAATAATAATAATACTAAATTACCTGGTTGACATACGAAAGAGTATCGAGCCTCCTGTGTCTCGGGGTCCCTGTAAGCTATTGGTACGCACTGCTCGTTTGGAGGACATCTATTTTGAGCGCAAGGGTCTTCGTTGCATTGGCATCTATAAAAAAAAAAGAGTGTTGTTCTTTTGGATTATAATAACACGACATCTAGAATTAGGTCCAAATAGTTAACGGAGCGGCGTGCGTTTGTAGGTGTTGTGATCCCTCCACTGGCTAAATCAGTTTGAACATTGTCTTTAGTCATTGATTTAAGATTTTAGTTTTTTTTTAAGTTCGGTATCCGAACCGTCTCTGTGGGGACACATGGGGTATGTGGGATTACCAAGATGGCAGTGATTCAATAGCGCTTTCGTCCAAGCGTTCGATCTCCGCCCGCTGCGGTTCGAAGAGTGGAACAGCCGTTGTAACTATACTGAGACCTTAGAACTTATATCTCAAGGTGGGTGGCGCATTTACGTTGTGGATGTCTATGGGCTCCAGTAACTACTTAACACCAGGTGGGCTGTGAGCTCGTCCACCCATCTGAGCAATACAAAAAAATGCAGAATCCGGATATTCTGTTGATATGTGGCGTCTTGTAAGCTGGCACGGATAACACCACCCAGCCTATCTCTGCCGTAAATCACGTATTTCACTTTAAATGTGAAGCGGTTGTACTATATAACTGAGACTTAGAACACGTGTTTCAAGGTCAGTAGCGGTGTTAACGTTGTTGATATCTATGTCGGTAGATATCATATAAGGTATATCGCAACGGAACACTTAATAATATCCACAATGCGCACGAGTGCGAAAACGATTGATCAAATGTAAAACGTTTAAAAGTATAAAAATTGATTTTTGTTTAGATATCCCTATTTTATATTAATTTTAAAATCCATTAATTAAATATGTTAATATATGTATTTTGCTAGTTTTTTGCAATATAATGTTTTCTTTAAGAAGATTTAATGTGAATTATTTAAAATATAAATACATATGTTTTACCTATGGAAATTCCTTCAATATTATCAATGTAGCCTAGTCATGCTTATTTTTTTTTATTTATGATTTTAATTATGGCACCATTAAAATACCCTTAAATTTTATAATAAGTATGTAAAAATGAAATGTTTTTTTCTACAAATATTTCATAAATGTCCTTGAGAGCACGAGTAGTTGGGCCGAAAATGGCCCACGTCCTTTGTAGTGTTAACTTACTCCTGGCATCCGTCAGCATCAGTGGTGTTAGTGATGCCGTACGGGCAGTACAGAGTGCGGCAGCGGGCGGTGTGCGGCGCGCAGGGGTCGGCCGCCGCGCACGCGCACCGCTCGCAGCCGTCCCGCTCCGGCACGCGGACCAGCCCACCCGAGCACTGCAGCGCCGAGCACTCGGCTTCGTAGCGGCTGCAGTCCGGAAACACTTCGTTGGTCTCTGCGAATGGAATTAACATGTTACAAGTGCTGGAAAAAAAGAAACATTTCCACGCAAAGCTCTAAATTGTTCTAATGATTGTCGGGATTCTGTGGAAGATTTGGGTAAATTCCTCGGAAGAACATTACGGACTTATCTATACTAATATTAAAATAAGCTGAAGAGTTTGTTTGTTTGAACGCGCTAATCTCAGGAATTTCTGGTCCGATTTGAAAAATTCTTTCAGTGTTAGATGACCCATTTATTGTGAAAGGCTATAGGCTATATAACATAACGGCAAGACCAATACAAGTGGAGCACCAATAAAGAATGTTTCAAAATAGGGGTTTAAATAGCTCTTTAACATTCTATAATTCAAAAATATTTTACTTTCTACGTAAATGAAGTGCGGGTTAAAATTTAGTGTTATGCCAAAGTAACTATTTCACGCTGACGGAGTCGCGGGCAAAAGCTAGTATGTATATAATTCTCCTATTCTTAGTCTATCTGAACAATGCGCAGCTTAAATTTAAGATCACGGATGACGGTGAGAATTTAAGGTGCTGTAAGATGCAAGCTGGTGCAAAAGCGGTGCAATATTTTATTTGTGGCGAAAAAAGTTTTATATCTTAAATTGTGGAGTTGTTAAACAATTGTTTCTCAGATTATGTTAGTATTGTTTTATTCTAAAAGGCTGCGTTGGGTAAGATTTTTTTTTTTCGGAATGAGCAACAAAGTTCAGCAAAGCTAAGCGAAGTGGAAAGGGCCAATACCGGGGAACCGGGAAACTTTGCAAACAGTTCTGCAGTCCTCGTAGTTGAGGAAGTTGTTGTCGTTGCCCTCGCAGCCGAGATACACAAAGGCGAGACATTCGCCGTCCACTGCGCTGTAGTACCAGCGGCGCGACGAGGGCTCTCTACACGCGGCGCCCGTCTCCACGCGGTGCAGGCACGCCGCCGCTACACCCGCACCGCGCGCGTTAGTACACCCGTCTCACCGCCCGCCCCGCGCCCACCCCGCGTACACCCCGCGCACACCCTGCACCCACCCCGGGCATACCCTGCGCCCAATCCACTCACACCCCACTCACACCCGCGCACACCCCGCGCCCAACCAAGGGGCTCAGTAGCTAGTTCATCGTCTCGCATCAAAACTTAAACTTTAGCTTGCTTAATTTCTCACTCGGATCACTATTTGTATTAGTGTTAATGAGGTTACAAGTAAATTTTGAAGTAGAAAGTTAGCATTCAATTCGTTAACGTTAGGTTATCTCTGCCACCAACAAGGATTTTTTTATTGTTTTAATTATAGTGTCGTTTCGAATGTTGCTTACCGGGACCAGTCTCCCCACAGACTTCTTCACACTCATCGACGGAGGAGAAGCGGTTGGCGCCTCCCCCGCACCCGCCGTACGCGTACGGCTTGCATGTGCCGGTGGCTCTGTCCCAGTAGATCTTCGGTATGGACGCGCGGCAGGGCCCCGGGTCGAGTTGCGCGGTGCACACGTCTGCAGAATAAACCGGTAGGTAATAGTTCTGGTAGGACCTCTTGTGAGTCCGCGCGGGTAGGTACCACCGCCCTGCCTAATATTTCTGCCGTGAAGCAGTAATGCGTTTCGGTTTGAAGGGCGGGGCAGCCGTTGTAACTATACTGAGACCTTAGAACTTATATCTCAAGGTGGGTGGCGCATTTGCGTTGTAGTTGTCTATGGGCTCCAGTAACCACTTAACACCAGGTGGGCTGTGAGCTCGTCCACCCATCCAAGCAATAAAAAAAGGTCAGACCTGAATGTTGTTTATTTTAGAAACAAGGCGGTCCTACTCACTGATATCCTGGAAGGCCCCGCATCTTCTTTCGCACTCTTCTTCGGTGCGGTAGCTGTTGGAGTAGCGGCAACCTCCGAAGTCGGCCGCCAAGCAACTCCTGACGGAGGAGTCGTAGTAGAAGACCGTGACGTTCTCGCCGCAAGGGACCAGCGAGTCGGGGGTGCGGCATTCGTCCGGTACAGCCTGGACGAGAACACAAACTCACAAACTATCCAATAATAATCATGGAACTTGCGAAAACATAGAGCTTTAACTATACTTGGATAGCATTTTACAAAACTTTCATTAGCTGAACGCTTTTATTAGCTTGAACTGTATATGTGACGGAGTCTTTTAACATAATTTTTTTGATTTCAATACATCCGATTAACTCGAGCATTCGCGTACGTATTGAGGACACTGAAATAAAATATGGGGCCATATGACCACCGCTTCCTCGATTATTCATCTAATTTAATGCTTAGTTGTGGAACGTACCCGCTCCGTGTGGTCTGTCACGGCAATTGTTGATATTGTGGTCGTAGTGAAGATCGGCTGCTTCCTGCAGACGCCTTCGCATTCCTCGCGCGTCTCGAACCTGTTAAAGTTTGAAGGCGTTAAGTGAACTACACGTAAGGGGGGCACAAGTGGGGTGTGCGTGCGCTTTGTAAACCATGTCGGGACTGGAGCAGAATCTGTGTGTGAGGGGGATAGGGTGAGTGGGAGTCGGGAAACCTACCGCGGATGATGTAGCGTCATCTCAGTCTGCGAGACGTCGGATCACAGCTCGTGGGCGGACTTTACGTGGGGTACCAGTTTTTTTTCCCACCTATGCTGATAGCCTTGAGAGGCTATTTCAGCTTCTCCTTGACGTGTAGGTGAGCTCACGGAGCTCAAACCGGGAGTGTTGCTAACACTGGCCCTAGCAAGAGCAGTGCTCTGCAGAATCTACCACCGGATCGGAAACGCGACCCACTTAGAAGATCCGGCGAGAAACTCAGTGGGCTGTGTCTATGGGTTAATTTACTCGTCGAGTCCTTCGTCGCGAGCAACGGGTTCGGCGAGGACGGTGACCGGTGCTTGAGGTACCTAAAATTACCGTTAACGGATCGGGAGGATCCGTAATGAGGTACCACAGTGACGTAAAAGCAAAAATAATTGAACATACCTGTTGCTGTTTCCATCGCAACCGGTCCAGACGAACTGTTCACAGCTGTCGCTCGCTTCACGGTAGTACCATTTTTCTAATCGGTCCATACAGTTCCCGGGCTCAGGCTGGACCTTGCATGGATCTGAAGTGTAAGCGATAATGTAAGCAAATTATTTTTGGACATCCATTTTCACCTAACCGAATATTCATTGCGTTCTGTACGGGTAAGTATCAACGTTCCGTCCATTTCTGCAATTATTATTATCAGCTTCGAAGGTGCGGCAAACAACAATATAGTTGAAACTTCAAATTTATTGTTATGCCGGGCAGAGTAACGCCATCTATCGCCGAATAGTCGGACGAATATCGAAGAATCTAGTAGCACCTAGAACGCTCGAGAAGTACAACGCCATCTATTGTCAGATAGCGGAAGCACAATACTAGGATGTGTGGAATATTCTCGATAATTCTATGGTGGTGGTATCGACTATAAAAACGTTGCAGACATGGCACGCAGTCAGTCAGTAATCGGAACTACTCGAAGCGAAACAGCGAACGGATCACCTGAAGCGAAGCGGAAGAAGCGAATTGAGAGTTGTAAAATGTTTTAAGTGTTGAATACAGTTTTTAGTTATACTTTGTTGGAATTTTATTTACCCCGAACGCGTAGCCCTAGCGCGTAACATTATATTTCAAGGTGGCTGTCGGCATTCGGGTCGTGATGTCCATGCAGTAATGTATGCAGTACAAAAAATAGAGTCATACTAAGAATAATGTTCTGTATACAGGGACGCATCAGTTCTGCCGTTTGTTAAAGACAACAATAGCCTAATCTGTTAATATCCAATAACTAGCCGTACTCGCCCGCTTCGCTGGGCATTTAAAATTAACATTATTGTTAGCCTATCCGTTAAGTATTTTCTACATGGATACCAAGTTTCAAGTCAATAAGATGCATGGTTCAGTAGTTATAACGGAACATCCGTAAAAACCGCTGTAGATTTATACATTAGTATAGATTGGTATAGATACTATTATGGGCTTAAAATTTTAATCGATCTCTCTATTCGATCGTCACAAAACGATTGTTTAATCGGATGAAACCATTAAATCACTTGCCGATATAGTTTTTGCAGACTTCCGTGCACTCTGCGATGGTGGAGAACCTGTTCGGTCCTCCGTGACAGCCTCCGTATACAAACTCCTGGCAGCTCCTCCTCTCATTATCGAAGTAATACTTAGGCAAGTACGCGCGACACGGTCCAGGGTCCAATGGATACAAACAAACATCTACGAGGGAAACAGATTCATTTACGGCGTGTCCATATTATTCTATCTTGATAGTGTTACTGAAATCTTTTCAGCGTTTTCCTAAACCGAATTGACAGTACGTGGTTGTTCTACAAAAGAAACTTTACTGGCGGTAGGATCTCTTGTGAGTCCGCATTGGTAGGTACCACCACCCTGCTTATTTTTGCCGTGAAGCAGTAATGCGTTTCGGTTTGAAGGATGGGGCAGCCGTTGTTCTATAAAAACTGAGACCGAAGAACTCATATCTCAAAATAGGTGGCGGCATTTACGTTGTAGATGTCTATGGGCTCCGGTAACTACTTAACACCAGGTGGGCCGTGAGGGGAGCTTGGGGACCTTAGAACTTATATATCTCAAGGTGGGTGGCGCATTTACGTTCTGGATGTCTATGGGCCCCAGTAACCACTTAACACCAGGTGGGCTGTGAGCTCGTCCACTCATTTAAGCAATAAAAAAAAATAGGATCACATCGTACTTATGTCCTTGAAGGCGCCACAGGATCTCTCGCAGGCCTCCTGGGTCTGGAACGTGCCGGTGTTCCGACAGGTGAGTCCGGACTCCGCGTTGAAGTGCACGACGCACTCCCGCCGCGCCGCGTCCAGGTACCAGACCAGACCGGGCGCGACGCAGCGCTCCAGAGTCGGCGACACTTCACACTCCCCACGAAATCTGCTCTCCTGCGCATTAGGTTTTAAATATATATAATAGGTTGGAGAAGAAGTCTTTTCGCATTATAGTATTGTGGGATATAATATTTTGCCAATTGAATTGACTAATTTAATTTCATGCTATTTGATTAATGTTCCAAATTCTTTTCATTTAATTTCAATTCCAATTAACATTTTTCACAAAAAAAAATTAAAATATTAGGCTGTATGGTATGGACTTAGGAAGAGTGAAGATATTTCGGGACTGTCATCGGTTCGTGCCGCGCAAGCTCTTTGCACGATTACCCAGCATGCGCCCACGATGTCAAGTAATAATAAAGATAAAACTCTTCATTCTGCGAAATATATATGTCGAAGAGGTTATTAGTTTGGTAGCTAAACGAAACACAGCACGATTGCGGTATCGTCGGAACTCGGCTAACTTCGTGCTACGACAGAGCCTAATCGATGGAGGGAGGCGCATAGACGGCATTATACACTTACCAATTATTACCAACATTGAAAATAAATGGAATTTTTGATTATTGGTTGAATTATGGATGAATTAATGGTAAATTATATAATATTATAATATCTTGCACTGCACTAAAATTCGCATGTCAAATAATGACAAAGCATACACGCTGCTTTTAACTTTATGTAATAACTCATTTTCACTATGCTTGGCGAATAAATGATTTCTTTCTTTCTTTCTTTCTTACCAACCAGCCTTCTTGAAGAGCGATGCTTCCGTCCTAACAACAGTCATTCTTTTTCGTTTGTTAACGTCAAGAGAAGATTTCTAAATTGTTCTAAGACGACAAACGTGATTGGTGTACTTAATATTTCTCTTAGCTCGATCAGCCTATTCGCCCCTATGATGTCTGACGATGGTGTTAATAAATGTGGTTTCTCCGATATTATATATGATCACTATATATATTGCGCGAATTACATTTATGAAGTTAAATATATTAATCTACGTTCAGCTTTCACTAAGTAATTGATTAGTAAGACTCACAACAGCGACGGTGGCGTTGGTCGCGGCGAGGGTGGTGGGCTCCGGAGCGAGGGTGGTGGACACCTCGGCGACCCGACCGGACCTGCAGCGGCTCTCGCACTCGTCGCGTGACGCGAACCTGATGCGATCAAAGACAGGAACTTGAGTTTACGTGAAGGTAGCTGAAGACTTGAGTGGATGAAGGAATTTCTGAAAATAGCCTTTAAGCTCGGGGTCTTAAGGTCTAATGTCGCTTATAGGCACATACCAAGTTATTTTTTTATTGCTTCTGTGGATGGACGAGCTCACAGCCCACCTGGTGTTAAGTGGTTACTGGAGCCCATAGACATCTACAATATAAATAAGTTCTCAGATCTCAGTATAGTTACAACGGCTGCCCCACCCTTCATACCGAAACGCATTACTGCTTCACGGCAGAAATAGGCAGGGCGGTGGTACCTACCCGCGCGGACTCACAAGAGGTCCTACCACCAGTAAGAAAGACCTTATAGAGATTCTTATAAATTTTAATGTAAACAAAATAAGGTTAGATTTAGAGAGTGTTGCGCGAACCGGTTGTCGTTTCCGCCGCAGCCTCCGTAGGCGAACTGGCTGCAGGCGTCCCGGGACGCGTCGTAGAACCAGCTCACGATGGAGTCGTTACACGGACCCGCCAGCATCGGCAGCTGACACACGTCTGGAACGAACAACAAGCTCACTTAATAAATTATACATTAATAATACATGAAATCATTAAAAAAAGAATTACACACACTACCATGTGTTTGACACGCACACTTAAATATACTCTTTGTTTACTGTCAAACTTTTGTTATTGCATAAGGTCTGTGGTCAAATTGACAATAGGTTATTATTGTTTAGTAATTCGTAAAAAAACTCGTAGTATGTAATCAAAGTTATTACTTTTTAGTTATTATTAGTTTTTTATTTTATTTATTGCTTAGATAGGTTTATTGCTTATAGATGAGTATCACAATAATACTTTAACGATTATTTTCATTTGATAATTTTAGTAAGATTGAATGGAAGTTATTGGCGGATTGAATTACATTATCATGTGTTTGTTTAATTTCAAATAGTTGATTAAATACAATATCGTAGTAAGCACAGGTTATGGACGCTTTGAAATTTTTTTTTTTTTTTTGTAATAAATATATTCATAAACGAATTTGTATGTTGGTATGCCATTAAGTGTATAATCTATGGGTATGCCCATCTTCCAATATGGCGGTGCCGAGACTGACTTGTCAAATTGAAGTAAAAACGTTTTTTTTTATACGAAATTTAACAATTTATTTATTAAATTCTCTAACTTTGCCACTATTTGTTATTGGTAAATTATATGACGCGATTACAACTTCATCTATGCCATAAAATAATGTGTGATCGAAAACTGTATAAAGCTTCAAATAAAACGACACGGAAACAAAAAATAAGTTTTTTTTTCATTTCATTTCATCATTATTTGACAAGATTGGCCCGAATGCAATGATATCCACCATATTCAAATTTAGTAGGTATTACGTTTACTATATACACGCAGATAGAACTTTTATTTGTTTTATTTAACTCTGCCATCGGTTTTGCTACGGATCGTCGCTCATCCGATCCCCATAAAGTGAGTCGACTATTATCAAAGCCGGCAATCTGACTTTTGGACAATTATTGGTAAATCAGAAAAACGAATTATTGACTTTGTATTCCATTGGCAGTCACAAAACTCTTCGGAACGACATCTTAGATAAATAACAGGTTAACTATTAACCTTTATTTAATGCAGGTTTTGAACCGTATTCTTTGAAGGAGACGATTATATTCAAATCAATCTGTATTGACATATCAATAACATTTTTTTTTCCAAATGCACAGATTGCCGCCTTTGATAATAGACGACTCAAGTATCCATTGTGTTTTTACGTTCGCTCAATTTGGTTGAAACAAAAACGTGTGTCTACCTTTTGGATTTGCGTCATCCATTCACTTCGGACGAACAGATGGGATTACGGGATTATTTTTATACATGAGCCGTCTACAGCTATATACAAAAAATGATATAACGGCATATACTATCACATCGAATAGCGCCCTTGTAGGCAGACGAGGGTACGGTCCGTCTGATGGCGAGTTGTTACCGTCGCCCATGGACTTCAGTAATGTAAGGGGCAGAGTCAAGCCGCTATCTACCGTTGAGTACTCTGCACAAGCCTCGTTTGAAGAAGGACATGCCAAAGCGCTCGGGAAACACCTTGGAGGGGAGCTCATTCCAAAGCCGGATGGTACGTGGCATAAAATATCTCTGGAAACGCACTGTGGATGAACGCAGTGACTCCAGTAGTATGTGTTTGTATTGAATTATTAATTATTATTTTTTTATTGCTTAGATAGGTGGACGAGCTCACAGCCCACCTGGTGTTAAGTGGTTACTGGAGCCCAGGGTCATCTACAACGTAAATGCGCCACCCACCTTGAGATATAAGTTTTAAGATCTCAGTATAGTTACAACAGCTGCCCCACCCTTCAAACCGAAACGCATTACAGCTTCACGGCAGAAATAGGCAGGGTGGTGGTACCTACCCGCGCGGACTCACAAGAGGTCCTACCACCAGTAAAAAAGTAAATTAATTAATAATTTAGTATTAATTATGACAGAATTATGCCTACATAAGTTTTCAAGTCTTGGATAAAATAGTTGTGGCATGAGTTTGAGCCTCGGTAAGCCCTCACCTTGCGTGAAGTGGCAGTAGTACTGGCAGTGCTCCTCGGACGCGAAGTTGTTGGTGTTACCGCCGCAGCCGCCGTACTGGAAGGGCGCGCACCGGCCGCCGCGCGCGTCGTACGACCAGCGGGTCTCAAATTGCGTGCAGGGGCCCGGGTCCGTCTCGAAGAAGCAGAACTCTGTAAAACGCGGGGGCCAAACGCGATCGCTCAGTCAGTCTCAGTCTCTTGATGATTTGAAGTCGTCGTAGCCTAAAGGATAAGACGTCCGGTGCGTTCGTGTGTAGCGATGCATCGGTGCTCGAATCCCGCCGGTAGGTACAGTAATTGGGGGGAATAGGGACAAATCTGGGATGTCAAAATACTTTTGTTGAGATGTTAGATTTAACTTTGTTGCACTGAAAATGACTTATTTCGACTTTAAGAGTATTAAATAGTTTAATTTAGTCATCAAAGTTTTGGAACTCAAAGATATTAAAAAGTTAATTACCTAAAGTTAGGTACCTAACAACTAAATAGTGCCAGCCCTATCGGAAAACTCTATTGTCCGCATACGTAACCTGATTCACCCCAAAGCCAAGGTGAATCGGGTCAAGCTAGTTTCTTCAGTTTTTGTGTAGAACTATATTTAATATTCTTACTTATTTCAAATTAAATCTAACAGTACACTTTTAACAGTACAATGACTGCCCCACCCTTCAAACCGAAACGCATTAATGCTTCATGGCAGAAATAGGCAGGGTGGTGGTACCTACCCGTGCGGACTCAATAGATCCTACCAGCAGTAATTTTGGAAATTATAATTCTGCGGTATTTTTATTACACGATGTTATTCCTTCACCGTGGAAGTAAATCATGAACATTTGTGAAGTACGTTTTTCATTAGAAAAATTGGTACCTGCTTGCGGGATTTGAACACCGGTTTATCGCTAGTACGAATGCACCGGACGACTTATCCTTTAGGCCACGACGACTTATTTGTTTTTCTTTGTTGGGGTCTTTGCTGGACTATAATTTTTATATGAACTATTTAAAAAATGGTAAAGTATCTTAATCTTATACCTTAATTGTATCGATAAATTAGTCCCATTCAAGTATACACAAATTAAATCAAGCTATTGAAATATCTCGAACCGGGTGGTTAGCAAAACTAAAACTCGATTTTAGAATAAAAATATATTGTGTTCTGTGTATATGACTTACCTGAGTTTTCTGGTCCAGGCTGTTGTGGTTGGACTGTGGTGGTGGTGGTGGTGGTAGTGGTCTGGATCTCGGAGCACCGACTTTCACATTCGATTTGAGAATTGAATTTGTTTTCGTTTCCTCCGCACCCGCCATAGTAGAACTGACGACATCTGTCATTTGATTCGTATTATTTTGAATTCCTCCATTTGATAAGGTTCAAAAAGAAGACGGGCTTGGGTAAATTAGGTCTTAAAATAGTCTTGTTATATACGGTCATTTGATGTCGAAGTCTCAAATGTATTGTATAATGTTTTTTTTATGGGTGAACGAGCTCACAGCCCACCTGGTATTAAGTGGTTACTGGAGCCCATAGACATCTACAACGTAAATGCGCCACCCATCTTGAGATATAAGTTCTAAGGTCTCGGTATAGTTACAACGGCTGCCCCACCCTACAAACCGAAATGCATTACTGCTTCACGGCAGAAATAGGCAGGGTGGTGGTACCTACCCGTGCGGACTCACAAGAGGTCCTACCACCAGCAAGTTTTATTTGCTTATTATTATTACTCATTAAAATATCTGATCGTTATGCCGCAATAGAGACCATTCGACCTTCATGTCTCAAGACGGGTCATTCGCGTAAGCTGTAATTTGTTTTATTTTGTACAAAAGAAAAAAAACCTTTTTTCGGACGTATCGTAGAACCACTTCTCCTCGTAATTAGCGCATTCTCCCGTCTCAGCCGGCAGGGTGCACAGGTCCGGTACTGAAATTTTCATAAGCCACGTAATCAACGGTTTCTATTCGAAAATATTGCAATTAAATGTAACATCGTCAACCCTGTTATATAACTAAAACTACTTTTACGATTGATTCTCGCTTTTTCTTATTTACTTTCCTTTAATACTTTACACTTTATTACGCTGTAATACTTTATAGTTAACATGGGCATAATTCGAAAATAATTACAATAGAAAACGTGAAATTAAGCAGTTTATGTAGTTTTAATTACACATGCCCACGACTTATGAATACCGAAGGAAATACTATGCCGGGTTATGATTAATGTAGATATTCTCGAATATATTAAGTGTATAATCTATGGTAGATATGGTTAAATTACAGATAACACCAAAATGCGATTAAAAACAAGACCATGCAGGTTTCAAATACAACAACAATAGAGGTTAGTCGTTGAATAAGGTTCAAAGGTTAGTAATATATTTTTTTAATTTTCGTCATAAAAACTTTTCATCTATCAACCACGTACCTTATCTGTTATCGTTCGAACTGAGAACTAGATGACCTATTATTTCCTGCTTAAGCTGGATCCATTAGTATAGATCAGCGTTTCCCAACCTTTTTGTGCCATGCCCCACTATAACATTTCTAAACATTTTTATGCCCCCCATACATAATTTCAAACATTAAAAAATAGATTTGTTCGCGTAAGAAACATAAATGATAGGTTTTAGGAAGAAATCACTATGAAATTGTAACAGAGGACAGTAAGTAATATTTAAAACTAATAATAAAAAACTGAAATTCAAATTCAAAATAATATTAATACAGATTATCTATATTAATTTAGTGCGATTGCCCTCTTAGTTATCAAATTTTGCTCTCTTGTGGGGCGTGGGCCCGACGTTGGGAAACACCGGTATAGATCCATTTTTCTTTTTGGCAACTACGTTCGCCTAATTTGTGAAGGAGCAAAACTGACCCAACATTGTTCCTGTTGGTTTTTCAAAGATGCCTCGACCACAGGTCTCGAGTTATTTGTTGGATTCAAATTTTTTTTTTTGCAAAGCGAACCGGCTCTATTTTTTATTGTATATGACTATAAGACCATCACGTTTAGTTGGAGACAAAAATTAAGCCCAACGGGATGGCGAGTGGCCGCTGATGTTAATAGCCCATTTCAAAAGTATAGCTGGGTATAACAGTGCTTCCTTTATATAAAGTACTTCCTTTTTTTTTTAAGAAGAATTTGTTATCGCGGTCAGAGAACTGAAGTTGGGTGGGGGGGGGGGGGGGGGGGGGTGAATGACCCTGTAATGCTGTAGGGCGTCGCACCGTTGCGCTGTCAACTAACCGAAAGGCTCGGGACAGGAGCTGGCGCAAGCGGCCTCATCTTCGAAGCGGTTCTGGTTCCCGCCGCAGCCGCTGTAGTAGAAGGGTCTGCAGCGGCCCTCCGCCGGACTGAACCACCAGACCGCCGCCGTCTCGTTGCAGCCGCCCTGCTCCCGGGGCTGCGAGCACCGCGCTGACCACGCACCCAATGTTACTACTACCTACCTACGCGCTACGCTCCTTATTACAGCAAGCGACATTTTAGCACAATGCAAACAAACTACATAGGTAAGTAACTTTTAGTACTAAAACCCAGAAGCAGGTGAAATTTAACCAAGAGTTTAAAAGTTCATGCTTGTAACAACAGAATAGGTTTTTAATTTTGATATCAAAGTCATTTAGTGCAAAGTCATCCATCTACCAAACAAACTGTGGGTAGTCGTCGCGCGTACTCACGTTGGAGTGTCCCGGGCGGGTCGCAGCGCTGCTTACAAGCCGCTTCCGAACCAAACCTATTCGAGTTTCCTTCGCAGCCTCCCCAGATGAACTCCTCACAGCGCTGCGTCTCATCATTGAAGCCCCAGCGCGGGAAGTTGCCAGCGCAAGATCCTCGCTCAATGGGCAGACTGCACTGATCTAGAAAAGAAAGGTTCAACATATAAATAGCTTTCTCAGATCTTACAGACCGGACATCGAACGGGCTCTGTTACCTTTAGTCCTGGCGGGCTCGCACTGGCTCTGGCACAGTTCTCTGGTGTCAAAGTTGTTCGCGTTGCCCAGGCACCCTCCGTACACAAACTGGCTGCACTGTTCCCTCTCGGAGTCATAGTACCAGCGCACGTTGTAGCCGACGCACGCTCCTTTGACCTTCGGTAGCTTGCAGGCGTCTAGATGTTATGATTTTAGTTTACGTTAAGTCTTATCCGGCCAATTTGTAGAGAGCTGTATTTTTACGAATTCCAATTTTATACCTTTCGGTGACGGTTGCACGCAGACGTCGTCACACTCTTCTTTCGTGGCGAACCTGTTACCGTTCCCATCACTTCCTCCGTACCAGAACCTTGAGCAGCCGCCATATTCCATATCGTAATACCAGTAGACGGAGTAGTCGCGGCCTGAACCACGGTCTTTTGCCAGACTGCACGCAACTGTGAGCGATCATAAAATGTTAACCAAGGAAATCTATTGTTTGAAATTAAAGATTCTAGTTCTACGCATAAAGTGTAAATCATAATGGATCCGAATGTTACCTTGTTTATTTTCTGGAATATCAGTGCATCCGAAGAACTTGGGTCCTTCAGCCAGTGTTTGGCCGTCAGGGCAACATCCGTATTTGCTAGTCGAACAGTCGCAGCCTCCAAGGTTTGGTCCAGTAGCGTGGGTCTCTCCGTCGCCACAGCATCCATATTGTGATTGCTCACAGCGACAACCCTGCAGCCCCGGACCCTTCGAGATGGTGACGCCATCGGGACAACAACCGAACTGGTAAGTGTGGCAACCGCAACCTTCTCTGTCAGGACCCGTAGCTGGTGTGTGCCTGGATACAAACCATTTAAACATTCAATTTGGCCACATTCGATTTTAAAAAAAATGGATTGACTACTAGTTATATAGGTATAATGCAGTACAACAAACTGTCTTAAAGATGTTATTAAAATTGAACATTTCAATAACAATTGTCAATATTTTTGTGACACTCTTGGAAGTTATCTAAATTGCTGTGATAAAGGTACCTGTCAGGGCAGCACCCGTGGGTGGTGTGCTCACAGCCACAACCCTCGTTGGCAGGTCCACGGGCGTATGTTGTGTTATCAGGACAGCAGCCGAAGCGGCCGTAATGACAATCACAACCTGGAAACATTAAACACAACTTAGTCGCTGGAGGGAGCCTCTAGTGCATAGTCGTAGTCCTGCAAACATTTGCCGAACGAACCCCGTATTAATTTGGTAAGACCTTCTATTTTTCCAAAGGTTTTACTCATACTAAAATGAGCGTTTGTGAAAATTAGTTTTCTCTCTCTCTTCAATCGGTCCCTCATTGCTGAGGATCGTGACTCCGTCCGATTCCGTCAACCAGCTGTCTCCATCGATCCCGTTCTGTAGCTTGGTGGAGTTCGTCACTGACAGGTATTTTCAGTTCTTCCGCTATTTGGTCCGAACATCGTTTGGGACCTTTAACCCTAGGCTTTTTTCCCTCGATTTTACCGGTCACCACAAATTATTAATTTTTGTTAATAATTATATAAATAATTAATTATTAACTCCAGGTTTTTATTAACACAAATGCAAATTTGAAACCTGCAAAGTTCGGTCCGTCAGCAACCTTGAAGTTATCTGGACAGCACCCAAATGGATAAATCAGGCAGCATCCTTCGCCGTCCGGACCGTGGGCCGGAGTCACATCGTCAGGACAACATCCGAACCTTGACGTAGCGCAGGTCAGTGGGCAGCCCTTCATTTCGGCGTCTTCGGCTAAATTACAAAACGAAGATAGCAATGAATCCGCTGTTTCATTAGCGAAATAAAAAGTCCAAAAATCTTAATAAGCCCACCTGAACGCCTGAATTATGTTTATCATACCTCACTATTTGAGGGACTAGGCAAATAATTGTTCGGCATTGAGACCATTCGGGAACTTTTGTATCAAATAATACCTTATGCATTATTGTAGTCAATAAATCGGGATGCGGATGTGCACCTAGGTCGTTTTCGCAAAGCGGTACAAAAATGTATTGTGGTCTATTGAATATGGTGTTCTATTGGATTTATTGATCAGACGAGAACCCACCTGGCGTATGATTATCAGGACAGCAACCGAACTCAGTAGCGTTGCAGGGACACCCTGCTGGACCAGGAGCCGAGGCCGCAGTCTGATTGTCGTAGCAACATCCGAAGGCGGATCCAGCGCAGTCTTCGCCCGACACGGTGGTGCTGTGGACGGCCTCCTCCGTGCCGACGCTGCTGGTCTCCGATGACGTTTCAGTTTCAGTTACTGTTTCAGCTGTAATTTCAATGTTACTCACAAAACGTGTTCAAATTCTAGCTTAACGATTAATTCAACGAAACTAATTATCTGTAGTCGTGCGTGTGGCAATAATACCAGAGAAGCTAAATTTGTTAACAGCGAACGATCTTCTATGAAAAACTACAAATCTATTAATTTTAACTTGGCCAAATTTTTAGCTTGGAAGACTACTGATTCTAAGTAGGTTACATTAAATTAAAGTGTTCTAATTAAACTGGTATGGATTACAAATTGTGTACTTGAATTAGGTATGCACTAGACACTAGAATAGCATAATAATATGTATTACTAGAAATGTACTTAATAAGAAATGTGCTAAGTTCGATATTACTTTTATTAAATTTAACTTACTACTAGTCGAGTGCTCGGGACATCCTGAAAAGTCGGGACCCGTAGCTTCAGTCTCTCCATCTGCACAGCAGCCATACCTACGAGCATAACAATAACAAATAAGACTTGCAAAAGTGACGCGTTTAGTGACTAAAATAAAAAAATAAAAAGGAAAACCTCTATATATAAAAATGAATTACTGTTCGTTAGTCTCGCTACAACTCGAGAACGGCTGGACCGAATTGGCTAATTTTGGTCTTGAATTATTTGTGGAAGTCCAGAGAAGGTTTAAATGGTAGATAAATATGAAAATGCTCGGAATTAAATAAAAATAACAATTTTGTTTTTCCTTTAATGTGTCCCTCGTCGGACCGATTCGTTTTGTTTGTTTTAAGTTTATTTTATACAAAAGTTTAGGTCTTTTATTTATCGATTGAGGCTCTTGCCGGGTCAGCTAGTAAAATATAAAGGACTTTATAAAGATAGAGCTTCTAAACATCCATTTACATTAAGGTGTTTGAGTTAATAGCATTTTTTATTCATCGATATTTTTAAAGTAGGCTAAGCAACAAATGCTTTTTCGCACAACTAAAATTTCATTTTACCAAACTTGAAACACAGTACCAATGGAAATATGATCAAACAAGATAATATTTGAGAATTGCTTAATAGATATTGAGGTATCTATCGCCCCATGACATTACGTTTTAATTTTATTTCCAAAAAGAACGCATTTATATTTTAAGTAAAAACAGTATTCCTAATTATAAAGTACAGCCGGAATACTCACGGAGCGAGCTTGCACGCGGGTGGCATGGGTGGACATCCTTCCTGGTCGTTGCCTCCTGCTGCCGTTTTATTATCCGAGAGACAACAACCAAACAAGGATTCTGCGCACAGCGACGGAGGACAACCCTTCTCTTCTGGTCCAAGAGCTGCGGATACTCCGTCAGAACAGCATCCAAATCTGGTTTCTTTGCAAGTTCGTACTTTTTCGCAGCCTATAAGATATTTCATATAAGGTCATTTGTTAAGTCTAACGCAAATACATTTTAAGACTTAATTTAAACAAGTGTGGTTACGCGACTTCTTCGCCCAAATGGGAGACAGGTGTTATTTATTGATAAAATCGTTTCGACACTATGTGTGGTTATTACGGCCTCACTCTTACATTTGGAATAAAATGCATTAGTTAGATAAGTTTATTCAAAGTTTTATAAACAAAAAAAATCGATCCGGTTCCGGTAGGTTACTACGAATGTGTTTGTTTTATTCAACTCCCACGTGTACTATATTCCAATTCCAACACGTAGGGTGATTCAAACTTGATTCCAAAAAAGGTTCTGAATATCTGGATGCAATTTCAGTACAAGCAAAACAGTGGTCCTACAGACTCACCTTCGTCGAAGGGTCCAGAAGCGGCAGTTCTTCTATCTGGGCAGCATCCGAATTTAGTGGTGGCACATTTAACGTTCCTTCTCCTGCAATGTCGCTTGGTGTAGCCCGGAACGAATGTTACCGCCCAATTTCGCAACGCTAAAAATGAATACGTATATATAAATTATGATTGTATATTTTAGGAACTAATTAATAGTATACTATACTAGTAGTGGACACTTACTAACGCCACGCGTCATTTCACTTTCATCAAAGACGTTTGCTGTCGAGCTTTCTGTGAATAAAAAAATATGAATTTTGATATTGAATTTCTTTAATAGTAGCAGTGAACTCGACATCCAATTTAAGCTAAAATGACTGTTTTGAAAATTCATAATTACCTTCCGTGGATCCTGTTATTACAGTAACCGATTCTGTGGTTCCCTCTGACACAGAAGATGTTGAGGTACCGGATTCTGTTGTTTCTTCTGAAACTGATGACGTCGGCGTGCCAGACTCTGTTGTTTCTTCTGAAACTGATGACGTTGGTGTGCCAGACTCTGTTGTTTCTTCTGAAACTGATGACGCTGGTGTTCCAGACTCTGTTGTTTCTTCTGATACAGATGAAGTTGCTGTGCCAGACTCTGTTGTTTCTTCTGATACAGATGATGTTGGTGTTCCAGACTCTGTTGTTTCTTCTAATACAGATGAAGTTGCTGTGCCAGACTCTGTTGTTTCTTCTGAAATAGATGACGTCGGTGTGCCAGACTCTGTTGTTTCTTCTGATACAGATGATGTTGGGGTGCCAGACTCTGTTGTTTCTTCCGATACAGATGACGACGGTGTGCCAGACTCTGTTGTTTCATCTGATACAGATGACGTTGGTGTGCCAGACTCTGTTGTTTCTTCTGAAACTGATGACGCTGGTGTTCCAGACTCTGTTGTTTCTTCTGATACAGATGATGTTGGTGTGCCAGACTCTGTTGTTTCTTCTGATACAGATGACGTCGGTGTGCCAGACTCTGTTGTTTCTTCTGATACAGATGACGTCGGTGTGCCAGACTCTGTTGTTTCTTCTGACACAGATGATGTTGGTGTGCCAGACTCTGTTGTTTCTTCTGACACAGATGATGTTGGTGTGCCAGACTCTGTTGTTTCTTCTGATACAGATGACGTCGGTGTGCCAGATTCTGTTGTTTCTTCTGAAACTGATGACGCTGGTGTTCCAGACTCTGTTGTTTCTTCTGATACGGATGACGTCGGTGCGCCAGACTCTGTTGTTTCTTCTGAAACTGATGACGCTGGTATTCCAGACTCTGTTGTTTCTTCTGATACAGATGATGTTGGTGTGTCAGACTCTGTTGTTCCTTCTGATACAGATAACGTCGGTGTGCCAGACTCTGTTGTTTCTTCTGATACAGATGACGTTGGTGTGCCAGACTCTGTTGTTTCTTCTGAAACTGATGACGCTGGTGTTCCAGACTCTGTTGTTTCTTCTGATACAGATGACGTCGGTGTGCCAGACTCTGTTGTTTCTTCTGATACAGATGACGTCGGTGTGCCAGACTCTGTTGTTTCTTCTGACACAGATGATGTTGGTGTGCCAGACTCTGTTGTTTCTTCTGACACAGATGACGCTGGTGTTCCAGACTCTGTTGTTTCTTCTGATACGGATGATGTTGGTGTGCCAGACTCTGTCGTTTCTTCTGATACAGATGATGTAGGTGTGCCAGACTCTGTTGTTTCTTCTGGAATTGATGAGATATTTTTTGTAATCGATGTTATATCTTATTTATATTATTTATATGGCTTATTTGATTATTAAAGGAAAAAAATAAAATAAAACTGAAAAGGAATACTAGTTAAGCAATTGGGATTTTTCGGACATGATCGATTGCCGATGATTTAGTTATTGAATACTGAACATTGACATAGGTTTTATAAGGTTTAGCTACTAAAAATAAGTGTGATGAACTTTAAAAACCTTCCGAACCTTGGGTTGACGCAGTCACGTCTTCGGTTTCACTCGTATTTATCAAATCAACAAATGTAGTGTCGCTCGATGAGTAGCCTGAACCTTCGACAGTAAGCAACTCGTCCGTTGAGAAAGTCGATTCTGAGGTCAATACAGATTGGTTATTTTACAAAGGCATTGAACGAAAAACTGTTTAAAAACTGTTGTTGAAAAAAATTTTTTATGATTGGAAGGTTACTGGTGGTCTGAAGACCTTTCCAGCTTCACCAGGAGAGGTGGGCGACCAAAGGCTCAGCCAGGAGGGGTGGGATTTGCTAACAGCTGCCCGAGCGCTTCCGAAGGAGACCTAGCAGCTCAAGAGCAGCTGCTTCGCGAATGAATCTACTACCGGATCTTAATCGCGACCCGCTGAGAAGATCCGGCGAGAAACTCAGCGAGCTGATTCATTGGTTAGGTTGCACGGCGAACTCTTTGTCGAGTTCGACGAGTACGGTTACCGGGGTCCATAAGCCTGCTCCTGGTGTTAGAGCTGGAGGCGTCATGGTTTCTATCGTTAAGGATATGGGGGTGTGTGTATAATCAAAAAGTTATTCAAAAGGCCTCTACGGGCGGATGGAAATAATCGTATTACTGTTGGGCAGTTTTCCAAGTCTGAAGTACAGGCGACAAATGCTGGACTTGCTCTGTATTTTTGTTTTTTACTTATATGATATTCATTGAATATGCTACAAACGAAATACTGCGCTACATACGTTTTACTGTTATTCAAGTTAAGACTTGCTGATGTTGTCAGGTGTAAATGAAACCTTTAAGCGCGAACCATCGATAGATCGACTCTTTATTAATGCATATAAAGCGCGGAGCGTCGGAATACCGACTATTGCGCAGTTTGGTCATGGGTGTTAGGTATCGATCTGTACAGTCGCGTCTTAGCGCGCGCGAGTATTTAACGAATTTAGTGTTGATTTTTGTATTTTTTTTAAGTTAAAGTTTTTATTAGGTACCTTCGATCAACAATACAATCTTTGATCGAAGTTGTATTGTTGATCGAAGTTAGGTACCTACTTTTTTTCAAAAATCCTTTAGCAATTTCTGCAAGATATATGAAAATAAGCTCAGCACTAAAAGGGTTAAATGTGCTTTTGTTAATACGGTAATTTGCAGTTTGGATTTCATAAACAATTCATTGTTACCTGTTCCGGAGCCAATTTCAGGGAACGTTGATTCGAGATCTAAACTTGTAAAGTATCCTGAGCCTTCGCCTGCGAAAACAGAATTGAGCTCGTATTCAGGACTTGATAAAGCCAATTCCATTTAGAATTGGTCGATCAATTTCAAGGTGGGTGGCGCATTTACGTTGTGGATGTCCATGGGCTCCAGTAACCACTTAACACCAAGTGGGCTGTGAGCTCGTCTACACATCTAAGCAATAAAAAAAAAAATAAAAAAAAATACATCTAGATATTTATTCCAAAAAATTGTTATACAACTTTTTTTGCTTAGAATGGTACCACCCACCTTGAGACATTAGTTCTAAGTCTCGGTTTGTGCAGTACAAATGCTGCCGGAACCACCTGGAACGCATTCCACTACCCTACTTATTTTTATTGTTTCGTCGTAGAAATAAAAAAGCGTGGTGGTACCTACTCGTGGGAGTTTCTAAGTCATCCTACCAGCAGGATAAGCAAGTTTTTTTATAACACGATGTTTTCCCTTCATCTTGGATGTAATTCGTGAACTTGAGTTAAGTAAGTATTTCATTAGATGATTTGGTATTTGCCGGCGGGGTCACATCGCTCGACATGAGTGCGCCGGGATTGTTATTCCCCCCTACCTAATCGTTGGTAGCCTAAGGGGCTATTTCGAATATGCGCTTTCTCATAAGTGAGCTTACGAAGCTCCACCTGGGAGGTCTTAGTAGCATTGGCTCAAGGAAGAGCAGTGCTTGGCTGAATCTACCACTGGATCAGATTGCGACCCATTGAAAGTCGTCGTGGCCTAAAGGATAAGACGTCCGGTGCATTCGTGTTGAGCGATGCACCGGTGTTCGAATCTCAAGCGGGTGCCAATTTTTGTAATGAAATACGTACTCAACAAATGTTCACGATTGGCTTCCACGGTGAAGGAATAACATCGTGTAATAAAAATCAAACCCGAAAAATTATAATTTGCGTAATTACTGGTAGTAGGACCTCTTGTGAGTCCGCACGGGTAGGTACCACCACCCTGCCTATTTCTGCCGTGAAGCAGTAAAGCGTTTCGGCTTGAAGGGTGGGACAGCACTATGTACTGTAACTATACTTGAGACCTTAGAACTTAAATCTCAAGGTGGGTGGCGCATTTACGTTGTAGATGTCTATGGGTTCCAGTAACCGCTTAACATCAGGTGGGCTGTGAGCTCGTCCAACCCTCTAAGCAATAAAAAAAAAATTGGCGAGAAACTCAGTGGGTTGTGTCTATGGACTAGGTTGCAAGTCGAACTCTTCGTCGCATTCGACGAGCATCGTATCTTTTAGGACACGATGACTTCTTATGTACCACAAGACGTTATTAAATATTTTCAGTTGGGTATCAATTTAAACTCACTAAAAGCTGGCTGGTCACTGAACATGGTCTCGTCAATCTGTAAGCAAAATTTTTTTTTTATTTTTCCGTAACTTCCTCGCCAATCCAGTTTTGCGGGAGCTAATCCAAATATCTCAAAAGAATTTATCGGATTATTGAATCTTGATATTCCCAATTCCTAATAGTCTATGGGAATTATGGAATGGCAAAAGGCAAACCTTCCTAATTAAAAACAAATGGTGACACGTTTTTAATTTACTTTCAATAGTTCATAATATAGGTGCCTAAAATGATTCGTTGTACAGTGAAGATAATGACTAAGGACTAATTGATAGAAGAAGAAACAAATATGCAATAAAAAAGAGAAATGAATGCTTTACTTGAAACAGATTCGAAATCGAGCAAATTTCTTCTAGATTTGAAAACAATAAACAGACAAACCACAAAATTGGTGTCTGCTTCTAGATTGACTCCTTCAAATCCTTCCTCTTCGATACAATCGTTGTACAATTCATAATCTTCGTCGATTATCGGCGTAGATTTTTTATCTGAAATTCAAATCCATAAGGAACTTAGTATTTAAAAGACCCGCTAAAAATCTATATATATAAAAATGAATTGCTGTTCGTTAGTCTCGCTAAAACTCGATAACGGCTGGACCGATTTAGCTAATTTTGGTGTTGAATTATTTGCAGAAGTCCAGAGAAGGTTTAAAAGGTAGATAAATATGAAAATTTACGGAATAAAATAAAATAACAATTTTGTTTTCCCTTTGATGTGTCCCCCGTCGGTCGGATTCCTTTTGTTGTTTTAATTTTTTTTTTTTATACAAAAGTTCAGGTCTTTTATTTGTCGATTGAGGCACTAAGAAGTCTGCCGGGTCAGCTAGTTAATAAATATAATTCGACGGGGAAAGGCTGTTTGGTTTAAGCAACATTTACTTACTCCTGTAACTTAACAGGATAGCCATATAAAGTTTAATATTTGGAAACAAAATTCATAACAAAAAAAACCTTCTTCAACTATATGAATGGACTAAACTTAATTGAAGTTCAATTAAAAATATCAAACATGTAGATGCTCATACCAAATAAAACGCACCTTTAATTACAAAGATAAGTGTCGGGTATTAATCGATATGTCACTTGAACCGAATAGCCTTTCACTCCTCGATATACATAATATATTGTGTAAATAAATATTTTGTTGTAGAATATACACCTAGTATTAACTTAAGCCTCTCAAAATATTGAACCTTTCTATTATCAAATTCAGCCAGCTAACGCTTAGTTTTTTTTTCAAATCACAAGACAGTGATCGCGCAATGGGTGATATGAACATTACTTTGATGTGGGCAGTACACAATTGCTTTCTCTACACATCATCATCATCATCAACATCAGCTTATAGCAGTCAACTGCTGGGCATAGGCCTCTCCAATTGTTCGCCACTGAGCATGATCCTCAGCTTCTCTCGTCCAGCTCCTGCCAGCCACCCTGCACAGATCATCACTCCACCGAGTCTGAGGGCGTCCTGCACTTCAATTCGCGGTCTCCACTCAAGAACGCGTTTACCCCAACAATTATAGGTTGTCCGACTAGTATGGCTAATATCACTCTACACAATTGGGTCTAAAGGTATTGTAACAAAAACATTTTCGCAACACACATTTATCATTACTGCACAAAATACCTCCAGTCGCACACCACAATATAATACACTATAATAATTGAAGCGGCTTAAAAGAAAAAGGTCTGATAGTTCACTGACGAAGCTCCCGAAATGTACGTTTCTTAAATCTATAATACTTTATGTCTATTGTATGGGCGTACTAACCGAGTGCCTCGCAGGGCTGCTCGTTGCATGAGCCCGCGGAGTCCGGGAGGGACTTCTTGGGACAATCTGAGAATTCTTTCCCTCCTCTGAGGCACACGACGCTGCGGAACCGCAAGCCCTTCCCACATGACTTCGTGCACTGCAATATTTGATTTTGTTAACAACATTTCCTTTTATTCTTCGGTTTCTAATTAGACTTAGACATGATTAAAGCTGTAATTTTATGGTTTGTGGCGGGTAGCCACCACAGAACACAAGATATTTGACAGATGCGTGAATCTCGGTTACGACATTTTAAAGATAAAGTTGTATATACATAATATATATACAAGTTCCGAACAACAACATTCGGGCCATCGCCGAACCCGTCGCTTGCGACGAAGGGCTCGACGAGTAAATTAACCGATAGACACAGCCCACTGAGTTTCGCGCCGGGTCTTCTCAGTGGGTCGCGTTTCCGGTTTGGTGGTACATTCTGCGAAACACTGCTCTCGCTAGGGCCAGTGTTAGCAATACTTCCGGTTTGAGCCCCGCGAGCTCACCTACTCGCCCGGTTACGCTGACATAGCCTCACAAGGCCATCAGCTTAGGTAGGAATTAAAAACAAAAAAACAACATTCGGGCCGTTGGTCTACCGAGCAATATTAGCCGCTCGGTGGAAGATCTTCCCTTTGTCGTAACCTACCGCAGGCTATCTAGCGTTTTTATTTTATTGTCATTAGATTATTTCCGACGGTTTGAATATTTAGGGAAAGAAGCAAAGTTTTGTTATATTTACCTAAATCAACATTTAGCAGTCACAGTGAATACTGCATCTTTATAAATATTAATCGTTCAAGTTTGTACATATGAATTATTATGAAAAAGAAACAAATTAAATATGACTTCATATTGCAATTGAAATAATTGAGTCTCCAAAATTGAGTAGAGTAATTTGTTCCTACTGACCTCCGACCAGGGAGCCGCGTACCACTTGGACGGGCACTTCTCTTCTGGAACTTCGCAAGGCTTCGAGTCGTTGTATTTTTCTTCTTTGGGACAATTGCTGTCGTCCACTTTCATTACCGAAGCTCCATCGAATTTACCACAGAACACTCGTCGAGTTTTCTTTCCCACGCCGCATTCTACTGAGCACTGACAATGAAAGGAGTCATTAATATTTACGACGTAATTTCACATTAAAGGCTATGTTTAATCATTTAGATTGATTGAGAAAATTAATTCTTTTACCACGACGATTATTTTAGGATTCGATTAGTCAAAACCATTAGTCGCACTATTTCCATGGTACCTAGAGTGTGGGATTGTAGCAGGAATTGCGTTTTGTGATTAATTTTAATTTTCAAAATCTTTCTTTCAAGCGAAGTAGCGTGACATAAAAAACTAATAGCTACATATGTTTTCAAAATTATGGATTTTAACGAATTTTTCCTTCAAGGCTTATAACGTGTAACGTGTTGATTTAAAGTTTTTAGTTAAATTAAAATTAATTAGCTATTTAACACAAAAATAATTTCATCATCATCATCGTCAACAGCCCACAGTCGTCAACATAGGCCTCTCCCAATCCACACCACTGAGCCAGGTCTACGGCTCTCCTCATCCAATTCTTGCCGGCCACCCTGCGGAGGTCATCGCACCACCTAGCCAGGGGGCGTCCCACGTTACGTCTTCCGCTGCGCGGTCTCCACTCGAGAACCCGTCTGCTCCAGCGATCGTCAGTCTTACGGCATATATGGCCAGCCCACTGCCACTTCAGCTTGCTGACTCTTTGAGCTATGTCGATGGCTTTAGTTCTCTGTCGAATAATCTCATTCCGGATTTTATCCTTTAGAGAAACTCCGAGCATGGCTCTTTCCATGGCTCGCTGAGCGACTTTGAGCTGACTTTGAAGTTTAAGTTAATAATTTAATTAAGAAAAATTCATAAAAGTTACTAAATCAAATAGTGCGAAAACTTCAAAGAGTTAAATAATTTGTTATATAAATTACCTTGCTCCACTGAGTGGCGTACCACTGCACTTGGCACGCGGGCAGCTTGGTTTTGTCGCAGGGTTCCTCCAGCGCTGGGGTCGGGTGGTAAGAACAGAAGCTCGAGTTGACCACTCGGTAGTCTTTGGTCACGCACTGCGCAACGCGACTGCGGACCGTGGCCAGACAGGTGTCGCACTGATAACAATATTTTTATTCATTACTAGCTGAGCCGGCAGACTTCGAAGTGCCTTAATCGATAAATAAAATACCTAAGCTTTTGTATAAAATAAACTCAAAACAAACAAAAGGAATCCGTCCGACGAGGGACACATCAAAGGAAAAACAAAACTGTTATTTTTATTTATCTCTTCCGAGCATTTTGATATTTATCTACCTTTTAAACCTTCTCTGGACTTCCACAAATAATTCAAGGCCAAAATTATCCAAATCGATCCAGCCGTTCTCGAGTTTTAGCGAGACTAACGAACAGCAATTCATTTTTATATACCTATATATAGAAGATAGAAGATGACTAATTAGCTCACTGAGTTCGCGTTTCCGATCCGGTGGTAGATTCTGAGAAGCACTGCTCTCGCTAGGGCCAGTGTTAGCAACACTATCGGTTTGAGCCCCGTGAGCTCACCTACTCGCCATGTTACGCTGACATAGCCTCTCAAAGCTATCAGCTTAGGATGAACAAAAAAGACTAACGGTCCTAAGACCGTAATATAAGACTATACGTCCAATACTGAGCCTCAAAGAGTTAAAGATTGTGTAAGTCATAGGATAGATTGAATTCTATCCAAAAAAATCGAATAGAGCACAAATCACTACAAGAAGATTTAGAATAATAAACTCTCAAGATCGGCTACAAATTGATCGTGGTGGACATGTTAGCGCAGAAGGCCTGTGATCTTCTCAAAATTTTAACAGACAGATCACAGTATTGAAGAAGAAAAAACAATTGTTTGTTTTAAGCAATATAAATAAAAGACGACGTTGATACTACCAAAAAATATTACGATATTGTTTTAGTATTACTTTAAATGACCGTGAATAGAGAATGAATTTTGAAGGGTGGGACAACCGTTGTAACTTTACTGAGACCTTAGAACTTATGTCTCAAGGTGGGTGGCGCATTTACGTTGTGGATGTCTATGGGCTCCAGTAACCACTTAACACCAGGTGAGCTATGATCTCGTCCACCCAGCTAAGCAATAAATAAAAAATGAGTTACTTTTTAACCGACTTTAAAAAAGGATGACGTTTGACTGGGTGAATCGATTTTGATGATTCTTTTTTATTAGAAAGCTGACGTTACTCGTGTGGTCCCATTTCAATTTCCATGGTATCCATGATAATGGCATTCATGAGAAAACCATATAAGTCTTAAATTTGCATTAAGTACGTGCGCGACAATGATTATTGTTTTTAGTGTATATTAATTTGTTTTAGAATACCTTTTTGTTTCTATTCGAAGTCGGTTTTTGTTAAAGCATGTCTATTTACAATTATCTCAATTGAAAAGTCTCAGATTAAAGTAGTTGTAATAAATAAATCAGAGATGTTAAAAAAGTGGTACTTTAATAACGAGACTTACGCCCGTCCACTCAGACACCATCCAGTCGACGCCCTCGCACGGCTCCAGCTCGCAGGGTTGGCGGTCAAGGGGCTTCTCCTCCGAACACTCGTCGTCGCTCAGAACGTTGATCCGACCGTTGTTCTTCTGGTAGCAGACCACTTGTCTCGTCTGCTGTCCGCTACCGCACAGCTTGTCGCACTACAGAACAACATTACATTGGAGAACAACGTTGTCACGATCATGTTTACTGGCATCATGATCATGGTTACTGGTGGTAGGACCTCTTGTTTACTGGTGGTAGGACCTTTTGTGAGTCCGCACGGGTAGGTACCACCACCCCACCTATTTCTGCCGTGAAGCAGTTATGCGTTTCGGTTTGAAGAGTGGGGCAGCTGTTGTAGCTATACTTGAGACATTAGAACTTATATTTCAAGGTGGGTGGCGCATTTACGGTTGTAGAAGTTGTTGTAAAAAAAAAACCAAGTAAATTTTAATAACGAAATAAATCAAGGTAGTTTTGGTTTACATAATAAAAAGTGAAGTCATATAAATAAACGGAAATGTGCACAATCCAATGAATTCTTTTATATTTTGCTTATAGCAGTATGCTACCATGAAAAACACTTATTGTTAAATTTATTTATCTGATTTAAAAACTTACTGGCTTCCAGGGTGAGATGAACCAGGTCGGGCAAGCGGCGTCAACGTTGCACGATTCGTAGAGAGCTGGCTTTGGACCGAGGAGATCGAAGCACTCCTTATCGTCCACTACTGAAGGGAGTCTGGAGGCAACAGGGAAACCATGTTAGCGGATCTTACACGATGGCAGTGTCCGGTTATTGTGGAGAAGTTGGTGGATGCGGCGACTACGGTCTCCTCAAGCTATCGGTTTTCTTCCTACCTATACTGATGGCCTTGAGAGGCTATTTCAGCTTGCCCTAACGTGTAGGTGAGCTCACGGGGCTCAAACCGGAGTGTTGCTAATACTGGCCCTAGCAAGAGCAGTGCTTCGCAGAATCTACCACCGGATCGGAAACGCGACCCACTGAGAAGATCCAGCGAGAAACTGAGTGAGCTGTGTCTATGGGTTAATTCGCTCGTCGAGCCCTTCGTTGCAAGCGACGGGTTCGACAAGGATGGTGAACGGTGCTTGTGGTACCCAAAAGTACCGTTAATGGGTCGGACTATTGGTAATAACCTCATCTTTTTCAAACATTTGACTACTTCACGTCTAGTCTTCTCAAGGAGGCTTGATGTCAAGCGACTGACTGTAGAATATAATTATTAAGGTATACAGCGAATCTATTTAAAGCTAGACACTAGCCAGGAAAAAATCTCTCATTTAGAAGAAAAGTCTAGACAGATTGTAGTGTGTTTTCCAATCACTGTGTTTTTATATTGCTTATATATATGTATGTATGTTAACGATGAGAGCTTTCAGTTAGCTAGCTCTGATCTAATTAGCTACTAGCTAGTACTAATTAATTCCTGATTGTCGATTCTTAAGTGTAATTAATGGTCTTTCATGTATTGAACAATGAAAATTTAAAATTAGACATTAGTATTTATGTATCTCGATTTCTCGCGTGACATCCTTGAGCTTCAAATCGTACACATTAACCCTTTGACTCCCGTGTAGGTCACCGATACCCTACGTGGCGCACTGAAGTAAATTATGTCGATTTCTGTTACTAAGGCGCCTAGATTGCCTTTAAATTTACCTTCTTATGTTTTTAATGAATGTTTTAGTCTTTTAGGTCTCATAAAAATATATTCAATCTCAGTATCTTCGAATTCGTTTTACCCAGAGTCTATTAGATATTCCGGCGCTTTAGTAACAGAAATGGACATAACTACATCAGTGCGCCACGTAAGACACCGTTTACCCAAACAGCAGTCAAAGTGTTAAATATTACCAATATTGATTTAAATATAAGCTAAGTTTTTTTTTTATTGCCCTTGTAGGCAGAGGAGTATACGGCCCACCTGATGGTGAGTAGTTATCGTCGCCCATGGATTTCAGCAAAGCCAGGGGCAGAGCCAAGCCGCTGCCTACCGTCTCTAATGTTAAACATACCCATTCGTGATGATCTTCTCGCAGCGAACCTCCCGCGATCTGGTTCCGTCCTTGCCGCATCTCTTAGAGCAGCGACTCCAGTTACCGGGGACCCACTGGGGTGGACACGCTTGCGTGTTACAGGTTTGGTTTGTGGCCGGCTTTAGGCCGTCGTCGCAGAGACCCTCATCCACGACTTCTAGCTCTTCACGGGAACGGCAAGTCACGTCGCGGCTTTGAATCCCTATAGTAGAGTTCGTAATTTAGTCCAAAGCTATTTATGGCCTTTGATGTATCGACCAGTGTACTATTTGGGGAGTTTTGTGAGTCCGCGCGGGTAGGTACCACCGCCTATACTGAGACCTTAGAACTTATGTCTCAAGGGGGGTGGCGGCATTTATGTTGTTGATGTCTATGGGCTCCAGTAACCACTTAACACCAGGTGGGCTGTGAACTCGTCCACCTATCTAAGCAATAAAAAAAACCACATCTACGATTTGTTAAATAACTACATATATCAATCGATCCTTTAAAACATTCTAATTTTGAAAACCCCATTTAAATGCGCCCCGAGATCCAGTACTTACATACACGGGGAAATAATATAATATTAATTTACGTTAAAGCTATGGTTCGATTAAATTCGCGTATATTTCTTTTGAAGAAGACGGCAGATTGGCAATTCATTTGTTGTGTGCAATACAATAATATAATACATATAATAATTCACCCAGCTATCACTTTGAAAACGGCTTTCATTGAAATTTTACCACATCTTTAGAATAGAGATTTAAAAGAACCTCTTAGATAACACTTAGTACTCAACACCGGTAAAAATAAATCTTCTAAATCTAAAATTGGAATTGGGATTTTTTTATTTTCAATTAACACCTACTCCTAACTCCGTAAGTTCACAACCTTCGGATGCTGAGTTCCTAGTGCAAGCCATTACAAAGTGAAGTCTCCTATCGGTGAGGCAGACATGACAGACTCAATTTTATGCTAATCCTTCTTATCCTATAACTTATCCTTCAGGTCGCAGGTAGGTTAAGTTTTTAAACTTTCATCTTTGTAAAGCGAATCAAGAAACATACCACCACCGCACGTAGCTGAACAAGATGAGAAGTTTCCGTGCACCCAGCTGTATCTCTGTGTTGGTAGCGGCGCCTTCTCAATAGGAAGACTGTATTCGTATTCCACGCCAACGTTCTCGTCTATGAGAAGCAACTGTGGAGCGTGAGAAATATATGTATAAGTGTCTTGATATAAATATCATTAGATTCAACCGTATAGGTTTAGCTTTTGAAAGAAAAAATATATAATCACATCTGGGTATAATTGAAGGAAAGAGAGGTCGAGGAAGATTGCCAACCAGGTGGACGGACATTGTCAAGGAGGCCATAAACACCAGCCTCCCGGGCGCCATTAAGCAGGCCGAATGCAGGCAACATTGGAGGAAGCTGGTGCAAAAACTGGACCAAGGTGGTCACGACCCTCAGTAATGAGGAAACGACAAAGAAGAAGAAGAGAAGGGTATAATTATGATTAAATTTTTTTAGGAACTTAACTATGAATGATTATTTGGTAATAAAAATAATAAATATTCCGTGCATTATTGATACCTTACAGACATACATACTCATACATCTTAGAAAGCCGTACTTACGATCTTTCTAGCTAAAGAATCTTACAATTACGAACGCTAAGGAACAGAAATTGAAATGAAATAAATAGTTAAATAAAACAACAAAAACTGCACTAAAACCGACTAAAAATATACAAAAAGCGAAAAATAGCGATAAATATTATACATATAACAAAACAGTAGAAACCCAGTGCCTTTACATCAGCGATCGGGGAACTTTTTTAACTATTACCCCATAATATTTTTGTGTAAGTTGATATTAGCCCATGGCGAAGAACAAAAAAAAAACCAAAATATATACTTTTTACTCACAAAAGTTTCATTTTTACCCCCAAAATTTCATTTTACCACATTTGGGGTAATTTACCCCGGTTCCCCGACCGCTGCTTTACATAGAAGAAAAGTAATTAGTCCTGGGAAATAATATAGGCTCACGTAAAATAAAGTGTAGTCCGACGAAGCTGCAGGCAGAGAGCTAGCAATATATTATATAATAATATAGTGTATATATTATATAAATATACTGGAATGTTAGTAAATTTATTGCAGACGGAATTCGTTTAAATTACAGGTAACAATCTCATTTCTTTTTTTTTTTTCATTTCTTCTTTATCTCTCTCTCCTAATCTATATTATATAGTTTTATAATATAAAGCTGAAGTTTGTTTGTTTGAACGCGCTAATCTCAGAAAATACTGGTCAGATTTGAAAAAATTTTCAGTATAGATAGCTCATTTATCGAGGAAGGCTATAGGCTATATAACATTACACTAAGACCAATACAAGCGGAGCACCAATAAAGAATATTTCGAAATCGGGTTTTTTTTCCCTTTTGAGAGCTTCCGCTGCATGCGCTGTAAAAACGATTAGTTTAGAAAGTTGCGCTAAAACAATCTATGACAGAATTGTTCCCCTTTAAAAGACCTAAAAAAAGTACGCGACAGCATATGTTATATGTATAAGTTAAGGTTGGCTTACTATAACTTTTTTTATGCTAACCAAATTAGTTCTAAAAAAATTCAAGTAAAAATTTTTAAACGTTCACATTATAAAAATTTGTGAACTATTCCACGCGGACGAAGTCGCGGGTAACAGCTAGTCTATATTATTATTATATAGTTATTTTTCGTGACCCCTAATTGAAACTATAGGAGTTCTTACTGAAAGGTACAAGGGCTCGTTGATGGGTCCCAAGGAGCGTAGTTTATCGGGAGCGGTGATCCCTTGCTGGTTGCGTTCGTAGTTCCAGAGGGCGCCGGCGATGGTCATGCTGCGGGGGAAGTCGATGTGGTAGTCACCGTTTAGGTAGTACGTGCCGTTCTTCGAGCGCAAAGCTGAAACAAACAACACAGTCGTATAAGAGCAAAACAAATTTACCTACCCTTAACACACGTCGACAGAACACCAGCCAGATGGTCGGATCTAGTAAGAGAAGCACTTGGTGGTAGTCTGTACCATGCGGTTCATGCTTTTTTTTTATTGCTTAGATGGGTGGACGAGCTCACAGCCCACCTGGTGTTAAGTGGTTATTGGAGCCCATAGACATCTACAACGTAAATACGACACCCACCTTGAGATATAAGTTCTAGGTGTCAGTATAGTTACAACAGCTGTCCCGCCATTCAAACCGAAACGCATTACTGCTTCACGGCAGAAATAAGTAGGGCGGTGGTACCTAACCGTGCGGACACACAAGAGGTCCTACCACCAGTAACCCATGACCGACCACAGTGGAAGAACGTCACCTGTGGTCGCGATCCTCAGTAGTGAGGGACGATATAGAAGATAACACACGTCTACAACGTTGATTAATCTCTTCAAAACCGATTTTATAGAACAGTCATAATATAGTTTAGTTTAGGTAAAAAAATACAATTTACCCAAATAGTTGTTCGAGGGTTCTACTTCTGTTATGTAGATCGTTGTGGCGCCTTCCGGTATAAGCAGAATGTCGTTGTAGCCTGTAATACACGAACAATCCCTGAATTTCAATTGGATCGAGACGATTTGTAATTGAATGTGTAATTGAAAGTGGTTACCGTCGCCCATGGACTTCAGCAATGCCCGGGGCATAACCAAGCCGCTGCCTACCGTTAAGTACTCTCCACAAACCCCGTTTGAAGAACGACATGTCATAGCGCTTGGAAAACACCGTGGAGGGGAGCTAATTCCAAAGCCGTATGGTACGTGGCAAAAAAGATATCTGGAAACGCACTGTGGATGACCACAGTGGCTCCAGGTAGTATGGATGGACTCTACTCCGGAGTTTCAAATAAGATACGGCTTTAAATGAATTAGTTGCAACCGGTTATCTTTAGCGATGCTATAGTAAGTCCAGTTAGTATAATATTAAGTACTACTTAATATTATACTAATTAATAAATTACTACTAACTAAACTAATTAATAATTAATTAAATACTTAATTAAGTACTACTTAATATTATAATAGTAATAATATTAAGTATTACATAGCCCTTGAGTCCGTGTAACAATCTAGAGCAATAAAATGTAAACATATTACCTCCGAACCAACAGTCAAGAAGCGAATATTTTAACTGATTCATCTGTCTGCCTGACTAAAGAGCCTTTTTGTCAATGTCAATGCCCTTGTCGGGTGGCAAGCATCGTACTGTTACGCCGGTAAGAGTAACGCCATCTATCGCCGAATAGTCGAACGAATATCGAAGGATGTAGTAGCACCTAGAACGCTCGAGAAGTACAACGCCATCTACTGTCAGATAGCGGAAACGCGATAATCGCAATGTGTGGACAATTCTAGGGATGTGGTTTCGGCTATAAAAGCGTTGCAAAGATGGCACGTAGTCAGTTAGTAATCGGATCCACTCGAAGCGAAACAGCGAACGGATCACCTGAAGCGAAGCGGAAGAAGCGAATAGAGAGTTTTAAAGTGTTTGTTGAGTGTTTTACGCGTTCTAAGTGTTGAATACAGTTTTTATTTGTACTTTGGTGGAATTTTATTTATCCCGAACCCCCGCGCGTAACAGTACTAAGCCGATCTTCATTACGCCCCAAGTTATAAGCTCTAAGGTAAACACAAAAACGTACCCTTTCTGAGATCCTGTGTGTTAATGAGTTTTCTTGTTGTATGGCAGTTGTGTCCGTTCCCGCGGCATTGTCTGCACTTGTCCTCTTTGGCGTTGGATCCGAGCATCATATCACATCCCACGGGCTACAAGGACAATCAAACAACCTGATATTGAAGAGTACCTATCTATATACCGAGGGGTGAAATACTATTTGGTTTTACACGACATTTATCTTTGTAATTAAAGGTGCGTTTTATTTGGTCTTAACACATCAATAGTCCTATGTTTTTAATTGAACTTCAATTAAGTTTACTGTATTCAAATAGCTGAAGAAGATTTTTGGAATGATATTTTTTCTAAATTTCAAACTTTAAACGGCTCTCCGAAGCCTTCCAACCCTCGATATGTATTATAGCGATAAAGTACCCTTTCTAAGAGGTTTATCTACAGATATTTCTTTGTATATTATCTATTGACGAGCTTAAGATCAATATAAATGTTTGGGAAACAACGCAGCCCTCACCTCTCCCCCAAATAACAAAAAAATAGCTGTAAATAATAAAACAAAAGAAAAACTGTACATAAAATGAATTTAAAATCTTAATGTGTCAGTGACTACAGTCGAAATTCGAACAAATGAGAAACTCTAGTTATTACATAAGTATGTCTACTAAGAAGATGTTTATGTTTAATAAAAAACATTGTTTTCTAAGTTTGTATGGATATATGTACAAACCCCACAACGTGACTATGAGATAAGTAAGTTCTCCATTATGACCGTAACGATTAGCGGCAAAAAAAGATTAGGGCACTGGGATATTATGTCCGTGTAGTCTTGCAATACTGCTACCGGTTAGTTTATAAGCTATCGAAGCGGGAGCGACAGATATATCAGCAAAATCTCTCTTTAGCCTATAAAAGGCCTTGGTTTTTCAAGAGCTTCCCTAAATTCTATACTTGAATGAACAGCTAAAGTCGCACTAGTAGATTGCTATCAAATTTGGCTAGGCAGGGAGAGGCATGCGGAGAATTCAGGTGAGCATTATAAGAATCAATAAGGCCTTCTCAAGTCTACACCAGGATCGCAAGTCTAATGGCGTTATCCAAATCCCTCTCTCAGCAACGCATGATGAATCTATGGATTGCTAAGATATTCGTATCTATAGCCGACTATCGGTAAAGATCCTCTGGGCTGAAGTACTAAGGTATATTACCTGGCAAACTCCATCAACGCACACGTCGAAGGAGTCGTCATTACAGCGAGTCCCATCGATCACCTTCTCTTTGTGACGATAGTAAAACCGATCTCCGTGCTGCATACATGTCAACTCACAAGGTTTGGAGACTTTCAAGTATGGCACCCATCTATATGGAAAAATAGGTCAATTAATTTCAGAGAATACATGATTTAAGCAAACGAATTCTCTCGCATTGTAGATGCAATATAGTTTTTTAAAATACTTCGGCGTATCTCCTGCTTAATTTTTTACATTCGATCAATAATTTATGGTGTTTTACGGGGCAGAATGTGGTCACGTTGTTGATGTCCTTAGACAGTTATAGATTAAATGGTTTTTGTTTATAACATTCATCTGATTCGCGAAAACATTTTATTTGAATAATATAGAGTTAATTTTTCGATTCATGTCAAAATATTCGATAACTTTTACTGGTGGTAGGACCTCTTGTGAATCCGCGCGGGTGGGTAACACCACCCTGCCTATTTCTGCCGTGAAGCAGTAATGCGTTTCGGTTTGAAGGGTGGGGCAGCCGTTGTAACTATACTTGAGGCCTTAGAACTTATATCTCAAGGTGGGTGGCGCATTTACGTTGTAAATGTCTATGGGCTCCAGTAACCACTTAACACTAGGTGGGCTGTGAGCTCGTCCACACATCTAGCAATAAAAAAAATAAAAACTTATTAATTTAATACGTGGTGTGTGATTTAGGCTGGTGGTATTAATTTATAAACATACACTTACCTGTATTTCTTGCCTCTGAATGTGACGTTGTTGTATTGGGCGCATTGTTCGGCTCTAAAGTCGAGTGAATTTTCAGGACAGTCCTGGGTCTCGCAAGAGAAGTATTTGGTATCACCGCCAGTACACTGTGGCTCTCCATTCGGACTGCAAGTTGGAACGAAGTAGATGTTAAATTTCAATGCTATTTAAGTGCTATGCTCTAGAACAGTGATTCTCAACCACTGTTCCGCGGCACTTTTGTGTGCCGCGAAATTTCAAAAGTGTGCCGCCAAATTTTGCCGATATATAATGATGTTAATATTATTAAATTATATCAAATAAGATTTTTTTTATTATTAGCTTGTAATTAATCCCTTTTTAAACGTTTAAATATTATTAAAGCATATATTAGTTTATTTCGTATATTTAATAGTTTTTTAAAAACATTTTATGCAGTGTTTTAGAAAGTAAATCTTTTTCTTTGTGTGCCGCCAAATTTTAAAATCGATAAATATGTGCCGCAACAAATAAAAGGTTGAGAATCACTGCTCTAGAAACTTCAACGTGTTACAAAATTTCGCAGATACATATATTAGTTTTGGTGTTGTATTTAGATTTTTTAAATTACACTAGTCATCTTTGGAAAGAAAGGTGTCTGTAAAGTCTTTTAAGAAATTCCTAATAGAAAAACTGTAGTCGTTTATTTGTTACTGTGTTGTATTTCATATTTACGTACTTCTTTCTACAAGGGCCACCAAATATTTCAAATTTTCCCAACGTCTTAAAACATTTTACGTAACTAGTTTTGAAAAGTAACTAAAATTAGCTTACTGAATATGATACTGAAAACTGAAAACTCGTTTACCCGATTTCTAAACATATTCTCTTTTGACTGGCCACTCCACCGCCGCAGGTTCTAGAGCAGGGTGTGACGTCACCCCATTCGCCCCAGCCGTTTCCTTCGCCTCCGGGCAGCACGTAAGACGCTGATAGATATAAACCAGCGCCTTGCCGTCTGTGTCTACTTCGGTGTCTGGAGACCTGGCGGGAGAATCATAATTTCAATTAGTTATTACTACTAAAACTACTACATACTTTCTGTTAGCTCACAGAGAACACGTAGAACGTTTATTGGATGAATTTTATGTATTGAACTGCGAGTTTTGTGTTTGTCTACTGAATTAACTTTTTTTTTTGTTATTATCTCGCAACGCTGATAACAGCACTCGGCTTGAGGCATGATATCGAATTCTTAATTATTCTTACAAGTGATCCGTCAAAGTGGAACGCATTATTGCTTCGTGGCAAAAACATTTGTTAAGATTATGTCTCAGACTTTTCATTACTTTCAGTGGAAAGACGTTCACATGGTGACCTATTCTTTTTCTCAGTCGACTTGGCGGAGTGTTCGGGGTTATGTATCATCTTATTGGTTGATTGCGGCTTCCCCACTTACTTTTCCCTACTTATTCGCTGGTAGCCTAAAAGGCTATTCTAACTACGTCCGAAAGGGTAGGTGAGCTCACGGGCTCGACCAGAGAGAATTTGCTAACGCTAGCCCTAGCAAGAGCAATGCTTCGCAGAATCTACCACCGGATCGGAATCGTGACCCACTGAGAAGATCCGGCGAGAAACAACAGGGGGTACTTTTCCATCTCTCTCTATTTGTGGCGGTTCGTGAACTTAGTACCTGACTAATTTATCTGCTTTCATTGGATATTCTACATCAATTTTCTGAGAGCGCGCCATGTTTGGCTAGTAAGAAGGAAATGACTTGCGCTCTATGTCGGTTCAAGTTTGCTTGTGTAGTAGTGTTCGATTGACGCGGGAACCCTACGATGTGACCGGTCAATGTTATTACGATAAACAAGTCGTCAAGAGTTACCGAACGGCTATCCGACATTGCAACATCCACTTGTCGGCGTACAGAAAGAGGCAGGATGGTGGGATCTGCCCGTGCAGGCCTATAATGCGCCCTCTACCGGGAAATTTATTCAGCGTACTCTGTTATTATACTCATAGACCGCTACTGTTCAATCGGCGAATCGGGCGTAAGACAGCTTTAGAAGCGTAAACGGCTCATGGACAAAATAACCAATAATAATAACAAAAAACCAGACAAAATAAAGAGCTCCATAAAACCTTTATACAGTTTTATTTTGTCCGGTTTTCAATATCGAGCGAAGTTGCAAACCGACTTTACCGATTGAAATTACTTGGTGGTTCTGCGATCAAGTGTCTCTTAATTATATCATCTTTTAATTAAAGGTAGACAGGCACGACTCACCGAACGATACGGCTAACCGAGTCAATTTCAATAACAGTAAGTGTGCCACCCACCTTGGGACATAGCATTTCGTCCAATGAAGTCCCATTTGCATTTTAATTACTTTGAGATATTTGCTTTTCGCCCTGCCCATCTCTAAAATAAACAGCTCGCATGGTCACGGAAGCAGATGCTTGTGTACATCGGCCACCATTCACCATTCAGATAAGGCCCATTTAAATTATTAATGTCACTTCAGTGTTCGATAAAGCAAAAATAACTTCATTAACACACACAAAGTATGGGGTATCTAAAATCATTTTACAATTTACAACCGTACAAGGTTTTAAATAGATGATAGTATTGTATTGTTTTAATTTTTCAGTCATGGTATCATAGTCGACCGAGCATCATCCTTGAATGAATAATACTAGAGAATATACATGAGTCCCGAAATAATGCTGAGTACACTAGGAGTGGCGATGTTAACGCACCCAACAGTGTGGCGCCAGCCCTGATTAGATTTATGGCAGTTCACATGATTTTCTATTACTTTGAAATAGGGCTGGTACCTACACGATATGTTTTTTTTAATAACTATTTATATATTTGCTTATAGATTGTTCTAATCTTTTTTTGTTTTACGTATTTGTTGATCCAGCGAAACAAAGGTTTGCGATTTCTTTGCTATTACTGCAAAGGTATAAGTTAAAAATCATCCACTATATGTGCGCTAATGGAATTTCACCTTATATTGGGTCTCACTCTTAGAGTATACATAAACTATATATAGCTTGCTTATGTATACTCTAAGGTCTCACTAGTTTGTGAAAATATTTGGTTTTTATTGATAAAATGTCGTCAGTTCGCGTTATTGAGCGCAATTATTATAATGCAAGGTACAAGTTTTAATGACATCGAATTAAGAGACCAAATATAAAATTCACGATTAGATTTCAAAGTTATTTTATTTTACACATTTTCAGTGTCTCATGTGTGATACCTTTACAAGAATTTATCGGTAAATATGTATCAATTTAAATAATAATTTGCCTTCGAATAGAAGATCTTTTTCTTTACGAAAATCAACACGAAGTCAGAGGTTCAACCCTAAAACTATTTAAAAATGTAAGTAATAAAGGCCGTCGTGAACGTATGATCTCACGCTGTGACTGACGTGCCTGTATCTTGAACGATCGGTAAGCGAATGAGCAGAGAGGGTTGAAACAGATATTAGTCGAAGCATATCGTAAAATTCGGGCTCACGTGTACAGAAATCAAAAATATATGCTACATATTCTGGGCGTGCGGATGTGTCATAGTCCACGCGATGTCGATTACTTAACGGAGACCGTAGTTATCACAACGAAAATCAACGTTTTGACATAAAACTGAAGGATTTATTACTAACTAGCTGACCCGGCAGACTTCGTATTGCCTTAATCGATAAATAAAAGACCTAAACATTCGTATAAAATAAACTTAAATCAAACAAAAGGAATCCGTCCGATGGGGCACACATCAAAGGAAAAACAAAATTGTTACTTTTATTTAATTCCGAGCATTTTCGTAATTATCTACCTTTTAAACCTTCTCTGGACTTTCACAAATAATTTAAGACCAAAATTAGCCAAATCGGTCCAGCCGTTCTCGAGTTTTAGCGAGACTAACGAACAGCAATTCATTTATATATATATATATATATATATAATATAGATAAAAGATAGATTAAAACAACTTTAAAGGTTTTATTATCTCGCTTTTTTAAAGTCATTACATTATTTCCGAAGTCCCTGACAACGAACACTGTGAAGTACGTACCTATTCGAAATGTCGGAAATAATGTAGAGAGCATTTAAAAAAAACCCGAAACTAAATCGTAAGAGTATTGATTGATTCAAATTGTTAACCATGTTACCGACTCGTGTAAACCGTTTTTTTTATGACTTTTGTTACGTCATCGAGCATACGGCTCACTTGGCCATTAGTGGTTGCCAAATTTATTAAATTTGAACGTTTGCTCCGTCCTACAAATCGGAAAATGACAATACATGACACACGAGCGAATAGAGGCCACCGAATCTATACTGTAATTAACAAAATTATACATACTAGAGGTCCCGCAATAGTCGAAATTCGACTATAATTTATTGGAATTTTAAGTTTGTACACTATTATTTTATTATATACTTCTATAATCACAAATTTCGCTAAGGCTACTCTATAAAAAAATATTAATAAAGACAAACAATATTTAATCTATTCTCAATTTGACCACAGACGTCAAGAACAAAAGTTTGACAATAAATAGTATGCATGCGTGTGTGCGTCAAATACATGGTATGTAGTGTGTGTAATGTTTTCTTTATTGATTTAATGTATCTTTTATGCATTATTTAAAAAAAATATTAGCATTGTGCACTTCTTCTCTATATTCTCTATAAGTGTGGAAAATTTCATACTCCTCCGTCCGCGCAATTTTCGTAAGAAGGGATACAAAGTTTTTGCTTCACTTACTAATATATAGATTTCTCAGACTATGAAGAAATACAGTTTGTTTACTGCAATTATCTTGACGCAATTCTAGTTTATAACGAAATAGCACCCAGTATAAAATCACGTATCTATTTAATAAGTAGTACGCAGTAAAAAATTACCTTTGTTAAAAACAGATATAAACCATTTTAAATGTACGACAATCGAATAAAAATTCAATTCGATCAACGTTGATATGTTGATTGTTAAATTGTATGATACCATTTATCATGTTCCGCAGCAGATGTTCAAGCCGCGCTTCGCCAATGAACTTGTGTGCGGAGCTATCTCTGAGACGGCCGATTGAAATGCCCTATAAATTTGTACGGTAATGTTCCGTGTCGTTGAACGTTGGAAAAGTCAAGGCTGGTTAATACACAACGAGCGTAATTTCATTCGATAAAATGTGTTTTTATTATTTCACTAGCTGACCCGGCAGACTTCGTAGTGCCTCAATCGATAAATAAAAGACAGACACATCAAAGGAAAAACAAAATTATTATTTTTATTTAATTCCTAGCATTTTCATATTTATCTACCTTTTAAACCTTCTCTGGACTTCCACAAATAATTCAAGACCAAAATTAGCCAAATCGGTCCAGCCGTTCTCGAGTTTTAGCGAGACTAACGAACAGCAATTCATTTTTATATATACTTATATAGATTAACAATTCATTGATCATCATCGAGAATCATTATTGACTTTTGTCTGAGCCATTTTAGATTTTCACGTTAAGTAGTGACAAATATACTCTCGTGAATGTGACCGGGATTATGTTAAATGAATTTCTGATTTTTTTATTATTTTTGGCCACATGCGGCTATTCTGTTTTAATAAAATCTCTTATTTATAGATACATTCGAATCCTATCTAGATTAAATTGAAGTTACGGTCTCCGCACAAGCTAGAAAAGTCTAGGTCTCTTTTTAGCTCAGTGCAAGAGAAATTCGGATGAGACATATCAGACCTCGCTCTGTGATATGGGAAGATATGGGGAGATATAGGAATATATTAAATGTAGTTATAGGAAACGGCATAGTGAAGATCTTCCACAGGGCGGGTATTATTGCTCGGCAGACGGTCTGATTGTTCGAATTTTGTTTTTATTTAAGCTTATCTTAATGTCTTCTTCTAGAATGGCTATCGCTACATATATTCGGATAAATTTGGATAATTAATACATATTCCATCTATCTTAATTCATCATTACTACCTTTTAGAGATGGGCTCAAATATAAATTAAATGGAATTTTATTTTCTTAAGAATGCTTAAAAAACCAAGTTTGACGACATTAATTCAAAACTGAAGAAATTTATGACTGATCTCATATTATTGTTCTCCGCTTATCGAATCCTATGAATTTTTAAACATTATTATAATTGTATTATCTATGTGTATTTGCTTTTATTCGTTGAGAAAAAGAATTTATTTAATACATCGTAATATTGACATTCTGGTCACCGTTCTCGTCGAACCCGTCCCTTACGACGAAAGGTTCGGCGAGTAAACTAACCCATAGACACAGCCCACTGAGTTTCTCGCCGGATCTTCTCAGTGGGTCGCGTTTCGATCTGGTGGTAGATTCTGCAAAGCACTGCTCTTGCTAGGGCCAATGTTAGCATCACCTCCTGATTTGAGCCCCGAGAGCTCACCTACACTTTAGGGCTACGCTGACATAGCTTCTCAAAGCTTATCAGCTTAGGTAAAAAAAATTAATAGATTTGCTCAGAGCTTCACAAGTCGTCGTGGCCTTAAGGATAACACATCCGGTGCATTCGTATCTTCGATGCAACGCGGTTCGAATCCCGCAGGCAAGTACCAACTTTTCTAATGAAATACGTACTTAACAAGTGTTCACGATTGACTTCCATTGTAAAGGAATAACATCGTGTAATAAAAACAAAACCGGCAAAATTATAGTTTGCATAATCACTGATGATAGGAAGTCTTGTGACTCCGCACAGGTAGATACCACCACCCTGCCAATTTCTGCCGTCAAGTATATAATGCGTTTCGGTTTGAAGAGTGGAGCAGCCGTGGTCTATACTGAGACCTTAGAACTCATATCTCGAGGTGGGTGGCGCATTTACGTTGTGGATGTCTCCATGGACTGCAGTAACCACTTAACACCAGGTGGGCTGTGAGCTCGTCCATCCATTTAAGCAATAAATAAAATAAAAATAGCTCGCTTGAAAAAAAGTCAGAATAGTGAAGAAACACAATAAAAGATTTTTTAATGATGTCATAAATTATAAACTCTCATCATCAACAACAATTACAAACTCTTATCAACTTACATTATGTGTATAATGATGCCTTGATGCTGTCCACGTTATACAGTTACTTATCACGATGGCTGCCAACAGCAGCGATCTGTAACAAAATTAATTTCGTATTATTTTTTTGTAAATGGAAAATTGTACATTTAATTTCATTATGTGCGTTTACTAAGTGTCCTTTAGTCGTATTTATATGCTGATAGAAACTCTTTCTGCGGAACCACCAATTAATATCCAGTCGAAAAACTTAAAAAAGAAACCACGTTTAATTAGCGAACCGAATTAACTGAAAATTGCATAACGCCCTAAATACCAATATACTTTTTAATCTCGCTACGCTATACGTTTAAAATACAAATGAAATTTTTAATCTCGCCATTAATCTGTGGTGTCCTATGAACGCCGTAACGTAGATGTAATTAGCGATAAAGGACTCACGTTTCTAACTGTTCATCCTGGTTGGACTCCGATAAGATCTTTATCAGAAGACGGCTTCTATTACAAAACATAGAAAATACGGCGTTTTGTATTATCTTATCTTATACCTTTAAAAAAGCAATCCTTGTATATATATATAATCTGAATCTCGGAAACGGTTCCAACGATTTTCATAAAATTTAGTATACAGGGGATTTAGGGGGCGATAAATAGATCTAGCTAAGATTTATTTTCAGAAAATGTTGTTTTATTCGTGTTTTCAATAATCAACTCTTCCCGACATCTATTGGCGAATAATAATGCTATTTTTCTTAATTGAGGGCAACTAACCGCTTCAAATACACAACAAGATGGCGTTATAAAAAAAAAACCGGTCATCAACTAGTTTTTTTAAAATCAAATTCCTTCCTCTTAAGAATACCTAGTCGATATCTATATCCATACTAATATATAAGTCTACAGTGATTTTTATGGATGTTCCGGTTAAAACTACTGAACCATGCATCCGATTGACTTGAAACTTGGTATCCATGTAGAAAATACATGTACTTAATGGATAGGCTAATATTTATATGAGTGTTGGACTCCCTAATAATAATGACAATAAATAATAATGTTAATTTTAAATGCCCAGCGAAGTGGACGAGTATGGCCAGTTTTTATATAAATAATGAACACGTATTACTGGCGGTAGGACCTCTTGTGAGTCTGCACGGGTAGGTACCACCGCCACCAAGCAGTAATGCGTTTCGGTTTGAAGGGTGGGGGCAGCCGTTGTGACTATACTGAGACCTTAGAACTATATCTCAAGGTGTGTGGCGCATTTACGTTGTAGATGTCTATGGGCTCCAGTAACCACTTAACATCAGGTGGGCTGTGAGCTCGTCTACACATCTAAGCAATAAAAAAAAATAAAATAAAAACGTATAAACAAACAAACTTTCAGGTTTTTTATGTAAACTAAACTTCGACTAGTGGTCGTAATTCGATCAATTCGAAATCTAACATCTCAAGATTACAATAAGCACTTTTCCTCTTGTTCTTTCATTCAAAGTCCATAGCTAAAACGAAAATTAAATATTGACAGAAGAGAAAAGATACTGAACTGTTTTCTTTGTCTATTTGAATATGCATTAAGTTAATTATTTGATATTTAGCGCTTTTTCCTTTGTATACCTACACATTTTAAAGGATACAGTGGTAGGTTCTTCATCTCGTGGAGAAGTTTCAAGATTGCGATATCTAGGTTAAGTGATCAGGAACAGGTACTCAAAGTTTTTGATTAGTATAAATGAATAAAAGTGCTCACGCTCTAAATTATTTGAGCAATTATATAACGTCCAAATACCAGTTCCCATATATGAACATATTTTATGTATAAAAATTATATCAATGACAATGTTTTTTTCTGTTCATTTGCCAGCTGGTATATCATAGTTACTGAAGTTGATGGGTAACTTGAACGTTATCGTCCACATATGTGTGCCTGAGACTAAAATGCATACTTATATATATTTAAATACATACGTATACAGATAATGAACGCCCAGAAAAAGAGCAAAGAAATCTTTTTATTGCACGAATGTTTGCCCGATGTGGGCATGGAACCCACGGCTGGGGCTGCCACCTTTTTTGCAAATAAAGTACATTGGCTATTATAGGTAGGAAAAAAAGGTACATAGTATTAAAATAAAGTACAATTTATTTATTATTATTATTATGTTTAAATACATTTTTTTTATACCATTGAACAAATTATACGAGACATTTTGACAATTAATGACAGTGACATTTTTGACATTTGAGGTTAAGTTGCGGTTAGAAATATTTGTTATAAAAACGAGTGCTTAGGTGATGTGGCGTTGGCGAGTGGCGACATCGATTGAACAATCGATGTCTTTGGCTTAACGAAACAAAACATTATGACTAAACTTTTTAAAATCCCAAAGAAACCAAATCATGCCGAATAAAGTATTTTCGTGAATACTCTATTGTTCACATAAAGTATACAATTACTTGAAAAAACGTACAATAATTTACTATAAAGTACGGGTGGCAACCCTACCTATGTCTCTCGATGCAACAGTCAGGAGCGCTAACTACTAAGCACTACCAAGTCAGTCTAGCACAATAAAAATATAAATTCGGTATCTCTCATCACTTGTACCACACCCAAAATAAGTCCCACGGGACGTTACACTCTCGGCGGGAAGAGAAAGGTTTGATTACAACCGTGACTTGATACAAGGCACTTTGTTACAACTTACCCTATGTTAATTACTTGTTATGTTATACTAATTAAGTGTAATGAAGGAACATCAAAAGGAAATGACCGCGATCGTCTTGTAATTACACTCACGCAAGTGTTAATAAACTGTTTTGATCCGCTTCGAAATTCTTATACATTTAAAGCCTTTTTGTTTGATTGAGTGCTCAAGAAATATTCTTGTGCACTGAAAATGACTTTGAGCATTATTTTATTGTACATAAATATACAATGACACTAAAAATAGGGTTAGTTTAACTCTCACGATTCTCATCCAGGAATATATTATTTTGTAGAGGGATATAATATAACCACTAGTAAATGCCGGTTGATCACTACATTATAATATTTGAGGATCGTTGCTGACGTCACATCGGTGGATACCTTAGTCTTTAAAGCAACACCCACAGGAAAAGATGGGTTAGTACTGTTCTAGACCAACGTCGCACAAGGCCGATTCTCTATAGATAAACCTCGATTATGAATTGAGGCGCTGGTGAGTTACGTAGTTTCAAAACTGGTTTATTTATTTATTCATTTATTTGTTTATTAGGTCTACTGTACATAATTAATGTATCATTCTTAACAAGTTGCTTTACGATGCGCCTCACGTTGTAATCAAACCATTACGCAAAATTTTATTTGTTTTAAATTTTAGTTTGGTGACGATATACAGACTTCGTTTTGTGGATGTACCCTAATGATTAGCATATGTGTTATATATGTTTATATTTTGTATCCTTACTTAGTTCGATAACGAATTGGCCAACACTGGGAATAAAAATCTTTACATCAGAAACGAAGGTTTAGGAATTAGGAAGATTTTTGTGAATTATAGACATAGTTTAATTAGTAAGCTGAACTAAAAATGAAAACAGCAATTTTTTTATTTATTCGAATGTATTATCATCGTTCTTTGATGCTTTAGCAAATTTTCAAATTAATCGGACTTCTTAAAGCCAGTGAAAAGTACGTTGAAATCTTCACATATATACATAGACACACATTGTACATATGTATATAGACAAATCAAACTAATAATAGAGTTTTCATATGTGAGAATATGATTACTATGTAGAGTACGATAGGCCTCTGTTTTATATTCATTAAGTTTCCACAGTACTAAAACCTGACCTTAATTTTAAACAACACACCAGTGCAATTCCAGATTATTATAACTTCATAAATTGTGTCAACCCTACCGAGCGCAATGTTGAATGCAAATATTTGTAGTCGATAACGATTCACTCTGCGTGTCATTAGCGTTTAATGAAGTGATAAAATTATTAACATCGTATGGTGCATGTATCCGGCCTGGCCGAACTAGGCGTTGACTCGTTTAGTTCGTTAAATATTTGATCCTTTGTTAAACAAATCGAAATTAATATTTAATGTTAATTTAATTCATCCGCGTATTCATTAGCTTCTCATCTAAAATGCGTCCCAAGCATCAGTTACATGCAGACGATCGATAATCCTACTTAAATTTTTTAGAACTTATGATACTACAGGCAGGCCCTACGGCTATCTTTGTAATTTTTTTGTACCGTTATACTCTAGAATGGACTCGTATGCTGTTGTTGTCCTGGGGTGCCCTGGTACATAGGGCCGTAACATGTTGTCTCCACTTGGTCCTACTTGATTAAAACAGTTCTGCTTTTCTTCTAATTTAACGGGACCGAAATTTTTATCTCATCAATAGGTGATTTAGACAGTCAGATGAAAGTTCATTTATGGATCTAAAAATGAATATGGACGTAACATAATTAAAACGCAATAGTCAATAAATTCAACAGTAATTACTCGGGTGCGAAATATGAAACAAGAAAATACCGAATTTGATGCGTCCTATTTTCGTCGGTGCGACTCATAGAGTCGTATCGAAAAAAAAAAAAAAACGTTTTACACGCGAATACCGACGAGTAGACGTGTGTAAACACGAGAACGTATAACATTCGGAGACTCAAAGGGTTCTGTTGACGGAGTGAAGTAAACAAATATGCGAGCTTAACAGGTTTGTGAGGAGTTTGACTCTCGAATGTTCGTAAAATTATACCGAGAATAACTGTGAGAGAACGTCAAATAGAATCGGTATGAATTATGTTTAAATTTAAACTATTTTTAGTTTGGTATAGAACAGTTGCTTTGTGCGAGATGATATCAATACAACGTATTCTTGAGAGGCACGAAGGGAAAAATCATTTTCCGCCTAATACGTATAACTTTATGTACTATATAACTATAGTCTATTTTTTCAAAAAGCTTATTCGTGTAACCTATTAACGTATTTCACTTGATAACTTGAACCATGAACAAACAAATAAACGGAGAGAAAAATTAAAAACGAGGTACATAGAGCGTATCCTGATACATTTTTTTTATTGCTTAGA